AAACAACATGCATCTATCAACTTGAACTGAATGAACTTTTTGTGAGTATTCCAACGCATAGTTGTAAGTTTCGACTACCGTGCTATATGCGTAATGTCGTTGGTGGGCGCTGCAAAGCACCAAGTCTACGGTAGCATCAAATGCCTGGTCACCAGCTTGGTGCGCACGCGTTGCAGCAGGCGCGCGACGGAGCTGATCAAGAGGATCGGAAAACGTGGCTATATAGAAGGAAACAATCTTGGGGTAATATACGCTTCGATGGCGGAACTGCCCTTGACCCTTCAATGGCACTGTCGCCCGCGTAGAGGCGTAGCTGGTCGATTCTACGACCTACTGAAGGCGCGACCCTCGCAAATCAGCGGTAGCAATAAGTTAGTTTTCTATTACGAAATCGACGCGACTCCATCGTCGAGGTTGTACTTAGCCCAATGTGCGGGCAATGTTAAGGACGCTCGCAAAGAGCGCGCTGGCCGCGAGTCCCTGCGTCGCATCCGACGCAAACGACGAGCCCGAGAGAAAGAGCGGGAACGCCGCGTGCCGGTCCGTGTGCAGCGCGAGGCCGACCTGGGCGCCGACCAAATGGGCAAACGGGGCCGACGTCGACTGCAGTGCAATCTCAATGCGGCCGTTTGCAAGCGTCGTCGTCGTGCGGGCGGCCTTGGGCAGCTGCGCAAACGCCGGCGCACACTGCGCGACGTGTGCAATCACTTGGTCGATCGTCGTCACCGCCGTCGGGCACGGCGACACCGGCGACCCGTTAATGGCGTCGGCGGCGTTCAGGTTGAGGCCGAGCTCGCGCGCGAGGAGCACCATCTTCTTGGCGGACGCGACGCCCGTCAGGTCGTCAAGCACATCGGCGGGCGGCATGGACGAAAACTGCGCCGAGAGCACGCTGCGGAGCGCCGTCTCGATCGGCGTCGCCGGCGCTTGGTCGAGCTCGAGGAGAAGCGCGTTCATGACCGAGCTCCACGAGGCCTCGATCTTGGTGATGCTGTCGCCGGTCTGGAGGAGGTTCTGCAGCGTCGAGAGGACGGGCACACCCATGCCGAGACACGCCTCCGTGTCCAGCACAACTTGGTTCTGGGACGCCGTCGTCTTGCGCAGTGAGAGCGACGCATCGTTGGCAACGTGGAGGTTGTTGCTTACAATGAAGCAGTCGGCGGCCAGCCAGCTCGGGTACTGCTTGATCGTCGCGTCATCGCCCGACACATCCAAAACGAGAGCGTACGGGATATGGTCCGTGTGCACGTGCTGGATAAAGCGGGCCATGTCCAGCGGCTCGGACGCTGCCGACGCGAGCGACGCCGCGTTAAAGCCCGTCGGGTGCAGCTGCATGTGGTCGCGGTCGGCCACCGCGCGAATGCGCAAGTCGACCTTGTACTTGCGCGCGAGCATGGCTGCTTGCGAGAGGATCTGCGTCTGGAGCGCCGCGCCGACCTTGGAGTGCGCGCCGAGGATGCCGATCGAGATGGTTTGGTCTGCAAGAAAAAACGCCGAGTGCACCGCCCGAAGCGCGGCGCCAGAGTCTTCGTACCGCACGACCGCCGAGATGTTGCGCTCGGACGAACCCTGGGAGATGCCGAGGATGTTGATGTCGGCGCGGCCCAGTGCGCCAAAAAAGCGACCGCAGACGCCCGGGGTCTGCGACATGTTGTCGCCGACGGCCGCGATAATGCTCACCGGCGACTCGAACGTCACGGCGTCAATGAGACCGTGGTGGAGCTCCTTGAAGAACGCGGCTTCGATCGCGTCCTTGGCGTCGACGGCGTCGGCCGCGGGGATCGCAAAACAGATCGAGTGCTCGGAACTGGCTTGCGCGATGAGTACAACGTTGACCTTGATGCGGTCGAGGGCCGAGAAGAGGCGGGACGCGACACCGTGGACACCGACCATGCCCGTGCCTTCGAGGTTGAACATGGCGAGGTCGTCGATCGTCGAGAAGCCGCTCACAATGTGCTTGGCGGTCGTCGTCGGCGACGTCGGCCGACGATGAAAGATGCGCGTGCCCGGGTGCGTCGGGTCAAACGTATTCCGAATAAAGATCGGGATGCTCTCCGCGACCGCGGGCGCCATCGTCTTGGGGTGGATGACCTTGGCACCAAAGTAGGCCAGCTCCATCGCCTCCTGGTACGAGATCTGCGGGAGGATCTTGGCTTCCGGTACGCGGCGCGGGTCGGCGCTGTACACGCCGCTGACGTCGGTCCAGATGGTGATGGACGCGGCCTTGAGCACGCGGCCAAAAATGGACGCTGAGAAGTCGCTGCCGTCCCGCTTGAGCGTCGTGACAACGCCATCGGTCGTCGAGCAGATAAAGCCCGTAATGCAGAGGTGCGTCGCGTTGTGGAGAGCGTCCATCTTGGCCCGGAGCTTCGCGGCCGTGAGCTCGTACAAGACGACGGGCCCGTGATTCGGATCAATCTCGACCGTGAGTACCTCCCGCGAGTCAATGAATGCAAACCGCTCCGTCTTGCCCGCAAGCTCCAAGTTGTGGTTGAGCACAGCCGTCATGATGCGCGCGGACCAGAGCTCGCCGTGGCCGCTCACGAGCTCCGTGACGTTTTCGTTGTACGAGCGCATGATAGAGATAGCGTGCAACAGTTCCTGAAGCGTCGCCAAGTCCTGCCGTATCTGGACAAGGATCGCGTCACCGACGTCTGGCGGTAGTAGCTCGGCGACGGCGGCGGCGTGCTTGGCCTCAATCTGGTCCACGATCGCTTGGATCGTGGACGTCTGCTTCGTCTTGGCGAGCTCGACGAGCGAGATGAGGAGGTCGGTGACCTTGGGCTTGCCGCCCATGGCGGACACGACGACCGCGATCTTGTCGCTCTGAACGCCGGCGACGATAGCCTGGACGGCCGTCATGGCCTCGGCGTTGCCGACGGACGTTCCGCCAAACTTGTGCACGACGAAGGAAGACATGGTAATGGAGGTGCTAGGCGGTCGAGGAAGCAACTTGTGGAATGGGCGGGCGGGACAGCGAGGCTGGCTGCTTGCGCGATCTTGGCCGGCCGCCACAAGAAGTTCTCGTGGTCGCCAGCTGGAAAGATCCGTTATCGTGGTGAATGGTCCGGATCCCGACCACTTGGCATTTGTATACTCCGCCACCCGGTGCATTCCCTCAGAAAGCTACCGCCAATGTGGGACAACCACACGAGTACGAGACATTCCCTCACTCTGTCAGCAGAGACGAAGCGGATGCGCGTCACGGAAGCAGCGCGGAACGTTAATGACACAATACCGTGTGCTCATTGGCTCCCGCGACTGGACTTCGGTGGCCGCGTGGGTTTTGCACCCGGTAGAGGGGCCTACATCTTTGATGCCACCGTTGAGTCGACGCTGGTGGTGGGAGTAGGACAAGGACGATTCTACCGCACAACCGACACGTGGCTACTTCAACGCGCGGCAATGCTTCTCCTCTCGCTGCAAGACGCAGAGCGCTGCTGCAGTCGTCTCGGTGGTGATGAGGATTGTTTTGGCAATGCACCGTTCCCAAGGAAGAGGCTTGAAGGGTTGAACCCATATGAGCGCGCGCCAACCGTGACACCCACGATGAGTTGACGGTACAGGCGACGGCGCGCCAACCAGCCTTGAAAGCGCGGTGCCGATGTTGAAGTGGGATTTGCAATCGATTGCCGGCTGTTGTATGTTTTTTGGGGACCCATACTGCATTGTTTTTGGTGGTCCTGCACCCACCCCTACGATATTCCGCGCACCCTCCATGGCTTCGGCGAGGGTTCTATTGCACGGAAACGAGCAGCCACGATGAGCAGCGAAGTCCCAGTGATGTCGATGACGCCGACCCAGTTCGAGATGGGGGTGCGTCGCCGCCGCCAGAATACTAAGATGGCTTAAGACCTGCGCGTGTAGGAGTGCACAAAGCTGCAGCGCGAGTCGCTCAAGTGCATCGAAGGTAGGCTGCTTTCATCGCGCCATGGACTCACCAGCTATGGCTGTGGCATAGAAAACTACCGCCAGCGTGACAAGTGCAACGAGTTCTTTGAGCGCTACCGCGAATGCAAGAAGGTAGCAATTCGGCCACCTCAATTCGTCTTACACGACAGTTCTTAGGGTCGCCACGCAGCCATCATTGCGGCCCGGCGAGCGGGCAAGCTGGACTAGAGACTCGTTATAGCCACACATGGATGCAATCGCCTGTTATTGCAGCTACCACGACCCCGCAGCGACGTGTATTACATGGACAACGTAGCAATATCATGCATCTTCGCGTTTCCCGCGCTTGGCTTTGAGCTCGTCTAGGAACGACATCTTGGTTGGAGAAGGTGCTGCGGCTAGCACGCTAGGCGGTGTTGGCTCCGCCTTATTGGCGCGGCGCTTGAGCTCGTCCAGAAAGTTGGGGCGTGCACCCTCTTCGGCCGTTGATGACATGACACATAGTGGCTTGGTCTTCAGCAGCGGCGATGCACACGGCGACCGCGAGGTGCGCCGGCGCTGGATCTCGGCGAGGTTGTTGGGCTTGGCGATGTCGTCTAGCAACGTTGGCTCAATGATGGATGGGCGCTTCTTGAGCAGCGACGGCGTCGTTGCGAGACCCAACATCTTGAGCAGGGCGTGCGACTTTGGCTGGGAGGCCGCCTTGGCCGGGACGCTGTCGCCCGACTCGGCGCTGCTCATCTCCTCGTCGGGCAGCGTACGAGTGCTCTCGCTGCGTACGAGTTCCGTCGTCGACTTGCGCGCGCAAAAGTCTGTTTGTAAAAAGTGCAACACGTTCGGTGACGCCTTGACAGCGCTCACGGTGCGTATTTGGCTCATGACGTCGTGGACGGCCTTGACGCAAGCTTCTTTAGGTGTGCGCTTGGGCATCACTTCCTTTGGGACAGGCGCCGCAGCCTCCTAAGAAATGCTTCAAATCCATCGCAAACCGGCGGACCGTCGCGTACCTCGGCTCTGGGAAACTCCTTGGACCGCTCGGCGATTGCATTGCTTAGCTCGTGCTTGCGCGCGAGGGCTTCTTCTTCAGCCGAAAGTTTCTTGTGCACCGCGCGCTCCTTGGGTTTGATGTCGGGCGTCGGCGCGAAGGGCCCGCGGATCACACCATGACGGATGTCGGGCGGAAGGAGTCGAATGGCAGCGATCTCGTCAAGGTATTGCTCGTGGGTCGGGCAAGCAACTTGGATCGCGCGCTCGGCGATGATGATTTCGCTCTTGAGCCCATCCCGCTCCTTGCAGAGAGATTGGAAGATCTTCTTTGCTTCGTCCCTGGACATTTCCATTCGTGTTTCAACGCGACATCTCTGAGATCTTACCGAAGGCGAATGAGCGTCGGCTTCCCAAAGCTCTTGATGAGGTCGTCCGAGCGGCAATCTATGTGCTGCAATGAGTTCCTAAAAGCGCTGTGCGGTCGTACCGTCCGAGACGGCGTGGTATTCCTTCTTGGCGAGTGGGATCTCGTGCTCGACGAGCGCCTGCAAGCGCGCTTTCTTCTGTGCCAATCGCTTGGCTTGGGTCTCAAACTTGACGAGGCGCTGCTTGATCTCGTCTTCTGTCGGGTACCGGTACACTGGATTCAACAGCTGCTTGTCGCTCAGTGGCTTGAGCTTGACCTCGGCCCGCGCCCCTGCATTCGCTGTGGGGCCAGCCCTCGCATGCGCTGTGCGTACCCTTAACAGGGTCCCAACCTGCCTTGACGGTCTCGCCATGGTATTGCTGAACCAGGACCTTGAGATGGGCAATGAAGCCCACACGCCACTCGGCCTTTCGACCTTCCTTGTCAAACTCAAAGGCGTCGGGCAGCGCGAGGTAAATGGCACGCATCTCGGTGATGTCATACCTGCGCAGACGACGATCGTCACAGTCCACAGTGGTGTCACGTACAATTCGAGGTTTGTAAAGCATTGGGCCGTGTCGCCCGAGATAAAGTTGTCCCGCGCCTTGTCGACTTCGTGCGTGACGACCCATTGCAAGAGTCTACAATAATAGGTTGAGTTGAAAATGCGCAAACGATGTCGCCGGTCGACTTGTTTTGTTTGAGATAGTTGACCAAGTCTCGTGTGTAGAGTACGCCGGCCTGCTTGGCGGCGTCCAAGAGCTGGTCCACCGACATGGCCGCAATCGAGTCCGGGATGAGCGAGCACAGCCGTTCCAAGCACACTTGGTTGTCGGCCGAATGGTTGGCGCGCCACGCCTCTTCGAGCCGCTTCATCTCCCCGGAGTATTCTGCAACCAGCTCAAACCTAAACTCAAGCGCAAGAGAACGCACCCTTGGCGTTTTCGCGGCGCGAGCGCCAGATTTCCATTTGCTTGAGCGTCGCGTTGATTTGACGGTCCTTGATCTGGAGCTCTCTTGCGCGGTAGCCTTTAAAGCTCTGACAGAGCACGATTGCACGCTCCACAAGTGCGAGCAGCGTCTCGCCAGTGGCTTGGGCCACTTCGTGGACCGTCTACACCGATTTCTAAGCGAGAGTCTTGTGTTTACTGATATACCTTGAGGAGCTCCTTTGCAGCGGCTAGAAGGTCCTCGGTCGCAAATTTAGCGACCAAGGTCTGAAGCTTCTCGAGCATCGTTTCCGTCGTCGCAACGATTAGGGTTTGGGCGACGTTTTGCTTTAAGACAGCTTGCTTGAACTGCTCTTGGATGCTCAGCACGTCTTTCCGGAGGCTGTCCATGGATTGCACTTGCAGCATGGCCATGCTGCCACGGCGCGTCGGTGACGCCGTCAGTGGCGCCTTGATATCTGCGACGAGCTTTGGGTCCTCGACCTTGACCTTGAGTTCGCGAAGACTCTCCTGGGCCTTTGTGAGTTGTGCCTTGAACGTTGCAATGTCCTTTGTGTGCTCGTGCAGCCCCGCAGCAACGTGTCCAGCTCTACATGATTGTAAACCAGCAATCCAGCACATGCTTTCGTGAGATACCTTTGGTGTACTCTTCTGTCGGTGAGTTGTGCAAGAGCGATTGCTCATACAGGAGACGGTCATAGTCGGCCTCGGCCGTCGTCAAGTGTCGATCTGCGACTTCGAATCCATTGGTCTTGGACGACTCGAGCTTCCACTACCGTTGTGCTTGAAACAAAGAGTCGTATACCTGAGCTACCTGGAGGTCTTCGTCGCTCAAGCCCAGCGACGACTTGAGCAAATCGATCTGTTCCATGAGCTGCCGGACTTTTGAGTCATCTGCCTCGGCCGAGTTGACGGCAACAGTCTTGGGCGTTGGGAACAAAAAGTGTCCATCGCCATTGTCGTCAAACGCAACGTCTTTTCCACGACCCTAATCATTTCTTCCGAAACGATTCAGTACCACGTCATCAATACCGGCGACGTCCGAGGGCTCTGTCGTGGTGTGCGCAGCGGAGCAACGCCCGGTCGCTTCTCGCCGCTGTGCTTGTCGAGGGCGGGCGCACACTTGCGCGAAACGTGCACGAGGACGTTGTCTTCACTCGTGAGACTGCGTCGGATCTTGCGGATCGTGGAGCGCACAGAAGGATCCTTCCCGCGCCCTTGTGACATTGTCATCTTGGTGGACTCGCGGCGACCACTTTGCGCAGATGCCGGGCGACTGCCGCTACGCGTCGGCGTCCGTGGCGACTCCTTCGTTTTGGTGAGGCCAAACATCTTGTGCACGTGATCTTTGTGGTCGAGGAGATGGACGCCTTGCATGTAGAGGCGCGCATACGGCGATTCTTTCTCCTTGCGTGGCAACTTGACGTGCTCTCTCGGAAGCACAAAGGTGGTTGTGGACGGCGATCGGGCAGGGTCGCCAATAAGATACGACGGCCGGCGCCCGGGCGCTGGCGCTGCGCTCTCCGTCTGGCTCGGTCGGCCAAAGAGCTTGGCTGTCAGCGACATACCGACTGTCCGTTTCCGCCTGTCTAAAACCGGTTACGACTGTGATTGGTCAAAATCCGGGAAGATTTTTAACCAGTCGTTGCTCAGAAGAGCTCACCGAGCTTCACTTGTTCATGCTCCTGCGACGACTGCAACGCGGCTTGGCCGGCGCTGGCTTTGCCACCAAGGCGACCGACCTGCTCACGCCCAAGATGCAGCGCAAGATCGAGTCGTTCGTTGAGATCGTCCGAATCCAGCGCGCAGAGCAAGCCGCGACCTCGGACTACACGATCGTGCCCACAACAATGCGGATTCCGAACGCCGAGCCGTGGCCCACCGACCTCCGCGGCAAGTACTTTCCATACACGGACATTCGAAAGCTGCATCGTGACGGTCTTCTTCCGCCCGACGTCGAGGCGGAGCTTGAGGCCATGCGGTTTGTCTGGGACGTGAATACGCTCAAGTGGCAGCTCAAGATCGATGCGCTCACTGTGTACAAGTCGCTGTATGGCGATACGTACGTACCATACAAGTTTGTGTGTCCCGCCGAGGCGCCGTGGCCGCGGGACACGTGGCACGCGCCGCTCGGTAAACAGGTCTCCAACATCCTCAAGGACTTCCACAGCTCGAGGCGCGTTAGGACCCAAGTGTTCAACAACCCGACACCGCGCCAAGCGCAGCTCATTGCACTTGACTTTGATTGGGAAGGCTCGGGCTACAGCTAAATGCATCATCTTTGAAATGACATTGTCGTTGCTGGTGCCTTTCCGTGTCAAGTTGTGTCTGAGAAAACGACACGTGGTATCTCGCACACGTGGCAACGCGAGGAGAAAAGGTCCATTACTGCGAGTAGGCGCCGCCCGTTTTGGCTTTCGAGGTCAAGGCCACGTCACTAGGCGCAGCCCGACATGACTCGGGACGTTGGAGGAAGACAACGCATCAGAATGGCGTGCAAGTGCAACATATCCAATCATTTAAACAGCGTCCAACCAGGTGCAAAGACAATCTAGTCGTCCTTTGCCGTCGCATCCAACACAGCGCTGGGAATGCACTCTTCGATCGCCGTCTCCACGAGGTCCCGGAGCTCGGGTTGCTCGCCCTTGGCGCTCCAGCGATTGGCGATGTGGCGTTTCATGGCCTTGCCGCCGTACTCGCCCCTATCAACTTACGTGAGGATTCAACTCCATCAAATGACGCGTACAAGAAGAGGTTGAGAATCGGCTTGAGGAGCGTCGACGTCGGCATCGCGTACTCGCCGACTTCGCGCCGCCTCTTGCCCCACGTCGCCTGCATCTCCTCGGCGTAGTCGAGGTACGTGGCGATGATTTCGCGCCGGGAAAAGCCCGGATTCTCGCAGTCGAAGAGGAGTCGGTCCGCGTCGCGAAAGTTCCACGGGTTGTTGTACGCCGCACGGCCAATCATGACGCCGTCGAGGTTGAGGTTCGTGTCCTACATCGCTCAACGCTCGACGTTTAGTGCCTCGTGTGCGCTGAAAGTACCTGGAGAAGTGCGTGGGCGTCTTGGATCGAACCGATGCCGCCGTTGAGCATGATGTTGAGGTGCGGGAAATCCGATTTCAACCGGCCGACGTAGTCGTAGTTCAGCGACGGAATCGTTCGGTTCTCGTGCGGGCTCAGCTTGAGACCGTCGAGCCAGCACTTGCGCGCATGCACCGTAAAGTCCGTCACACCCGACGCGGCGACCGTCGACACGAAGCTATGAAAGTGCTCGTACCTACACACGAGCTATCAAGCTTTTTGTGTGGTCCTCACACAGGTACGAGTCGAGATCGTCGACACCGATGCGGCACTTGACCGTGATCGGCGTGGACGCTACTTGGCGAATCATCTCGTAGCAAATATCGCGGACGAGCTCCGGGTTGAGCATGAGGCGCGCGCCAAAGCACTGGCTCGACACCTTAGGCGACGGACATCCAACGTTGAGATTGATCTCGTGAAAGTTGCCATAGGTCTCGGCCATGCGCGCGACCGCTACATCGTTGTGAGACGCCCGCTCTACGAAGTATGGTAGTCGTATTACTGCCAAGGCTCTCGACGTCGTTGCCGCCCAGCTGGAGCGCCAGCGGGTGCTCAATGTTGTCATGACCGAGAAAGTAGTCCAAGTTGTCCTTCTGGTGCAGAAGCTATGGCGGCACAGGCGAGCTGTTGTGAGTATACTTGAGAGTCGAGCGTCGGTACCGTTTGATCGACGACCATCTCGGTGTACAGCAGCGTCTTGCGCGTGATCTGGCGCATCATGAAGCGGTAGTGGCGGTCTGTCCAGTCCATCTAGCGCAGTCAGGTGAGTCGCTTGCGCAAGACCTATCCGCGTGTCGTACCATGGGGGCCACCGAGAGCCGCGTCGGAGCATAGGTCGATGCCATTCGTCTCAGGAGCATGAACAAAGCTCGTCCGTCATTGGGAGAGGGCCAATTGCTGCGAGCAAAACTGCCATGGCCAATCAAAACCTGCCATTTGGGTGTATATCCAATCAAAAAAGGCGAAATGGCATCGCACAAGGCCATTGGATAAAAAGTGGTTTGCGATCCGTCCACGAGAACCTCGAGCTGGGATGTGAGAGCTGGACCATCAAGTCCAGGGTACACTATAGTATACCCAAGTACTATAATACGTGTGTCGATGGGTCTTCGTACAGTGCAGGAGCTTGGTGCTGGATCCCACGTGGCGGCTTCTTGTGCCACCCTTGCGTGCGTCGTTGAGGTAAAGATGACGCACGCGTGTGTGCGGACGTGTTTCTTCTTCAAGCGCGACGTGTCTATTCGCGGTGCGTTGCCTTCAAGATGGTTCTTTGCACGCCGGCGGCAAGCATGCGTCAGCGCGATCGAACCGAGCGCGATGGGCCAAGAACCGCTTCGTCGCATTGCTCGCCATTTGCGCGAGCGAGAAATCCACCAGTCCAAGCAGCCAACAGCCTGTTGACGTCATGCGTCGTCTCGAGAGATCACCCATTCTTGGCCGCGCCTTTAGCTCCACAACGTCGAGATACGGAGGTCACAGCCACTAGGTCACGTCCATGGCAATGAAAAGAAAACGATAAATTAATTCGATGGCGCATGTGATGCACAGTGAGCGCGCTTCATCGTACAATATGACGAGCGAGGCGCGATAAGTTAGAGGGAGAAAAATCGGTGGAAGTTGGACATGTCCCTCGGTAGTTTGTGTCGGCAGAGTGGGCACTCGTCGTGCGAGGCAAGCCACGGGAACAGACACGCACGGTGAAAGACGTGGTGGCACGGCAGCTGCACGACCTGTGTGTCGCTCCGAAATGCCTCGAGGCACACGGCGCAGTCTTTGTTCCAGCAGCTATTGTGGGCCGACGCATAAGGAAGCGTCGGCAGCGCGTCCAGAAACCGCGGGCACGTTGCGCGCTTCTCCAAGTGGCTCGGCGGCTCGAGGACGAGGTCATTGTGCATCGCGAGTGTTCGCGCCGAAAGCGTCGCATCGGCGCACGACGGACACGACCGGCCGACGTTGGAGCGCGTATTGATGAGGTACACAGTCTGGCTGCACTTGCCGCAGACAATGTCGCCGCAGACGCGGCAATGGTGGCGCCGACGCAGGAGCGAGAAGCCTTTGCCGCAGCCCGTGCACTGCGTCCGCGCCCGGTCAGGCACCCACATGGCTCGGGCGCACGCGCTGCGGATCTGCGTACCCCGCCCGATGAACGACGACGTCGACGATGCAGTCTCCATGCTGAGACGGTTGATTGCTCTTGGTGTTTTTGAAAAATGACCCGCATGGACGTATCCGGACAGGACGGGCCAATCAGCGCCGCGGGGCCGGCACGGGTGCGTGCGCTTGTGCCACGCTTGGGTCGGAGACGCGCAGCGCGACCATGGACGGGCAGTCGCGCTTCTGATTCCGCGCTATTGGCGATGTTAGACTAGTATGCAAGTAGAGCAAGTCGTGGCAGCGTACGCGGACGGCCATGGCGCAGGCGGCATGCCTTCTCCGACGTCGTTGATGCCGCTGCCCGCAGCGCACTATCGAGTGTGTGCGCCAGCTGGTTCTCGGCGCGTATTTGATGTTGCAGCTTGCGTTGAAGACTCAAGGAATCATCGCGCGGCGCTTTTGCGAGGACGGGCCCGACGGCTTCGCAGGGCGTGATCCGCGGCGTACCAAAGGAGCCAAAGACCTTGCGTTTCGGCGCAACGTCGGCCAACGTAGGTGGTGCGCGCGGACCTCGAACAGCAGCGCTCTTTGGTGGCGAGGGCGCGCCTGGAAGGGTGCGCTGCAGCAAGAAACGCGGTAGAGCGAGCCGGTTGTTGCGGAGCGTCGTAATCGGTACGCACTGCAAGAGCGGTAAAGTGCTCGCGGTCACTGGTTTCGGGTGCGAGCTCGTCGCCAGCTGCGTCGCGGTCTACCGACATACGCCATTGCAGTAACCATTCAACGTCAACCCACATAGTAGAAACAAGCAGAGTGACCTGTTCTCGATGTGCATGCCACTCGAGCTGGGCGCGCGACACCTTGCGCAGCGCACCCATGCCGCGCTTGCCCAAGATTCGTTGCAGCTACACGAAGCGGGAGTCCTTCGTGTAGCCCTTAGGGAACTCGCAGTACCATAAACGGCGCGCCGGCGTAGTGCAAGACGAGAAGGGAGACGTCGCGACTGGATGCCACGAGCTCCAGCGCATGCCACGAGGCGTCTTCACAGAGCGCAATGTTTCCACGGCCTAACGTGGCCACTTGTGCATCTAAGCGCAGCGCGGGCTCCTGCCACCTGCGAGTTGATGGTGGGATGGGAAATCCAAAGAATTCATCCTACGACTTTTCATGGATCGTTCGGCGCAGTGCGACCTGGCGCTGCACGATGCACTCGCCGTCTTGGATCAGAACGAGCGCGTCCGAAGCTTTTGCCGTTGGCAAGGGCAAGATCACTACACCATGGCGGTCAGCGTGACGTCGGCGTCTCCATGCATCTGAGTCGATGCAATGCAAACACGCAGTCTACCGTCCATGCGGCGACAGGCGCGGGGCGTGAGACCGTACCATAGCGAACACGCGCGATCGCGATCGAGAGCTCGGAGCGCGTCTGTCTACGAACACGCAACCCACGTCGTTGAAGTTGCCGCGACAGGTGACGCGTTACATTCTGAAGAAAGGCCAAACGGTCTTGCTGCTCGGCAACACCGGGCCACGACTGGAGGTACTCGGCCTTATTGATAGCAACGACGCGCGCGCCATGGGTCGCGATGGCCGAGATTTGTCGGTGGCTCTCTGCGGCGAGTACCTCGTATTCGCCAAAGACATCACCGTTCTTGACTGTGCGCACACGAACGTAGCCCGTGAGCTCGGCAGCGTCGGAGCTCGAGGTGGACAACGTCAACGTCGATAGATCGATCGTTGTGCCCGCTGTCTGCACCAGGTCGACGGACCCGGACACGAGCACGAAGACGCGCTCCGTAGACGCCCCCTTTGGAAAGACTAGCGACGCCTTTAGACGCGTCTGGAACGAACCGTACCATGAGTGTTGGGCGCAAACGTCTGGAAGAGCGTGCGCTCGCAGATCTGCTCTCGGAGGTGCGTCGCCATATTGACAAAACAGGGCACGTCCGCGACAATATCGAGCACGAGCTGGATGCGCTTTTGGCGCGCAAAGGCGATGACGCTCGGCCAATGCGATCGCTGCGCCCGCTTCTTGAGCACAAAATGTACGACAAGTTTCCAGAGATCCCGCGCGCGCCTATTCACAGGGATGATCACGTATTCGCAAACGAGAAGGCATGGTACTGGGAGCCCTGGTGGGACGAGCGGGGTGCAGGACGACCGAACGCAACTAGGTTTTCATACGCACTGCGGTGCAAAACAAGCACGGTTGCGGCCGTCGTCGTCACCTGCAACAGAGTACTAGCGTAAGGCCATGCGAGATTGCGTGGTCGTACGATCGTCGATGGGTGGGAAAGGCCGTTTTCAAAGAGAGCACGCTCGCAAAAGACGTCGCCTGGACCCAAGGTGGCTTCACGAACGCCGCGACGGTCGCCGTTCAGAGCCACGTGGACGGAGGGTTGCAGAAGCTTGTTGACGTTACTACGAGTGCTTGGGTGTAAGATTACACTCATGCATATGCACCTCGCGGTCTGTGCCGATGGCTCCTTCGAGAGTTGCATGAGTGCCTTCATCGGGTTCTCGTCGCGCTCGGTGACGGTAAACTTGCGTTTGGACGGCGGTCGCCACGCCAATTTGGCTTCCACGGACGTCCGGCGAGCTCTACATCGCCAAGTCGCGTCATCCAACTCGTGTTGTTCAGCGTACGTGATGGCGGTAGCGCGCTGGACGAAGACATCAAAGCTGCCCGTGAGAACGATATAGAGCGCTACAGAAGGACTTGGTGCTGCCATCTAAAATTGAACAGTACTGTACCTTCCTGGCTCTCGCCTTGCTTGCACACTAGCAGATGCGAATGTCAATGTACTTGCGTTCAATGCATGCAAGGAAACCCACCGACTTCGCCCGGACGGTAAGAGACAAAGCGCGCGTCTTCGTGCACCACGTCTTGCACCGCGATGGGAAAGGTGTCGCGAAGGCCCGTCATTGCAAAGAGTTGGGCCGTGAGCGCACGCATGTCGGGTCGGCGCGATTGTCTACTTCGCCGTCACGTGGGGTTCTTGCTGAGGGTACGTACGCTTCGCCGTGTGTGCTGCCGTTGAACGTACGGTGCATGTGCTGCCGAGCAATATCGTCAACGAGCTCGAGGAGCGCGGGTCGAATCGGCGGTAAAAGACCCCAGTGCAAGATGCCCACTTTACCATCCGATGTGGCCATGGCCGACTGCGCTTGGAGCGCACTGCCAAACTGCATGGAACCCACGATGTCGCCAATGCAGAGCGTCGTGAGTAGGTCAGTGCTGTTCATGCGCGTCACAGCGTCGGCGGTGCGGTGCGGATCGAACGTGACGCTGCTCTGAATCGCCGTGCCGTGTTTGCCGTCGTCAAGGATCGCATCTAAGATACACCACGACTGAGTACTTTGCAACATATTCTGTCATTCCGACGGTGGGACGAAGCCGACTGCACAAGAAGCAGCGAGCCGGCAAGGACGAGCACGATCGCGTGGGGACGGGACTCGTGCGCCTCCCAGAGCAGCTGGTTGTGTCGGACCTCGACGATCTCCATGCCCTGCAGCAGACGTAGGCGCACGCTGTACGGCACAGCTCGAAGCGCATCGTGGTGGCCGAGGTACGTGGCGAGTTTCTCGAGTGTCAACAACGTCGGGTCGCGCGGCTTGACGCTAGCGTTGTCAAATACAAGTCGGGGCTGGAATAGCAGCGCCTCGTCGTCATTGTCGTTTTCTTGGCGGAGCAAACCGAGAACGTACGCCGCTGGTACGTGTAGCACGGTGGCCGTGGTGATTCCTAGCCAACCGACAAGTTGACACGAGCGACCATGTAGAGAAACCTACCTTTGGCAAGGTTGCGCGAGACGACATACGTCGACTGGCTGTGCGAGTTGGTCAAAAGTGGCACGTGCCCAAATGCGGCGCCGATACTGAGGCTGGTGAGGAACCGCCCGTGCTTCTCGTTGGAGCTCGCAGCGTACTCTCGGCCGTGCAGCTCGACTTGCGCAGCAACGCTTTGACGCCGACGCACTTTGGTCGAAGTTAGTCGGTGGATGTTGACGGCGCCAGTAAGGAGCACATACATGCCTCCGCTCCTAAGCGAAATACGTCGTGTGTCAACCAAAGAACGTCGCAACGCACCGGTGGTTTTGCTCCACGAGAACGGTGCCGGCGTCGACAACAGTGATCGAGGCATGCTTGGCAATGAAAGACAGGTCCACGGGATTGAACTGTCGCCAAAAGATCCGCGCGTCGCAGCGTAAGAGAGCAGAGATAGTTGTTCGCACGTGGTCTAGTTGTAGCTCAGTAAAACCTTGACCCATGTGTAAAAGACCTTCGGTGCGGTCCACGCTTGGTATCGCGCACAGTTGAAGAAGCTCGTTGACATCGTTGTGAGGCGCGGTCATCTCCAAGAGGGCATTCTCGCAAAGGAGGCGGTCGTAGTCGGTTTGCGCCAGCACAATCACCGTTGCCTACCATCCCTCATGGTTTCCATCTTGGCTGCAAGCCCACGTACTGGCAACAGCGTTCGCAACGTGGCAGCTTGGGTCGAGCCAAACGCCTTCTGTAACGCCACCTCGCCAAAGCACTCGCCGTGTGAGAGCTCGCCGACAACAGGTCCGTAGAGGGCTTCGTGCTCGGACGCCGACGGCGCAAGAGCGCTTCTCGGCACGAGCTTGGCACCTTCGGTTGTGTCTTGTACGTGAATCTGCAATTGGCCCGCGACGACAACCACAAGCTTGGCCAGCGAGCTCTCTTGGTGCAGGACGACAGCATTGGCAGGGAACGTTTGCACTACCTGTGGACGCATGACATGGACCATGAGTGTAGACAGAGGGTAGGAGTATAATTGTACCAGCTTGCAAGCGATCCGCTCTAGTGTCGGTCGTGGAAGGCATCGAAAAGTGCGAAAGTGGCTCAGAAGTGCCGAGAGCTTCGCACTGTCGTCTCGCGACCGGCGGTGCTGCTCGCACTGAACTGCGTAAATGTATTCGGCCGCGTTTAAGCCGCTGCTGCCGTACGTCAAGACAGCCTTGTACGCGATGGCAGAGAGCATGACGACAGCTACACATTGCAGAACACATCACTTGAGTACGTCGTTCCATGTTGACGAGCACAAACTTGCACACGACTGTGTGAGGACTGTTGTGGACCGCAGCACGCTGCCTAGCAGGGCACCCTAGTAATGTGGAGGCACTTTCTGAGATCATGTATTCTTATTTTGATGTACCTCTCCAAAGACTTCGCCCACGGTGAGTGTTTGAATGCAGTCACCCATGTCAATGTCGTCTTCTTCGCTGGCGTCAAAAAGGGCATCGTGCGCTGCTACGCTTACAACGGCACTGTTCTTGTAAATGCTGACAACGCCGTCGAGAATGATGTAGAGGCTTCCAAGGCCCGTGATGCGGTCGCCTTGGCTGTAGACGACTTGTCCCTCATGCAGTGTTCGATAGCGCAGCTTTTGGCACACATCTAATCGACAACTTGGATACACAACTGCTTGCGCTAACGTAGTAGCACTGTACACAGCTTGGCAATGTACGGGAGGGAGCAAAGAGGGCGATGCTCTGGACCAGTTCCATCTAGAGTGCATGAACTCAAGCCAAAAGGACAAGCTCCGAACGTACCAGCAACTTTAGATCGACATCCGACCGGTATTGCTCTCTACATAGAAAAGATCCCATGATCGCAGCTCGGACGGGATCAAGGAGCCTACTGCTTCCTAGCGGCCGCATGAAACTGGCGGGTTTTCGCTGAAGTCCACGCACTGGGCACGAAAGGGACGACAGCCGCAGTGGATCCCGATGGCTTGGCTGACGCGCCGACGTCATCTCGGCGTCCAAACGTTTGAATGGACCGCAGGAGCGCGCGAACCTTCTTCCAGCGCGCGATGGCGACGGCGCTCGAGGGCATGGCCGGGTCGGTTTCGCGTTGGCTTTTCTCATTGAAATTCGGTCGGCAGCGATAACTAGGCCTTTACACTCCTAATTAGGATGTGGACACCAATTGGGTCCTTATTTTGTGATTCAAAATGCGGTCGCAGGTGGCTTGCGTCATACTGGTGCTACTCGCGCTGGGCGACACCGCCGAGTCGAAAGGCAATCGCTACGCCCGGGTATGCTCATGAAGCGCAGTGGCATGCTAAGAAGCTCTCTTGGTGTAGGTGGACCGCAAGTGGAAGATGCAGAAGAAGGCGTGCACGGACGTTGACTGCAGCCACTTGGCGCCAGCCGTCAACATGAACTGTGTGAACGAGTGCACGTCGCCCGACTGCTACGCCTTGGTGTATGCCTCCGAGCCGGTAGACCATCTCGATCGCTATGAGCCATGTTCGATGCATTGTTGTATAATAGCTCGAGGACGGCGAGGTCGACGAGTACCGTGCCCATCGCTTCACGAGCTGCCTCCGCAAAGAGTTTTTGAAGCGGAAACCGACGGCCAAGACGAGTCGCGACGAGCTCTAACGTATTGTACTAACGTCGTCGATGCTATCTACCACTAGCTCTCTTGCCGGACGGGCCAGAGCGGCATGAGGAGGTCGACGCTCTTCTCAAACGAGATGAACTGGACGGCGTTCACTGGCATCGCACGGACAAGGCACGGGCTAAGGCCGCGGAAGAAGCGCCGGACGCCATCTTCCGCGTAGAGCTTAAGCACGCAGTCGTGGAACCCGCGGTACTTGCGCAAACGCGGGTCGAGCGCGTCGGCTTGGATCACTGACTTGATCGTGTCCAGCGGAAAGCTGATGCACCAGTACATGAGGCCCGCAACGGCGCCCGAGTAGCCGTAGACTTCAAGATCCGTGAGCGGTCGGCGCAAGATCGTTTGGGACTGGAGCACGTCCTTGGTTTTCTCGTACGTGAAGAAATACGACGTGTTGCCAATCATCTCGCGGTAGCACGTGGGTACAAAGCCGCGGTAGAGGCCCTAAAGAGTCGCATTTCGTTGAGACGCGGTGCTCAGTGTCGTGCGTTTACGCTGCGAAGGCCGTACGACGCAAAGATTTGGCGGGCTTGCTGCAGCGTCGTCACTTGGCTCGTTGCTTGCGTCTAACGCACACAGCCTTCCATCACAACACATCGCACGAATGACAGCCTAGTACCTGCATGCGGATCATAGTAATCTCAAACGGGGTGTAGAGCATGGCCTCGACGAGGCCCGTGCAGGACGCCGCCGCTGTGAGCACGAGCTTCGGGTGTTTCTCGGGCGACCCGTCGCCGGCCGACGGCGTGTAGAAGAGGTACTTGAACTGTGCCATGAGGCCAAAGAGGAACGAGCACCCAATTGCGGACCGAGCAACCTGCGACGACGCGCCGCGGTAGAGTGAGAGAAAGCCCTCCGAGCGCACCGACTGCACTAGACACTGCAGCGGTGACGCCGACGCGCCGCCGTGCATCTGGGTCTGGATGCGCGACTTGACTGTGTCGAGCGGGTAGCCGACGATGGCACCCGTGACGCCGGCGACTGTCCCGCTGAAGAAATGCGTGATGACCGTCTCCAGTTGCATCTTGAAGTGAGAACCAAGGAGAAGGAAACGTTTTAGTGGTGTGCCAGCCGCTGCGACATGTGCAAGCAAGGCCATTGGTCAAAAAGAGGTGCATTTCAAGCGAAACGTCAATCGGATTGGTGGGTTAGCTGGAATTTCAGCGTATCCAACGGATGGCAGTATTATCATTCTGCCAGCAACAACAGACAAGCGATGGCGTCGTTTTGGCGGCAGTTGCCGCGGCCCTTTTACTGCGTGGCACCGATGGCCAACGTCACGGACGTTGCCTTCCGCGCCGCCATCACAGAGCTTGGCAAGCCACACGTACGCTTCTACTAGTACCAACCCATTTATACCTTGCTGACGTAGGTCATGTGGACCGAGTTTGTCAGCTGCGAAGCGCTCATGTCATCGACAGCGCGCACACGCGAGAAGATGCTGACGGCGCTTAAGTACGCGCCAAGCGAGCGACCTATCGTCGCACAGCTGTTTGGCTCCAAGCCCGACCAGTTCCGCGAGGTATGGTGACTCTTCACTTTTCGTTGGCTCAGCCTATGGTCAGTGCGCCAAGATTGTTCGCGACTTGGGTTTTGATGGCATCGACATTAACATGGGCTGCCCTGAGAAGAACGTTAACAAGCAAGGCAGTGGCGCGGCCTTGATTGGCGATCCGGTCAACGCCCAGGTACGACGGATCGATGTTGACGTTGGCGAGGTCCAACTGCGCAAAAGGCGATTGTTCGAGCGTGTCAAGAGAGTGGCCTCCCCGTCTCCGTCAAGACGCGCATTGGTCTTGAAACCATTGACTACCACGACTGGATCAACTACATCCTGGACGTACGACGTCATCCTGGCGGACTAGTTTGGAACCATGAGTCATAGACGGAGCCCGACGCCTTGACGGTGCATGGCCGGACGCGCAAGGAGATGTCGCTTGTGCCAGCGCACTGGGACGTCATTGGCGACATTGTCCACTTGGTGCGGGACAAGCGGCAGTCGAACGTCATCTTGATCGGCAATGTACGGTGTTTTCTGTTGCAATCCTATTTCTTGACAAAAACACCGTAGGGAGACGTCTCGTCGCTGGACGATGCCAACGAAAAGGTCGCGTTGTATGGCGTCGACGGTATTATGGTCGGACGCGCCCTCTTTGGCAACCCGTGGTTCTTTCAAGGTAGAATAGATGATCTCCGTACATCCGTACCGACCAGGAAGATGCGTGCGCTGGTAGGCCCAACATTGCTCTCCGAGCGCAGCACCGAGGAGCGGCTACTGGGCATGATCCGCCACACACAAATCTTCGAGGTACGTTCGTCTCGTTTTCATCTGATTCAAGCGAGCGCGTTGTCTAGGAGCTTTTGCTACAGCACGGTCACAACCAATTCCATCACGTCAAAATATGTATGGTAGCTACTTGGTTGGCATTCCGTACGCCAAGCAATTCAAAGAGCAACTCAGTCGTGCAGCGACGCCCGCCGAGGTAAGACATGGTAGAGAGGCAACGGAAGGGCATCAAGCGCACGGTAGGTCTATCCGCTCGTGCACGATTTTATTCGGCAAGACAAGGCGAGATCGCTGCTTGCGGCGACACGAGAGCCGCCGATGCACTAGCTGCAGCACGAGTTGGGGTCCGAGGGGCGCGGGTCGCGCAGGTACGCATGCCACGTCATGACTTGCGCGTCGGTAGCTGGTCGCACGGCCTAATCGACGAAATGGCGTGTGAAATTCTGGTGTCATACTCTTGAAAGAGCCAAACCGACGACGCTGCAAACTGCGCTTGGACCGTACGCATTTCGTCTTCTGTTTCGCACAGGAGCGCGACAGGTGTATCGGGTGCAAGCATGGGTCGACACGTCAATGTTGGCTCTACGCGAGACGATTCTAGGTATAATGGTTCGTCGTGGAGGCTGTACCAGCAGGAAGAGGGTCAAAGACGACAGCGAGGAAACCTTCGTCGCAACACTCGACTTCCATCTTGACAGAAGACGAAGCGTCGTCGTCTGTGACGCCTTGCGCGTCAAACTCGTACAAGAGGTCGTAACAGTCGACGTACGCGCCGACGTCCTTTTGCCAGGCCGTGATGCGGCCACCGGTCATCGTCGGCGACACTTTGGCCAAGGGTACGACAATGTAGCTGCGCTGCTGCAGCTTGTGGGAGGAGACCATGAGGTCTACGAGATGCACCGAGTGAGTGCATCGAGCGACATGGACCTCATGCACCTCGGCGGTAGGAGCGGGCAGCCCTCGCGGGAATTCGGCGAAGCATTTTGACAACTAGATGCCATTGGTAGATATGGCTTGCTATTTTATCCAATCATATTAATGATCGAGAAATCCATCAACTCTTGATGTATGGGGCCTCATCTTGCATGTCGCGACCGGAAGAGCTCTACAGTACCCCATACATTTGCATGGATCTCACCATTCTCTATTAGTGTACTAGTAGCTTCTACTACCTATGTCTGATCTACACTGGCGCTCGTAAAGTAAGCGTAAAGGGCTCATCTCTGTAAAGGGGTCAGCGCATGCCTTTACAACACACCTCAACGAACGAAAACTGCAAGATGCCCACATCATTTGCCGATTGAAAATGGACAGCCACAGCATCACGAGCCCCTTCGACCTGCCCGACCTTCTCGTTGGCTCTCGGCGCAAGCTCTTTTCGACCGCTCCGAGCACCACCGCGCCGTCGCCTGCGTGTCGTCCAGAAACAAACCCTGAGCTCTCGGAGCTTTACAAGCACCTCCAGGTGCTTGTGGCTACCAGCAGCAACGGTCCATCGCCATTCGTATTTGACGATCTCGAAAACTTCTACCACAATAGATAGCGAATTGGTTGGATGGATTCAATTTGTACAACAGACAACACAGAAAGACAGTGCTGACAGCCCTATAATACAGTGCGGCGCGGAATGACCGGGTGCGAAAAGACTTGACGCCCCTCTTGCTGTCGACCTCTTTTGGCACTGCTTATCGTTAGCAGCGCCTTGCGCTCTCCCATCAAATCAAGAGTTGCCATGCCGCGACACGTGAGCGGAGGTATTGCCGGTGAACAATTTTTGCAAAAAGTATTGGTCCCACCGGGTTTCGATCCCGGGTTGCCGGATTTCAAGACCAGAGTGCTAACCCCTACACCATAGGACCACACATAAAAGCATACGTACTGGAAGCTATAAAACAATGCTATCGCGCATGGTTGCACCCGTTGAGACCAAGGACCTCCAAAACTACATAGATACGTTATCAATTCTGCCAGGTTTTACAACGGGACGATGACGTGGCAGAACAGGAGCGCGTGGTCGATGATATCGACCCAGTTCCGTTGCTTGCTTTTACATCCTACAAGCTTCTGGGAAAAAAAGGTTGGCTTTCTCACAATTTTAATTATCCATCTAACTTGCACGTGTTGGCCTGGAATGCATTGAGAAGACCTCCGCAAATGTATATAAAATGAAGTCGAGGTCCCACCGAGATTCGAACTCGGATTGCTCGATTAGGAGTCGAGAGTGCTGCCAATTACACCACGGGACCTTTTCTTTTACTCTGTGGAATGCCTTGACAGAACGTCGTCGCAATGCCACCGTTGGCATGGGACGGGTCCTTCATGATGTACCTGCACAACTGAATAGATACGTTATGAATTCTTAGAGTCTGCGTACTCGGGCTGTTGGCCGATTGGACTTGACCGGTCAAGACCAATCGGCAATCGCGAGGATAGATGGCCGAGTAGCTATTATCAGCTGTATGCAACGTGCGCTATCGTAGGCTATGGACGAGGTGGTGTGCGTGCAGTGACGTGGCAGTCTGCTGTGCCACCAAGTCATGATCGTATGGTCACCCATGTGTCTGCTCTGCTGCACTGCCTTCTCTTCTTCTCTTATCCAAAAGGCGTCTTTCTTGGCCATCAAGCGATCAGTTGGGGTTTGAATTGCATCATTAGGATTCGAGGTTGATGGCCATACCTCGCTTCGAACTCTCCGAATTGATTGCATGCAGTCTGGAGACCATTATGACGATGCGTGTCGAGCAATTGGTATGCAATACGGTCTATTCGACATCAAAAAGTAAGCCCTTTCTCGTAGGTCCCACCGGGGCTCGAACCCGGATCGCTCGGTTTGAAGTCGAGAGTGCTAGCCTTTACACTATAAGACCCTACACTCCCCAAGGACGGGACAGCCAATGCTACAATTGACATGGGACGTGGCGTGTAGTCAACTAAAATCAAACGCGAGGTCCCACCGGGGTTCGAACCCGGGTAGCTGGATCATAAGTCCAGAGTGCTAACCATTACACCATAGGACCCTTGCTTCTTCGATTGACTGCTCGACACGCTTATTAGTTCGCGAGGCCGATAGTATATCAATTCTCTTGCTACCAGTACTATCTCAATTCGCCGAGACATCACGTGTATCTGACTGGATTCAAATGATATCTAAGCTTCCTTGCTCTCGACGTCGGTCGCTGTCTTGGCGTGGAGATCGCGCACGTCGTAGAAGTGGTGCACGCGCCAGTTAACGTACAGGGGCGACGACTTGCGGACGTGGAAAAAGTCGAGCGAGTTCTGGAGCCATCCGCGCGAGTAGACCGAGTGGTGGGTCTGGTTGGCACTCGGGTTGGGCTGGCGCTGGCTCAAAACGACCTCGTTCGTCGTCCACGAAAACAAAATGCCGTACACGTTGAAGCCAAAGAGGTATCCGATCCAGAGCAAGTGCACGGACGCCAAGATGAACGCGGCCGTCACCACTGGGTAGTCGTGGAAGAGCACGAACGGCATGTCGCCATAGTTCAGCGCGCCAATACCCTCGTCCCGAAAGTCTACCACACGCCATGAGTGCCTCATGATACGACAAGCATCCCACAGGAGGTGAGGAGGAGAAGCTCAAACCCAATGGCAGCGACGGCAAAGAAGAGGAAGCCGAAAAAGTAGTTGTGGTTGTTGGCGCCGACAGCGTTGGCGACGAACGGGCAGTAATGGTCGAAGCGAGCCACGCACATGTTGAGCTCAGCGTCGTGCTTGGACCGCAGCGGGCGTCGCTGGACGCAAGTCGTGCAGAGCTTGATGTCGGAGCGCGACTTGAGGTCCACGAGCGCCCGAATGTTCTAATACAACGGCAGTCCATCTCAACGCTTTCGATAAAAACACAAGGCACCTGCAAGCGCTCTTCATACGACGTCGGAATGAAGCCCGGGTCACGTGTCGCCGTCACGTACAAGCAGATGGGGATGCCGAGCGCGAGGGCACACTGAACAAGCGTGGCCCACGTCGAGACGCGAGGGTAGAGCTCGACGCCAAAGACCAAGAGGAGCCAAAAGGTCGAGCCAACGTTGACGCCGAGCATGAGCGCGGCGTTCTTGCGCTTGCTCGGGTTGACGCTGAGACCCGCCACTTGAAAGAGACTGTACGCAACGGCGCCCGTGGCGACAAAGCCTGTCGCAATCATCCAAAAGCCATGCAGAGCGTGCAGGCACCACGCGCCGAGACCGAGGACGAGCCACGGCAGCCAAAACGCCGTCTGTGCCGGGTGCGCTTTGAGCACCTACATCGCGCACTTAGCAACGGCAACGTTGAGCAAGCAACTGTACGCTGAGCGGAAAGGTCGTGTACGAGGCTTCGTACGACGTGACCTTGGTGAGGAACCCGAGGCAGGCGGCAGTCTTGCGGCCTTCCGAGCGCGCTTGGATCTCTCTCGCGACGCCCTTGGAGACATCGAGGGGCGTCTCGCCATCGTTGTTCCGCGCGTGCACGTCAGCGCCATGATCCAAGAGGAACTTGACGGCCTTGACAACGTCGCTGCGAGCAGCGTGATGGAGCCCTACGCAGGAGTCGCTTGCTACGGCTGAAAGCCAGACGGCGCGGCGTACCCGTGTTGCCGTTGGCGTCCGTGGCGTGCACGGAGGCGCCGAGGCCGTACAGCATGCGCATCGTATCGAGGTCGAAGGCGTAGCGACAGAGCCACAACAGCGGCGTGTTGCGGTGCTCGTCTAGGAAATATAGTTCAGTGACGTGTGGAGACCAAGGATCGGACCGAGACTGCGGCAGTCGACGGGGCAACCCATGGCAACGAGGTATGCCGAGAGGATGGTCAGTCCCGACTAACCAAGATCGTGTGAGCGAACAGCGTGGAGGAGGTATGCTTGCACCTGCACCGCCACAAAGAGCGTGTTCATGCCGTTGATATCGTGGATGTTGGGGTCGGCACCGTGCTCGAGAAGTAGCGCGACGGCGTAGACGTGGTTACGGTGGGCCGCCCAGTAGACCGGCGTCGACTGCAGCTCGCCGCCTTTGGCGTTGACGTCGATGTTGGGCTGCTCGAGCAAGTACCTACGTACGTGCACCGTGAGCCGTCGCCACGCTCCTCTCCTTGCGCACATCATGAGCAGAATGCGGTTGTTAAGCGCTGCCCAGTGCAAGAGCGTCGCGTTTGTGTCGTCGCGCATGTTGATATCCACGGCGACCATCTAGGTAGCATGAGCATGAGCATGCAAGGCTGCCGCAGCATGGTTGGTACCTCGCCGAGGAGGAACTTGAGCTCGTCCAGGAGGCCGAACTGGGCGCACTGGAAGACCGTCGGGATGGTGCATGGGCGCTCGCACGTGGCGCAGGCCAGACTCGGGTCGAAGGCCGTTGCGTCCGCGTCGTTGGCCCGCGTTGTCTTGCACTCGCCGCAGAAGACCCGCATGGAATGTCACTCGAAATCTAAAGTATCTTACCTTTTGTATGCATTGGACGAAGTCAATGGACCGACCGCATAACGGACGTTGATTGGCTAATATACAGCCAATGGCATCGCTACATTTGTTGACTGAGCGATCCCTGCAACAATCCATGGCAACAAGCCTTCCTGTGGACGCAGTGCCGTCGCCGTGTACATGCAGTGACACCGTCGAGACGAGGAGAGTGAGGATCATCAGTGCTCTATTTCTCTCCTGCTTTCAATATACAGGTTGCATTCGGTGTTGCAGTAGAAATGGCGCTTGGATTTTGGATTCCAAAACAGCACGCCATCTAGGACACACCGCCTGCCCTCGCACGTTTGGCCCTTTCGAAAAGATCGTCGTCGCATTCCGTCGAGAGAGCCGCCGCTTCCTGTAGAAGCTGGTCTTCGAGTAGCTACGAGTCGTAGGTTCAACATGGGTCGCAAATCGAAAGCGCCAGCAGAAAGCGTCTGAGGAAGGGTCGTGTACTCGTACAAAGTACCGGTACAATTCGATCCGAACACCACAATCAAGAACGCATATTGTTGGCAGTGTGTAGTAAAGCGAGCTTGTAAAGCTGCAAAATAGAGCCACGCTTCGTCGTGGATGGAGGGCTGAGAGCATTTTACAGCATTTATCTATATGTCTTCTGTGCTTTGTGAGGCTTGATGGAGCTCACTGGATTCACGGACCAAGGTAGTACGTACACGTACGCGGTATGTACGTGGCATACTGAAACAGAGGCTAAGCGTACACTACACCGCCCTCAAAGCTGCGTTCTGTGGATGCACCCTTATAATTCCATTTGGCCGCATCGTCATCGACCTCCAGTTCCGATACACACGCTTGGAGCCCGGCGCGAAGGATGCGTGACTGCGTCGTGCGATGCGATAACGATCGGAGCCGTTGGGGCAACGACTGAAGGCCACGAAAGCCTGTGATTTGCCGTCGTTGTGTCCCCCGCACCGTTCACCGATATCTTCCAGCGGGTGAGCGAAGCTCGAGGGCGTCAAGGTCACTTGTGTCGACGGCCGGCTCATCTACGCACTGCTGCGCTCCGTGCATAAGTATCGTCTCTGCCTCGTCACGATGCTCGTTCCCGTCGTCAACGAGAAGCTGAAGCTCGTCGGCGCGACTCGACGCGTGCACGGTGCCAACCTAGGGCTGTACCTGGCCGATGCCCCGTTCCGCAAGAAGAAGCCAATCTATACCAAGGACGAGGAAGCGCTGACCATGGAAGCTACGGACAACGAGGTGCCGGGCCCGAAAGCCGAATCGACGGTCACAAAAGTCAACGCGACGACCACGGAAGCCGACGCGACGGACGACGACTCGCGCCCGACTTGCGCTCCTGACATCGACAGCAAGGTCGACTTCCTCGTGGGCCACGCGATGCGCGCCAATGTGACGCACACGGCGCAGTACAAGGCACTCTTGACTGGCATCAAGGCTCTTGAGGTCACGGTGTCCCTGCGCGACAAGGCGCATGAAGCCGACCTCAAGGCGCGTTTCTTGGAAGGTCAGCGACACGGCATGAAGGAGCGCGAGACATTGCTCGAGGCCGCTCAAGACCGCGAAACGCTGCTGCTGGCCACGCAAGAGCGCAACGCACAACTCAAGCGCGAGAATGAAGAGCTCAAGATACGCACCGCTCAAACCGAGAAGATGTTCCTCGAAGGCTTGCAGAAGACCCGCGACGACATGCGCGCCACGATCGCCAGCTTCGCGAACGCTGGTCGCAGCATCTGCGACGTTGCGGCTACGTCGCGAGCGCAGGTGCCACCGGTAAGACTCTGTCTTCTTTTTCTGTATCACTGCGGCTTTGTCGTGTGTAGGTCAACATCCAGGCGCCGCTTTGTTTTGTCGCCAACGCGTTACCAGCGCAGGCGCACCGCAGCCAAGAGCACACGCCCCATGGATAGCGAGCGGTTTCTGTCACGCGAGACTCTCGTGCCACCGAAACCGGTCGCTTTCCACGGAGCGTGTGCTCTTAACTCTCGAGACAAGAGTCCGAGCAGCCGTTCAAGCGCCCGGCAACGACGAACGAGAAGGGCAACAACGCCATGGGCGGTGACAACGAAGACGACGTGAAGGCCGTGTGCGACAACAAGGTCTTCATCGCCTAGGCCTTTGACTTCAACAAATCCGAGTAATAGCAAAAATAACTCTATTGTTTTCTTATTGCATCTTGCGGTCTATTCCTCGGCCATGGAGAAGGCAACGATTTGTTGTTGGCGTCGCCCTTCAAGCGCGCCATATCTTCGTGTCCGGAAGATTCGAGAAGCGGATACGGGTATATTGCCGCAACCGAGGTTTATCCGGATAGCCGCCAGAACAAAATACTTGCGCAAGGATGATGATGCCATCGCCGCCCGTGGTCGTCGAGGACGACATGGACATGACGGAAGAGACGACGACGATGGTCCAGGACGACGTCGACATGGAAGGTGCGTCCGTCGAGATCCAGACGCTCCTCCTCCAGCTCAAGCTGCAGCTCGACCTACGCGACAGCGACCCCGACAGCTTCCAGTTCGAGTACCTTGCACCCGACCACGTGCTCGTCAAGTGCTTCGTGCCACTGCCCGCCCACTCATCCATGCTGCCCCTGATCCCGCTCGTCTTGCTGCGCATGCAGCTCATGGCGGACAGCGCATTCGAGATTGAAATCCTGTCCGGCACACACCTCTACGTACCGCCGGAGCTCGTCCTGCGCCACGGCGACCGCTTCTTCCTCATGCTTCCGTCGCTGCAGTCAGGAGGCAGCCTCTGTCGCCGATATGGCAACAACTTTGCGCGCATCACGCCCAAGCTCGTGAACGAGCTCATCGACCAGATCCACACGGTAATACGTTCGTGTGTCCAAGCTTATTCTTATTCGACGTCGCGTAGCACGACCCTAAGCCGTCGCTTGCACCCATCGACACTACAGCAACCGCTACGACTTCGACTGCACAGAAACGATCCGCGGCGACGACGCCCTGTGCGTCCCCGCAGCCGCCAACGCTTGTTCCTCTCGCCCACGTCCCCGGCACGATCTTCCAAGCGAACGAGATGCAAGGCGACCGCATCGTGCGCGCCCTTCTTGTCTCGATCACACACACGTCGCTTTGGCTTCTCGTGCCCCGCAACATTCCGCTGCGCCGGGTACGTATCCAATCTTATCGTTGTGCCTGAACGCTGTGTACAGAACGAGCTCGAGCTGGGGCAGCTCACGGAGCGCGTTCCGTTCAAGTCTCTCTCGCGCGTCTCGTACAAGCGCAACGAGTCGATTTCGCTCGAGTTCCAGCCGCACTTGAACCGACCACCGCAAACGATTTACGCGCCGCAGAGCAGCCACATGGTCGGCCTCCTCCAAGATAACATCGAGCGCTTCCGCGGCGACCGCGCCAAGCGCCCGCGCTACGAAGAAAAAAAGAAGGGCCTCGAAGGCGCGTTCAGCAGCTTTCTCTCCAACGTCGAGAAGAGCGCGCAGAAGGTCGTGGGCCAGCTCAACCACGTCGGCAAGATGCTTCTCGGCGAAGACACACAAGGGCCGTCCCTCAACGTCATCTCGCAGATGGAAGCCGACTTCTTCCGCCACCCAGCATTGCCCCGAGTACGTCCATGCACTGAGATCTTTAAAGCTGGTTGCTCACACGCATGTCTTAGGTCTACGCGGTCACCGAGTCGTACCACCACGTCGCCCAGCAAGTCGACATTGGCGACGACGGCGTCAACGACAAAGCCGGTACGACGCATCTTCACGCCCGTCGATTCCTCGCTTACGCTGCGTGTGTAGAGCTCTACATGCTCATGTTTCTGCGACAACCGCAAGTCCAGGCGCTGCTAGGATAGGACGAAAACACTGAACAGTATTAACAGCTAGTATGTCATCGGAGGCGCGGGTCGGCCGTCGTGTACGTGAGCCTGGGAAAGTACACGGTGTAGGTCGTACTCAGCGGGGGCAGGTCCCGTTGAGCGACGTCGGTCGGCGGGTGGTCGGGCGGTGGCTGGAAGCGGGGCGGCGTCAGCACGACAGACGAGGCAAGCGATTGGAGACGCTCCTGAACGAAGCGCGTCGACGAGCTCCACCAGTCGCTAGCGTCGCCCGCCATCGAGGGCCAGCGGCTCGACTGGTCCATGGTTGGATCTCGATCCGAATTTAGCTCGCTGGAAATCGGCTATTTTGAGATTGAGGATGAATTCGGGCGACCTGAGCCTCGAAGAGGTCGGGAACCTCGAGGACCAAGAGCTCCTCGCGCTCGCCCGCCTCGACGCGCAATGCACGGCGCTCCAGGAGGCAGGCAACTACACCCAGGCGCTCGAGGTCATGGAGAAGGGCCTCATTTTGCGGCAACATTTCTTTGGCTCGGACAGCGACCAAGTCCGCGCCGCGTGCAAAACCGTGGGCGACCTCTGCAACCTCCTCGCCATGACGTTCCTCCAACAAGAAAACTTCCCCATCGTCCTTGAGCTCCTCAAGAAGGCCGAAATCCTCACGGAGACCAACCCTGCGGGCCGCGCCGTCACGCTCAACAACCTCGCCTGCTACCACCGGCGGCTCGGCCACCTCCAGAAAGCGCTGAACCATCTCAACGAGGCGCTCGCGATCGAGGCGACGCTCCTCGACGTGCCAAACCGTGCCGATACGCACCTCAACATGTGCGCAGTTCTCTCGCAGCTCGGCCGGCACCAAGGCGCGCTCGAGCACGCGCAGTCGGCGCTCATTTTGCTCCACGAAGAGCTTTTCTCGACCAACCAGATCAACCTCGACGAGAAGCTGGATCGCGTCGCAGTTCTTGGCATCGCATACCACAACGTGGGCGTCGAGCAAGAGTTCCTCAAGAAGCCCGAGCTTAGTGTGCACTCGTACAAGAAGGGCGCGGACGTCACGGCGCAGCACCTCGGCGAGACGCACGGTATCGTCGTGACGCTTCGCAACTCGCTGCTCACGGCGCAGCGGTCCGTCGGGAGGAAGCAAACGAAGGGCCAGGACGGGATCTCTCGTTTCGCCAAGATCAAGAACCACTTGCGCACAAAGCTCAAGCGGCGACATCCCTCGCGCGTCGCCACGGACGGGTAATGAGTATCGCAGGTGCAGTGGGTATATAGTTATTCAATAGAGGATCGTACAGAGAACAAACATCTTACTGCTTGCCCTTCTTCTTCTTGAAGGCCTTGAGCTCCTTCGCAAATGTCTTGTCGACGTGCGAACCAATCGCCTTGAGGTCCGTCAAGGCCGCGCGCATGGCCTGGTTGGCCGACTTGCCTACACGTCCGTATGAGCACCTGCAGAATAGCGTCGCGACTGCACGTACCCGACTGCGTCTGGATGCGGACGTGCATCTTGGGCTCGGACGGGTGCGGAATCGTGTAGCCGGCAAAGTCGACGTCCGGGCTACATTAGCATGAGTATTCTCGTTCTCGTCGCCATGGCAGCTCGTACTTGCGCATGAGCATGTAGCGGACAGCGTTGCCGAGCGTATGGTCCTCGTCGTGGAAGACGAAGGTCTTGGCGCTGGCCGACGACGCAGTGTGCACAAGGAGCTTCGGAGCGATCACCGCGGAGGCCATTGCTTGGATCTCGGGCAAATCGAAAATGGGCCAACCAATGGCCGCGTCCGGATAATCGGTTGGCCGTACGGATACGTTGGTATCCGGCGGATCATTTTATTGCCAAGTGACTGCGGCCGAGCGATCTTGCCGCGATGGCCGACTACGAGTACACGCACGTGTCTGACGACGAGAAGCTCAAGATCGCCAACCAACTCTTGCTCTCGGCACCGCCGGGCGAGATCCGCGACGTGGCCAAAGGTACTAGGACCTCCGAATTGCCGGCACGACTCGGCGCTTGGTAGATGTGACCAAACTCTTGCCCGCTGGCCTCTTGTCGGACGCCAAGCTTCGCAGTGCGATGCATGCCTACAACACGAAGAACTGCGTGGGCGTCATGGCGCCCGAAGGCACGCACCGCGTCATCATCTGCAAGGAAGGCGAGGTGCGAAACACGTTGAACGATGGGCCATGGCCTCACAATGCTTGCGCAGGTCGACCCCACACACTACTTGGATACGAAGACGAAGAAGGTGTGGGGCTTTGACCATGTGACGCAAGAGCTCCAAGCCCATGACGCGCGCGACGCCGCCGATATGTTTGTGCTGCCGGCAGAGCCGTTCCGCCTGGCGGTGCACCAAGCGCTTGACGACTACGCCTTTACGCAGTTTGCCAACCAGTACGTTCCTGCATTGCACTGTTTGAGGCCTACGATCACCATAGAGGTGCGGTGGCCGTCTATGCGACTAGCCCCAACGAGCTTGCGATTGTGCTCTCGACAGAGCGCGTGAACCTTCGGAACTACTGGTGCTGCTGCTCGTTCGACGACGCTTGGCCCTAAGATGACATAGGTCGGGGCGCTGGAAGTCTCAGTGGACGCTCAACCTTGAGACGCGGGCGCTCACCGGCACGATCGACCTTCACGTGCACTACTACGAAGACGGCAATTTGCAGCTGCAGAGCCACAAGACGACCGAGAAGACGTTGACCTTCCACGTACGTGCTTCAGTGCGTGAGTCCACGGACTTGATGTAAGAGCATAGGACGCATCGACTGTCGGTGCGGCCGTCGTCCAGGTCATCCGCGACGAAGAGCACGTGATCCATAGCAACCTCGAAGACATGTACATCAACATGTCGGAAGAAACGTTCAAGGAAATGCGTCGCGTCATGCCAGGTTGGCCGTGCATTTCACGCATTGATTCTTATCGTCGTTGGATAGTGACGCAAACCAAGATGGAGTGGAGCATCCACGCTCATCGCACGGCCAAGGACCTCGGTCAGCAAAAGTAGGCAGGCGCTTTTCAATCCATACTCTGTTTTCTGCGCGCCCCTGGCTTTTCCCAACATCCAGTGTTTCAACCGCTGAGTCGACATGGACACGCCATCGAAGCATCTCGAACTGGCTGCTCGACGGTCTATGCAACGCACTCGCCAATGCCGCGACCGACTTCTGTCATATTGTGCTGCTTGTGACGACACTAAGAACGTAGTCGCCGCTTGGCGCATCCTAGACCTTTTGGGGAAAGCCAGCGTTTTGTATTCCGCGGTTGTGGGGGTCACAAGTGCAGAATTGGTTCTCGGAAAATGAATTTTATTAATTTTATTTCGCCAGTTTTCTTCTTTGGCCTTTGGTGATGATGATGCCGGGCAGCGTGCCCGACGGCAGTAGCAGCAGCCCGGCCGAGGGCAGCAGCACGGTCGCCGAGACCATTTCTGCGGCGGAAAGCAGCAGCGCTAACGGCGCCGCCGCCTCTGCCAGCGCCGACTCGCAGAAGCGCAAGACAGCCTTCCGCTTCCGGTGCGCGTCAGATATTGACCTCCTCCGCGAGGTCGTGTACATCCAGCCGTTCGCGGCGCCGCATGGGCAGACGACCGACCGCTGGACGAAGGTCGCGACGCAAGTGGCTCAGATCCACGGCAGCGGTATCACGCCCAACAACGTGCGGAAGCGCTTCGACGACCTCATGAGTGCGTTCAAGCAGGACTCGCTTTCGACACTCCGCGCGTCGGGCTCGGAGGAAGAGTACCAAGAGCGTGCGCTGCTTCTGCAAGACATCCATGACTTTGTAATCTGCGATAGCACGCTTCCTGGTGCGCGACTCATGCGGTGTGTAGATGACGGTCTCGAACCACCGGAAGCGCGAGGTGAAGGAGGAGTCGGTAGTGCCCGACGAGCGACCCGACTCGTTTCTCGAGCCGCCGAAGACGTCACTGCTCAAGCGCAAGCTGCCCGAGACGCAACCACCGCCCTCCACGATCGACTACTTTCGCACCGCGCAACAAAACCTCGTTGACATGAACCAGACCATGTCTGCGCGCATGGCAAGTAGTCACAGCCGGCTCAGCATCGACCGCCGTGTTCCAAGCCTCCACGCCTCCGCTGGCTATGCTTCAAGTACATACACGAATGGCGCTTTCCCTGGCAATGGCGCAGCGATGGACCACAGCGCCAACGCATTCACCGACGCGCCACTCGCCACCAAGGCGAGAAGCAACGATACCGAATCGTTGAACGAGCGCGAAGCCCCAGCTGCTGATAGCCGTGGCGCCACCCAAGACCGAGCGGTCAACGGTCCACGAGTTGAGAAGAGTGACGACCCGCCGGTCATCAACGTCGATGATGACGACGACGACAAGGCGCCAGCACCCAAGGCTCGTCGCACCGAGTCGGATAGCTTGCTCGTGATTGCCGCCAACGCAGCGTCCAAACTCATTGATGTGTTTGCGAGGGCGAATGAGATCAAGGCGAGAGAGGTCCAGGTCGCGCTGCGCAAGGTTGAGCTCGAGGAGGCGCGTCTCGCCTTGGAGCGCAGCGAGCGCGAAAGTCGGTTCGTGCTCGAGCGCCGGGAGCGCGAAATGCACATGGAGTTTATGAAAGGCACGCTCGAGATCCTCAAGGTGTTTGCCTCCAAAACGTCGTAAATTTTGTGTTTGTTGCTCAATGAGTTGTGTTTTTGCCCGCCTTTCTCGTAACGGGGCGGAAACGGACGGGGATGCCAACGCATGATACGAGACGGACCTACGCGCCCGACGCCGTCGCTGTACGAGCCATCCCGGCATGTCGCACGTCGTCCGTATGGAGTAGGTCCCCGATGCCATCCAAGAAGCGTACCACAAGCTTCGGGCCGAGACGATGTTTACGAACCAAGCCAAGTCCGCCGAGTCGTCCAGCGCCCGTCCGTCGTACGTGCCCAAGGTAAGTCGCGTTGGGAAACGATGTTGCCCCACGCTTGCACAGATGCACGAGCCGCCGCAGATGCGAGAGCTGCGAGACAAGAATCGACGCCCCGCCACGCTGCCTCTGGCCTCTACGCCGAGCGCGAAAGCGGTTGCGTTACGGTCGCTCGGTCGGCGCGAGTCGGTAGTTGCGACGCCCGACGACGTCACAACGATGCTCATGGCTCTCGGTTGAGCTCTCGTGAGTGGCGGATTAGCTCGAACTCTTTTGTAGATTTAACGCACATGCAATACGCAGCCCCAAGTTTAACGCGCAGAGGCAGCCAAGTGCCCATGGACTTGCCGATGTATTTGACGCTGATTCTGACAAACATGGAGCGCGCCAATGTCGTCCGGTTTGACAAGGTGCGCTCACTCGTCACTCGTCGACTTTTTCCAATATCTGATTTTCCTCAGGTCGACATGACGATCAAGCTCACGCAAGTCTTCCACAAGATCGACAACGACGAAGACGGCTTGGTCACGATGAGCGAGTTTACGTCCTATATCCTCGACGCCGCCGCAGGTGCACGGCTGCATGGCTTATCACAACCTCTACAATGGACGTAGGTTTGTCGGAGCAAGGGGTTGCAAGCGGCCTTCACGAGGTGCGCGACGATAACTCTGAGGATTGACATTGTGATGACGATTTCGACGCGTAGTACAACAAGACACCGACGATGGCAGCTACGGTTTTAAAGCGACCACTCGCGAAAATGGTGCTCGCCTTCAGTCAACGCCTCGAGCTGAAGGCCTCGTAGGTGTACCTTCCAGACGCTGACCATTTCGTCGCTGTCGAAAGCTACAGCAAGACGTTCCAGGTCTACGATACGCACGACGGCGCCCTCGTCGCGACCTCGGGTGTCTACAATGGGTGCGTGGCCTATCTTGGCGATTGCCTCACGATGCGCGCAGCGGTGTGTTTGTGGACGCGATTCACGTCCCGGCGCTCGATTACGTCATTACGAGCACGACCGACGCCACGATCAACTGCTGGGACACGGCCGAATTTCGACTGCGTCAAGTATCCGTGTTGCCATGGACAGCGCTCAGCGTTGGCGTAGCAACTACCGACAACGGACGTGCAGACGGTTCTCCAGTGGAATGCCCCGTTGCGGCGCTTGTATGCTGCTTCCGTTGCTGGCGAAGTGAGAGTTTCAAGCCTACGGGAAAAAGCTCGATCAAAATGGTAGATCTCGGCGTGGAATGTGGACACGCTCGCACGCGTCGGTGGGTTTGAGACGCACGTGGCCGACGTCACGGACGTTGTCTTCGCGCAGCAGTCGACCCTCGCCGTAGCTAGCTTGAGCGCAGGCATCCGCATCTACGACCTCGGAACCCACAAGCTTCTCAAGACGCTCGAGGGCCACCATCACGGTGTATCGTGTCTCCGGTACGTGACGGACCAGCAGTACATCCTCAGCGGCGGCATGGACCACGACCTTCGCGTATGGCGCATCTCCAAGACTTGTTCTACCTCTCTCATGTCCATCCAATAGCTCTGGAATCCGTACGTGGAAACCAGCATCGCGCGGCTCAAAGGTGATGCGATGATCTCGAGACATCGAATTCTCCAGTTGATACCATGCGACAGGGCACGAGCACCAACTCGTGGGCGTGGAGTGGGTCGAGGGGTCGCACGAGATCCTCAGCGCCGACGAAGCCGGCATCATACGCGTCTGGGACATTCGCAAATACCGCTGCGTCCAAACGCTCGCCGCGCTGGTCGTACCCAAGCCGACGGGCAAGGCCAAGCCCGCCACGTACGATGCGCTTATTGAACTATTGCACATGGCATCGTAGCGCGCTGCTCTATGTCCCAACGAAGAAGCGGATCGTGCTCGCCTCGTCGGCTCTTCAGTTCCACGATGCGTACGAGTGGAACGCAACCAAAGACAACAGTGTACTACACATATGCTGGCGCGACGACAAAGCGACGGGACCCTTTCGTGGCGTAGGATGTGGTGAGCCATGCCAGCTTGGTCGTGTACGTGCCGTCGTGCATGTACCTCGTGAGCATTGCCGGCCGGTGTGTTCAAACACCATGTTCACACACATGTCTATATGTATGTGCGTAGACACCTCCGCGTCTGGAACGCGCACACGGGTGCGCTCTTGCACAACCTGCGACACGTGACGCGGACCAGCATCTCGGCCGCGTGCCACGGCACTGGTACCACGTGCTACGCAGGAGCGCTCGACGGCCACGTCTACGTACGTTGATGTATCCGCCAGCACAAGCCGATCACGACGCATTAGCATATCAACGCCACGAACGCTTCAATTCTCAAGGAGCGGGCGCTGCATACGCAAGAAGTACACTCAAAGCGTCGTGCGAACGCTGTCTTAGCCACGCGTAGGTCACGGGTCTGAGCTTGCTCCAGACTAATGACGCGCATCGCCTCATGACGATATCGCTCGACGGCACATGCGTCATTGCCGACATGGTGTCCCTCGCGCCGCTCGCCGAGCTCAACCACTGGCACGGCGTCAACTGCTTTCCCGCGAGCCGCCACGACACTGGCGTAGTACGACGAACCTGCATGCTCCCGTCGTCCCATCGAGCATGCTACTAGAGCGACGCCAGCCATGCACACGCGTACCACGTGCCGCCTGACATGCGCGACGCGTACCCGGACTTTGCTCTCGACGCTCTCAAGCGCATCTTCACGGCCTACGACCCGCAAGACGTTGGTTTTGCGCCACTCAGTGCTGCCCGAGACCTTTTCGTCGCCGTCACGCGGGTCGTGCAGCGCTCCGTGTACCGTATCAACGAGGCGTACGTCGCGGCGGCCCTCGCAGCGTTCGTGCCGCGGCGACCTGGCGCCATCTTGTTCGCCGAGTTCCTTCACGTACGTTGGTTGATATTGATGTTAAACTCATGGCGTGGCTGCAGCTCATGCTTGATACGTGGCACGGGCGTGGCGCGGTGGTGGCTGCGGTCACTGCCATCGCGGTCTCGGCCAAGTACAACGTCGTCGTGACCGCGTCCTTGGACGGAACCTTTTGTGTGTGGAGTGCGAGCACGAACATTCCAGTGATGACAAGTCCTCTCCACATGGAGGCAGGTATCACAGCACTGGCGTTTCTGGAGCCCCATCCGCTCTTCGTGCTTGCGGACGATCACTGCGGCGTCTCCGTGTACTGCATTCCGCCGCACCCGTCGCGCTACCGCCGCCTCTTTGAGTTTCGCGCCCTCAGCGCCATCGTGCGCTGTCTCCTGTGGTGTCCGCCCCATACTGTCCTCGCGGGCGACGACTTGGGTATATAGCATTCATCTTGCCAAGTTGTTCAAAGCGCGCCTAGGTCGTCTTACGCAGCTCCAAGTCTCGGGCTTCTTCCACGACCACGCAAAGGACACGAAGCAAAAAACGCACCTCCGCCGCCTGGGCATACAGCAACTGGCCGTGCGCGAGAGGCCCAAGCGCATCGAGTCCCGTCGCTTCAGCATCCATGAGTTTGAGTACACACGGTCGGGTGACGTCGACGCACTTGCGACGTGGCCTGCGCACACGGACGCTGTCTGCAGCCTCCAGGTGCACGCCTCTTTCGCCTCGTGAACGCTTGCGTAGCATGGACGTAGGCGTGCAGTGCAGATGGTCAACCCACGCACGCGGTGGTCTCGTGCGGGCTGGAAGGCGCCGTCTATGCGTGGACGTGCACAGGGGCGCCGCTCGGGGCACTCGACACCAACAACGTCCGTCGGCGTACATTCGTCAGCGCATACACGTCTCTATGCGTAGGCGACCTCGCCCAACCAAAGCGACTGGCGACTGTTTGTGAACCCTTCTGCCTTGCACGTACTCCATCTATAGCACTCCAACCCATACCATCCCGCACCTAGGGCTCGGTCGAGTGGGCGAACGCCATGAACTTCCTTACGGCACGAGACTTGCAGGTTGGACGTGTGCACAGAGTGTAAGCCTCACGGTTCAATAGAAGACGTCGGCTGCGCGGGCACCAGTACCGCCAGCAGCATCAGGTCGCCGACACCGCCCTACACCGCCCGAGAGTCCAGCCAACGAGCTGCCGCTGGTATACAAACGAGCAAGGCGATATCTTGCGCATGCAGTCACATCACTTAGATTCCGCGGCCACCGCCATCGACACAGCGGACGCCTACGCTTTTTCGGCCAGACGAGTTCATCATGAGCGACGGGTAGGCTGGTCGACGTGATGTAGCCGACTGAGACAAGCTCGTCGTAGCGCGACGAAGAGCGCCATGCGCCTGCAGCGAGCGCTGGACAGCCTCGAGCCTGCCAAGGTCCCGAGCCGGCCATCGCCACCGAGGTAGAGGCTGCTGCATCGGCCATCGAGTCAGGCCCGATCTTGTTCTTCGCAGCGGGCAAAATCTTGTGCCAGATGGGAGAGTATTTTTATTCCGCTTACCGATTAAATTAAATACGTTGGCTTTGCATTTGACTGCAAAACGTGTGCAACGGCGACGAAATATTATTCTGGCGGGGCTCGGTTCGAAATTCTTCGTGGAAATCGGTCATTTTGACCAATACAATCGCTTTGTCAAAAAGATTTCAGCCAATCAAACGCCGACGACATGTGAAGATGCTTTCCGTCTTTAGTTTCGGAAATCTCGAGCGAGAGGAAGAGCGACGATGGCGGCGATGAACCTCAGCCGCGAGCAGCAGAATGAGCTTCTCTTCGTCGGATTTAACCAGGACTATGGTACATGAGCATGATGAGCACATGGATGGCTGCTCATGGTGCCCTGCGTAGGCTGCTTTGCCTGTGGCACCGACACGGGCTTCCGCATCTACAACTGCGACCCGTTCAAGGAGACTTTTCGCCGAGGTAGGCGATGCGCCCGCGATGGAGGGCCTCACCTTGACATAGACTTCTCCAGTGGGGGCATTGGTATCGTCGAGATGCTCTTCCGCTGCAACATCCTCGCTATTGTGGGCGGCGGGCGCAACCCTCGCTATCCGCCGAACAAGGTTATGATCTGGGATGACCACCAGAGTCGCAACATTGGTGAGCTCAGTTTCCGCAGCGAGGTCAAGGCTGTCAAGCTTCGTCGTGACCGGTTTGTTAATGGATGCTGGGCTAAGTCGCACTCATCGCTGTTATCTCAGGGTTGTCGTCGTGCTCCAAAACAAGATTTACGTCTACAACTTTGGTGCGTACCGAATACGATGACATGCTCCAACGACGTCTCTTGTAGCCGATCTCAAGTTGCTGGACCACATTGAGACGATCGCGAACCCCAAGGGCCTTGTCGCGCTCTGCCCGAGCTCCACGAACACGGTCCTCGCTTGTCCCGGCGTTTCGCGCGGGACGGTCAGAATAGAGCTCTACGACCAGCGCAAGACGACCCTTATCACGGCGCATGAAGCCGATCTCTCTCAAGTCTGATATTTCGCAGCACGAGAGTGTCCTGACGCTATGCCTGCGTAGATGTGCCTCAACTTGGAGGGCACGCGACTCGCGACGGCGTCGGACAAGGGGACGCTTATTCGCATCTTCGACACGCAGAGCGGCCAGCTCACGCAGGAGCTGCGGTGCGAGCTCATCATACAAAGACGGTGCGACTGAGCTGCGCTACGTATTTAGGCGCGGCGCAGACAAGGCCGAGATCTACAGCGTGTGCTTCAGTCCCAACTCGCAGTACCTCGCGTGCTCGAGCGACAAGCACACGGTGCACATCTTTGCGCTGACAAAGGAAGGTGGCGGTGCGGACGGCGCGGCGCCGCTCTCGACTTCCGCCCACCGCAACAGCCAGACGGGGCAGCGCTACTCGTCTGGGTCGCTCACACAGTCGACGCCCATTTCCCGCGAAGACGACAGCACGGAAAACTCCAAGTCGAACTTTTCGTTCATGCGCGGGCTCTTGCCCAAGTACTTCAGCTCCGAGTGGAGCTTTGCGCAGTTCCGCGTGCCCGAGACGCGGTACCGTATCCTCTGCGCTCCCCTCATTGCTCATATGCTCCGTAGCACGATTTGCGCGTTTGGCGTCGACAAGAACACGATCATTGGTACGACTCGCTCGCCGCGTCGCCGCCTCACCATGTGCTGTCTAGTCGTTGGCGCCGACGGCTCGTTTTACAAGGCGGTCTTTGACGCGAATGGCGAGTGCGAGCGCACGTCGTACTCCAAGTTTATCCAGGCGGAAGACGACGAGTAGGCGATTCGCACGTAACGAGCCGTACATGTAGTGCGATGTATGGGAGTCCTACTAGCTCTTGCGCGAGTACGGGGCGTGCCGGGGAACGTTGGGGTCGTACTAGCAGCAAGCGTAAGCAATGGCAAGCCTCGTGATCGAGTACCATTTCCCAGCGCGACGCGGGAAAGATGTGCTTGTTCCGCTCGTACCACAGGCGATGGGTGACCTTGCCTGGATGGGACTAGGGCCAATTTAGATGTCGTCGTGAGTGCGGACGTACCTCGTCCTTCTCGACGCGCACGTCGTTGATCAAGCGCACGTCGTCGTGCACGTCGAAGTGGAAGAGCGGGCCGGTTTTGCCGCGGGCTTTGGTCACAATGAGATCGTAGAACGACAGTTGCTAGCACAAAGCCGTGAGTCGGCGGCATATAGCATCAAATGGATTACATGCGGGATGATGAGGTCTTCCTTGATGTACATGAGGTCGTCGATGCTCACGGTGCGAATGTCGGGAAACTCGGCCGCGAGCTCCTTGCGCACGAGCTCGAGGAACTTGCCGATCGGCGTCGCCTTCTCGACGCTGAGCTCGCGTCGGTGCCCGGCGCCGTCCCAGTAGCTGAACGTCACGCTCAAAAGCTCCTTCTTGATGCGCTCTTGGGTCTCGACCCACTCCTTCTGCAGCGCGGCCTTCTCCTCCTGAAGCGCAGCTTCGCGGTCGCGGTCCGGCAGGAACGCTGTCTCGACGAACGGACACTTGAGCTTCTTTCGCTTCGCAGGCGCGTCCATCTCGTCATCGCTGTCGAGTGAGAAGGACATGGTCGCCTTCTTTTTCTTCTTCTTTGGAGCTGGCTTGACGACCGACGCATCACCAGTCTTGGTGACTTCAAGGGCAGGTTCTGGCGGCGCGAGGCAGTCTTCGCGGCGCTTCCGGTACTCTGCGGCGGTCACGAGCCCGATCGTCTGGCGCTTGAACTCGGCTTCGGACGATGCGTCCGTGTGCGAAAGGAAGCTCTTGTCGATGCGCGACCCGCGGGCATTGTCGGCTGCGATCTGCTGCTTCTTGGCGGCGAACTCCTGCTCCTGCTGCTCGCGCTGCTTGGCGAGGCTCGCCGCCCGCTTCCCTGCGACGACGCCTTCGACGGTGTGCACGCCCGAGGAACCATATCTACGGAGCGGGAGCATGAGCCACAGACGGCCATCGGCGGCGCCGATGACGTCACCTGCGGAGGTCGGCCATCGTGGAGCGCTCTGGTTCGTCGAACGCTGCAGCGCGTGGGATCTATTGGTGGAATACCTCCGCCGGCGGGGATTGGTCAATGACAAAAAGGAGATAGTCTTGAAGTGCCAATGCCGTTTGTGGTGTCGGTCCCAACGGCAATCTGCAACGACACAACTAATAGTACGAGTGCAAATGGCCAAGCCGGCCATTCAAATCTACAACCTCAGCTGCTAGTGCGTGTCGATGCAAGGACCGCAAGCTTCCTGCCAATGCAAGGCCCACGCGGCGCACAAACCTACAGTCACGGGTGAACATTGGTGGAATCTTGGCGGAGGAGACGTCGCGTCTTGATTTCACCAGCATGGACTGCATGAAGGGCGACCAAAGGCCTGGACACACTTTTTTTCGAGCGTCTTCAAGACACACCACACGGGAGCCTCGTTTGAATCGTTCGGATCGCCTGCCGCCTGTGGCTCGCAATGTCACCAAATACCCTTTTTTGTCTGAATGAACCCTATTTCGACGACACGCAGGACACAGGGACATACAAACTGCAAGAGGACCACGTTGGCATCAACAAAGCGTATCTTCCACGCACTTAACCGAGCGCCAACGTCGTACCACAGAGGACGTCCGTGGCAGATCTTGGACCACCACAACGAAACAAGCGCGATGGCCGGCGGCAAGTACGTATCGGCGCGGGGCGCCGAGCGCGTCCTCGAGTACAAGTACAGCGGCAGCGACGCATCGATGCTGTACAACTACGTCATCTCGCCGCTCGCGCAGCGCATCGTCGACGGCGTCTTCCCGGCATGGCTCGCGCCCAACACCATCACGATCGCAGGTCTCGGCCTTGTCGCCACGTCGCACGCACTTATGGCCTTCTACGCGCCATCGCTCGACGCGCCGGCGCCGTCGTGGGTCTACGCCTTCTGCGCCTTTGCGCTCTCGACGTACCAAGTCTTGGACGTCACGGACGGCAAGCAGGCGCGGAAGACGGGCAACTCGTCGCCGCTCGGGCTACTCTTTGACCATGGTTGCGACGCTGTCAACTGCGTCCTGAGTGCGTGCACAATGGCGTCCACGATGCTCATGGGTCCGACGTACATGGTACACTTTGTCGCCACTGCCATCCGTCCCTCACACGATTGTTTGCGGTTTTTAGTCGATGGGCCTTCTGCTTTGCCCGGCCTGTGTCTTCTTCATGGCGACGTGGGAAGAGTACTACACGGGCACGCTTGCGCTTGGCGCTATCAACGGCCCGAACGAAGGCCTTGCGATCATGTACAGCATCTATGCGATGACGGCGATCACTGGCCCCGCTTTCTGGGCGCAGGTGCGATTACAAAACGACTGCCGAATGTCCGACTCATGCATCTGCGGTACTAGCCCTCGGTCGTGTTTCCGTCAATCCCCAACAACCTTCTCTTCCTCATCGTGACGGCCCTCGGCTCGACCGGCCAGATCCTCGTCAATGGTATCTCCGTGCCTCTGCAACAAATCTCCTCACGAGCTGCTTGTAGTTTGGAACGTGTACATGCAGCTGAAGGCCAAGCCGATGGACTTTGTGAACGCGCTCTTCGGGACGCTGCCGTTCTTGGCGCTCATCGCCGTCTCCGCGCTCTGGGTCGCGCTCTCGCCGTACGATGTCGTGCAGTACCACCCGCGCATGCTCATGTGGACGACGGGCCTCATGTTCTGCAAGGTACGCTCCGTCTCATTCGGAGACGCATATTCACGTACAACGTAGATGGTCATGCACATGATGCTCGCACACTTGTGCGACGAGCCGTACTGGCTCCTGCGCAAGTCGCTGGCGGCGATGCTCCTCGTCGCGGGCTTCGTCGTCGCGGGCCTCGTGCCGCACGTGACGGAAGACACCCTCGCGTATGCCTTCTTTGCGCTCACGCTCATCGTGTATGCGCACATGGTCTACTACGTGATTCTCGAGATGACGACGATCCTGCGCATCAAGGTCTTCACGGTCAAGCCCAAGACGGCATAGAACGCAGCCGAACGATAACTCGAGTCAATTCTACTAGGCGACAACACAGTCGTATCCGAGGACGTCGCAGAGCCAGAGCCAGAACATCTCGTCTCGTAGCACATATCGTCCTGCCCATGCACATACGAGCAGCACCAAGAAGAGCACACTGGGCACGAGCCACGACGGAAGTGTCTCCTTGTCGAGTGCATGCTACCGAGTAGCGATGAGGATCAATAGACAACACAGGCGACAAACGCACCAGCGCTGCCTCGGTCGCACTGGACGTAGCTTCGAGTGCATGCAAGCGGTCCCAAACACGCTCGAGCTTCTTTTGGAGCGCTTTGACGTCGTCGCGCATTTGCCGCATGTGTTCGGCTTGCGCGTCAGCCTACACAAGGTTCCTAGTTTACCCCAGGCACTGCTGGCATACCTTTTCTTCGAGGACCTTGCTTGTCGTCCCAAACTGAATGAGCTGGCTGCGCTGCTCGTCTTGCTCAAGCACGCGGCCTTGTTCCAGCATCTCCGCGTCGTGCCGCCAGCGCGCCATTTCCGTCTCCAGGTCTCCGAGTAGCTGGCGCTGGACCTTGAGCTGCTTTCATGCGTTAAATTACATGCGTTTTGGTGGTAGAGTATTACCTCGTCGAGCAAGTCCTCTTGGTACTGACTCTGCGTGTGCAAGTCCTGAGACTGCATGGACGCCTCGCCGTTGTGGAGGAACTGCGACACCTGCGCACTGAGTATCCCTGGTACGTTGTTATGAGTGCCCAGCAATGCCCTGGTTACAAATGCCACGTACGCAGTGACGAAGACATGTCGACGGCTTGGCGCTCGGCATCAAGTTGGTTGCGCTCGAGCTGCCGCTTCTCTTCTTGCAGTCGCTCAAGATGCTTGTTCATATCGTCCATCTTGCGCTGGAGATCCGTGAACATCCGCGGTTGCGGTGATGAGCCGTCCGAAGCGGGCGATTGCAGATCGTCTGTGACGAATTCTTTTGTAAGCGCACGAAGCCGCTGGTGCGCGCGGTCCGCCACAGCAATTGCCTCGTCGTCCGGCGACGAGGCAGCCCGCCCGTCGTAGTCGGACGATGACAGCATCATGTCAAGCGGCGTCGATTCGTTCGGTACTTGTGTGCGCTTGGCATCGGGGTGCCATTTGTGAATGGCCTTTTGGCTCAGAAGCAGCTGCGAGTGCGTCGGGGACGTCTGCGACCGCGAGAGTCGTCGCGGAGAGCGGAGGCTGCGCGAGTGCCGCAGACCATCGTTCGAGGAGAGGTCAGTGAGGCGCATACGGTCTGATCGAAGTCGCTGCTCGCTCGTCGCAACGCGCTGGGCAATTTCGGCTAGGGACGTCTTGGTCGGCGTGATGTACGCTGAGCTACCGAGGCTGCTGGCCAGCGATGGGGTCGGTCCGTCAAAGTCGTCCATGCTCAGAAACACCGGATTGCCTCGCGCTCGATGCTTCCGCGCTTTAATCTCATGGAGCTCGCTGCGGTGCTTGGCAATCGCCTTGTCAATGTCGTCGCCGCTGTCACTGAAGGGGTCCCTTTCGGTCCCCGTCCGGCTTCGCTGCAGCTCATCAGCCAGCCGCGCAATCGTCGGCGGGTCATCGTCGCTGCGGATGTCACTGACGCTACCCTCGTCCAGAGATGGAGCGTCGTCCGAAGCTTCGTCCAGCTCCTGGGTCCGGCGTTGGCGGTACCTGCTGCCGTCGGCCATCGTTGGTCGATGTCTCTGGGCTTCGATTCGAAGGATTTTGCCGCGATAAAGCTTCCCGATTGTATGCAATGTATTGCTTCGATTCGAAGTACGTTTTAGAATCTACCAATCAGATCATTCAAAACCGAGATTCCCTCCGTTTCGGCGCCAATCATATCGCTTGGTGGGCAAAATCTGCGATCCAAGCATTGGGGTATCTAATTGCCCAGATCGCGGACTGTCTCGATGACAGCCGGGTCAGCCTAAGCTATTGTATACCGGAGCCTCAAGACGCTACCCGCGTCGAGGGCTGTTCTCGCGTCGTTCACAACGCAAACAGTTGACGCAAACGTAATGCAGCGTCTTACTGGGCTAGCATGTAGTTGTCATCATGCGGGTTTTTGATGCGCTGCAATGTGGTTCAAGTCAAGGCTGCTGGCGCATCCATGCAATACGTCAACCATGAAGGCAAGACATGGTTCATAACACGACTTTGGACAAGTAAACCTCGTGCAGAGTTAATCGCAAAATGCAAATCTGATTCAGCTACGGCCACGCGTGCGTGAAACACTACTCGGCAACCTCGTCGGCATTGTCCCCCTCATCGTACAGGAGGATGAGCCCCAAAAGGTCCATTTGCTCGGTCGACATGTCGTCGGCGCGGTGACGGATGTGCGTCACGGCACTGCCGAGGTGCAGGCGCCACGTTGACTCTGGCCACGCCTCGGTCGACGGTACCACAAAGGTCGTAGGAACGCGAAGGTGTCCAAAATTGGCATCGTACGTCTTGAGCGCCAGCAAAATGACGTCCCACTGGTCGCCGAGTGGATCCCATGTAAATCCGAGGTTCTCCAAGTCCTGGCGCCGCTCTTCGCTCACCGCGCTGTTGCGAAGTGAGCGCACGACGACGCCGAGCGGAAGGCCCCAGAGCGCCTTGGGCCAGACTGCATCGCTCGGGACAATGTAGCTCTTGGGCACAAGGAGGTCCTTGTACAGATCTCGGTACGTACGCAGCGCGAGAAGCTTCTTCTCCCAGTGGAGTTCGGGCATGTCCCACACAAAACCAAGCGTTGACAGATCGTCTCGACGCGCTTGAGACAAATCGTGCTGCTGGCGCAAACTGTTGACGAACCGGCCAAGTGATAGTCCGTGCAGGCGCGCGTCAGGCCAAGAGGGTGGTACGGTAAAGCGCTGGGGCACACACACATCACCGTAAACGTCCTTGTAGTGGCGCAAGGCGGCGACATGGATGTCCCAATGCTCCTGCGCTGGGTCCCAGACAAACCCAAGCTCGCGCAACGCCGTCAACTGGGGCTCATCGATCTTGACTCGGCCTGTTCGAATATTGTGCACGAGTACGCCCAGCTTGATGCCCCACGTATCGCGCGGCCACTGGGTGTTGCCAACCGGCACGACAAAGCTGCGCGGGACCAAGAGGTTCTGTCGGAGGTCTTTGAACGTCGCCAGCGCAGCAAACCGAGTGGACCACTTGAAGACAGCGGGGTCCCAGACAAAACCAATCGCGTCAAACGCTTCGACGACGGTGTTGGGGAGTTGACCGCGAGCGTGTAGCCGTCGCAGGCGCCCGATGTCAAGCGTTTGGTCGCGGCACGCTGGAGGCGCGCAGCTCGGAGCGATCATCGCGCTTGGCAAGTTGAGTCGCGGGCGGGGCGGGCCTCCTGCGCATGCAAGGCTTTGGCAACCGCAAGAATGTCATCGACGAAGGCTAGCGTCGCGAAGCCGCGCGGCCGGAGTATCATCGCAGGCCATGCCCGTCGCATGAGCGTCGAAGCGACGTGTTGAAAGAAAATAATTGACGAATTACAACCAATCACACGCTGACCAACTTGGCCAAGCCAATCAGACGACTGAATTCATCGGCATGGAAGTGGTCGAAATCCCGGTGCGAGCGACGTCTGCTGATGGCACGGACCGCGACGACGTCGTCGAGCTCGGCTGCAACTGGGGCGTGGGCATCGGCGGCTCGCTCTGGACAAGCGGGCGTCTTATGGTTGACTACTTCTCACGCAACGTCCGGGCCCGCCAGCAGCTTCAAGGCGCCAGCGTGCTCGAGCTGGGCAGTGGCACAGGCCTCGTTGGCCTTGCGCTCGCGTGCATGGGTCCTGCCAGCGTAGTGTTGACCGATCTCGAATCACACGTTGCGGCGCTCCAAGCTAACGTCGAGCGCAACTCAGCGCGGTTCAGCGACGGAACGCTCGTCTCAGTGGCGGCGCTCGACTGGAACACGGCGTCGGCCGACGACGCGACAGCGCCACTCGACTGGATTGTCGGTACGGACATTGCGTACATGCCCGAGTTCTACGCACCGCTATTGAAGACGCTGCAGCTGCTGGCGGGCCCAAACACGCGCATCCTTGTCGGTCTCGGTCGCCACGACACAGACATGCGTTTTTTCCGGCTCCTTCAAGACGCTGGCTTCTCGTACTACAAGGTCTCAGACGAGCTCGTCTCGGAAGAGTTTCGGGGCAAGGACTTTGGCCTGTTTGAGATCCAACGCGTGTAAATGCTGTACATGCGCATGACCTCCGCATGGCCGAGGTGCTCAACCGCAAACAAACGACGTGCGAGTCACTATTGCATCGATCAACCAGCTCTGTTATCTTTGAAATCGTACTGCAGCTGTTCGGAGCGTCAGATCTGTCTGAGCAGACGAGTTGTCCTTGATCGCTAAAATAACCTCCAAGGCCTGCAGTCGCCCGGGGAAACACCATTGGAAAACTGATACAAGTATACTGCATGCGATACTCTGTTGCGAAGATCAAGAAGCTGCAGCGGACATCCAGCGACATAGAGCAGAGACCACATAATAGCGCAAGAATAGGTAGCATTGGATGTAACCCAGTGCACCGAAATCATCAAAAAGGCATGGCATGTTCTAAACAAGAAGAGGAGAGGTCTAGCTAGGAGAAGTACAGCGGGTTTAGTTCTTGGAGAGAGAGGCCGACGCCGTCTCGTAGGCGCCAAAGAAGACAAAGCCACCGATGCTGATCCACATCGTACGGGGCTTGACGCCCGAGAAGAGACGCTGCCAGCCTTCCTCCGTGTACACGCGCATGAACGTGTCCTTCATGCCACGGTATTCGACGCCGTTCGCGTCCTATCGCAAACACTGTTTCGAACAGAATTCTGCAATACGTCGGACACGCACCTTGCCGAGCATGAGGCGCGTCTTGACGACATCGAGCGGCGTCGTGATGGACGCAGCGATGCCACCCGAGATGGACCCGCAAAGTGCACCCTGAAGCGCGCTCACTTGTTCGCCCTGCTTGGCGCTCCACGTCGCTTTGAGGCCTTCCCAGAGAGGGAACTGGATGAACGAAAACGGAATCTACGAGACCGCGTCAGAGACAGCGGCTACAATGTGGATGTCTACCTCGCGCGCAAGCATGCTCCAGTAGCCGCGGTAGAAGCCCGCAATGCCGTTGGCAGCATGGAGCGTCTTGATCGAGTGCTGAAAGCCGTTGAGAGCACCAGTCTGCATGTTTTGCTTGACGATCTCCGTCGGCACGCGGACGAGGCAGGCCGCCTGCACGCAGCTTATGAGTTCACGAAGGAGCAGTATCAGCGAAACACACCGTCTCGCCGCAAGCAGCCGCGCCCATGTGGATGAAGGGCGAGTTGGCCATATGCGGGAGGTGCGTCTGGAGAGCCTCCTTCGCCGTCTCGTACGTGCTGAAAAAGAGAGCGGCTATAACAGTGATACATTAGCCATGAGGAAGCGACGCATCTACGTACCGCCAGGCGCCGAGCCGGCTGCCGCAGCCGAGAGGCCCTTGTAGACGCCCTTGAAGCCGCCGGCCTTGATGAAGCCCTGCGAGCTTTGGAGTCGCGTCTTGATCGTGTCTAGCGGGAAGAGCGCCACGTCCACGGACGTGCCAGCGATACCGCCAGCCTACATGCACGCTCGCGTGGGCAATAGAGCAATAAGCGAAGGCACGTACGACGAGGGACGTGAAGAAGCTCTTGGGCGCGGGCGCAGCGTCGGTCATCTTGCGGAGTGGACGCGAATTCTACCGACCATCCCTGGATTGGTCGACTTTGCTGATACGTTTTGATTGGCGGAATTCCTTGAAGGGCGAGCTGATTGGCTGCATGGGTACGCCAGCTTACACATCACGGACGTCGGCGGAAGGCCATAAACTCGAGAGACATTGTAGGATGCAGCTTCGTGGTGCCAGCCCATGACCTCATCGGTCGTCGGAGAAGTGCAATTGGGCTTTTGGGCGGCAAGGATCCCTCTCCACACTCTACTGTGCCCCACACATGAAAGATACGCTGCTATGTGTGATTGGCTGATTTTCGCGCTTGTGGATTGGTCCAAAGAGAAATGGGTAATTTGATTGGCTAATATTACGTAGCAGCCACAACATGAGCACCAAGGACGTTGGCACTCCTAAGTCTAAAGACTGGGACACAGCCTGCGCATCAAAGCACTTCACGCAGCAGTTCTGTATGCGCATTATAGTCACGCGTCATTCGTTCGTCTCCAAAGCAGCGGAATGCCAAGGATTGCGTTGATGCTGGCGAACTTAACCGGAGACGAGGGTCCGGAAAGATCCGTATAGCGAGAGGTTCGAAGTCACTTGGCAGTGATATCCATCCCATCAAATGATCGGGCCGACGCTTCTTCTGCGGCGCGCGCTGCCTCGCTACAGCCTTCTGGCCAAGGCGCCTTTTCTCCAGCCCCAGCGAGGCCTCCTCTCGTCGCTCTCAGGCAGCTTTGGCTCCGGCTCCGGCTCCTCCAGCCGTCCGCTCGAGCTCAAGTATCTCGAGGGCAACGGCGCGCTGGCTCTGGCGCTGCCGCTGCCCCTCCACGACAACGGCATGCTGGGCGGCGCGGAAGGCGATGTCGGCTTAGGCATGCGTGTCTTCAGCATGCAGCCGACAACGTCTGTCGGCGGCTTTATCGCGCAGGTCCAGCAAGAAGACACGAGCGCCAAGGACGTTCAAGTGCGCACGACCAAGGGCGTCGCGTTCCCGCCCGAGACGCCCTTTTCGACGCTCATGGCCGATGACTTCCAGATTGTTTTGAACGACAAGGTGCTCAAGGTCGCTGCGCCAGGTACGTCGCTGTCGCCAATGGTCCCGGACTGCAATGCGCAGCGTAGTCTTTACTGGCGATGCGTACACAAGCTTGCCCCAGGACGGGCAGCTCGACATTCGGTCCGTGGCGCACAAGGCAGCCATCATCAAGCTGCGTGAGACCATCGAGTCGCATCCGTACGTATCCACACACAACGTCTACATGCTCATCCGGTGTGGTCCTAGCAAATGGAAGATCGACGTCGCCGAGTTCCGCAAGCTGGCGGCCGAGCATGGCATTCCTAAGAAGCAAGCGAGCCAGGTGCTCCACGCGTTCCATCAAGTGGGCATCGTCTTCCACTTTGCCCAGGTAAGGACTCGGAGCACTGCGTGTGGTCGCTCACAGATCTTGTGTATGGCTAGTCGCCGGACGAAGAGCTCAAGACGGCTGTGTTCCTCAAGCCACGCAACGTTCTCGACACGTACTTTGACTCGCTTGGACTGACGCCGCCGACGACGCAGCACTACACCGAGGCGGTGTGTTCCTTGTCCCTTGGACACTTTAACACGTCATTGCGTAGCGTCAAGCGCTCGAGACGGAGCTCGCCACGCTCATGCCCGAGCACGACGCCCTCTTGCACCTCAAGAAGGAGCTGGACCACATGGCCCACAAGCGCGTCCGCGTCTACTGCTACCTGAGCTCCCTCGGTACGCGTCCGATCCAATGCCGCTGTACTGACTGGCATGTAGGGCTTGTCGGTAGCTTTGGACTCTACGCGTGGCTGTCGTTCATTCACTTTTCGTGGGATATCATGGAGCCTGTGACCTACTTTACGGGTTTCGGCGTCTCGATCGTCGGCTACACTTGGTGGACGTTCACGCAAAAGGAGTACGACTACGAGAACATCTACGACTACCTCTTCCAGGGCCGTCGCAAGAAGCTCTATGCACGCGCTGCCTTTGACGAAGCGAAACTCGAGGCGCTTCAGGCTCGTGTTGCGGCCATCCAGAAGGACATTGACGTCATTGCAGCCAAGGCGGTCAAGCCCACGTGCCTCCAGGCGCAGTTCCTCCGCAATGAGTAAGCAGGATATGCAGTACAATACATGAACCACTGCTTCGTGAGCTTGGACCACAAAAATCCGCTCTGAACCAGGGCTAGGTCACGGGAAACTGTCGACATTTGCACGCCGAAACGAATACCTCTGGGACGATGCAGGATGTGGTGCTGGAGGTTGTTCGCTTCATCCCAGGTCCAAACGATCTGGTCGCGTTTCTTGAGGCCGTGCGACCCGTGGACCGCAGTGATGTCCTCCGCAGCCTTCGCGCGCTCCTGCTAGCGATCCCTCCCGACCGGCTCTGGCCCGAGCCGATGCTTGACTATGCGCCAGATGCCCTCATAAGTGTCTTCGAACGTGCCTTACCAGCGTTCAACTCCTTGCGCATCGGCAGCGACGTAGCGTTTCGTCGGCCGCCGCTACTTCGATTGCCGCCGTCGACGACCGTCATATCTTGACCAACGCGTCAGTCTCATCGGAGGAAATCGGCGACGTCTTCACGCCGTGGCCCACACATCTCATCGTCATGTCAATCTTCTTGGCCTGGGACGATGCCGACACGGCGTCGGTCTGCAGGGCGTGGCGCGGCTGTAGCCAGCTGCGGCACGTCGATGTCCAATTTGAAACGCTAAACCAGATGCAACTCGACGCCTTCATGGACGTTGCGCGTACATCCTGGCCCTCCCTCCAGCACTTTTGTCTGCGCGTTGAGAAAGACGCTAGCGATGCAAGCGCCGAGTTCGAGTCCAGCGACAGCCTCTGCGCCTGGCTCGCGACCACGTCAGCTACGTCGCTCGGCTTGTCCGACGTGGCCTTTCATGGTGCCTCCGGTATCGCACTCTCTCAAACATTGCTAGAAACCAAGACGGCGCTCACCTCGCTTGCGCTGGACCATGTTGATGGCCTCGTGCCACCATCATCGCTCTCGTCGAACCTCTAGTCCCTGGTGCTGCACTCGCTTGAGTTGACACCTGTAGAGCTGGCATCGTGGGCGACGCAGCTGCCTCATTCGGGCCTCACGAGGCTCTCTGTGAACATGGCAGTGGCGTTTGATGCATCTGCGCTACTACTGGCAGCCACCGCAAGTGTGTCCAATGTCGCTATCTCAGGCGGCAATGTGCTCACGCTTTTTGTCCCAACGGCATGTCGTCTGCAGCACCTCCGTCTTCACGATGGTTCTTTCACCGACAGCGCCGTAACCGGCTTTGTGGAGTTGCTGACGGTGACCAAGGCACTGAAAACGCTTGCGCTCTCGAACATGGCACTGACCGTCACCCAGCTGACGGTGCTGGCTCAAGCATTGCCGACCTGGATGGCGCAAGGACGACGTCTTCTTGTGCTTACTTTGAGCCAATTCGATGAAGAAAGCGCTCACTTGCTGGCGTCCGTGATCTCGACCTTGCACCTGCAATCGGCAGCAACGATCGACCTGAGCCGGAACACCATGTCACCGGCGAGCCTACACATCCTAGAGGCTGCACACGAATCCAGCAAGCACGTCACGTTGCTCGTCCACGACCGGGACGATATACTAACGAACGTGGAATAAAAGGCACACCACGTACAATTATGGACCTTCGAAATGACGCAAGGTTGAATGTACATGGATTACCCTTTCGGTTTTAGTCTCTCCAATGCGGGTGTTCTGTGGTCGTTGTCTGTCACGGCATCGATCGCTTAAAGTCACTGACTTTGCCATACTTGCCACAGACTCGAGAGCTGGAGTTCTGGTTGCAGCAAGTGAAGTTGAGGACAGTGATGAGCTCTAGCTCAACCTCCTTTCGTATGATTTGCGCAAATTCTTCAGCGCCGATGAGCGATTTGGGAATGTGCAAGTTGCCCTCCGGACATCTGATTAGCGGATCGCCGGGCAAATCAAAGCATTCCTTGAGGTGGCGAGGATGGCGGTCATGCATAGTACGTGGCTCCAGCCGACCGTGGCCTACGGCATCGCTTGCTTCGCCGGCTTCTGCGTCTCAGACGCCATTGCGCTCCTCGACGCTCTCCCCCCAACGATGAGATGCGACGTATTGAGCATTGTCTACGCGCGCATCCAGGCGACGGACGACCCGAGCAAGCTCTTCCGCGTCGTCGCGATCAACTCTGCTGTCGTTGACACGACAATTCAGCTCCAGCTCGTACAACCAACAATGCCGTGGCCTGTCACTGTGGTTGTCGACTGGATTCCGCGCTGGGTGGGCAGCGCTATGCTCGCATTCTGGCCCTGCGCCGTCACATCGCTCGAGATCTCGCTGCCTCCGTCGTTGGTCAAGACAGATGAGATCCTCGCCGGCATCACAGAGTGCGTCAATGTCAGCTTCGAGTGCACTTCATGCACTCGAAGCTGACGCAAGACCAACTTGACGCGATTGTGGTCACGGCCGCGTCGTCCTGGTGGTTCCTCGAGTCGTTTACGCTGACGACGATGGAGAAAGGGACGAGAACACTGGATTCAACTGCATGTGGCTCGCGTCATCCCCCGTGCAGTCGCTCACTTTGAACGAGATCGATTTTGGACAACGTGCGGCGATAACGCTCGCGCGCATCATCAGTCACTCGACGACGCTCAAGTCTCTGGTGCTGTACGACACGCCTGCGTCATGGCGTCATCATTCACAGCTCACCCCTGCACTCTCTGACGCGTCTACGCCACCACTACCGCCGCAGTTGACGCCGCATGCGCTGCACCTGACCTCGTTGTCGATTACTGAGGTGGCGGCCTGGGGCACCAAAATTGCGGCGTCACAGCTCTCGACTCTCACCCTCGAATTGAGCATTCCGCGCGACTTGACAGCTATCGTGTGCAATGCGCTTGCTTTGCCGACGATGGAGAATCTCAGCCTCCGTTGCGTCGTTCTCACGGGCACCAATGCCTCGGGTCTGCGCCGTTTCCAATTTATTGGCTGCTCCCTCTTCGGCCAAACGCTGGCAACTGTCGTCGAGATCATCCAGACGTCTGAAGTGCTCGAAGACATTGAATTCAAAAAGTATAACTCGATCCCACCGTCGTGTGTCGCTGCGATCGCGGCGGCCCTGCCTGCGTGGACAAGTCGGCGCGGGGCCTCAATTGACGTTGGCGGGTGAATTGCGATCCGACCGAGCCCACGAGTTTGTCCATGTGCTGCCTTGCGTGCGCAATTCGTCTCGCTTCGCGCTGCGCCTCCGCGATACAAAGCTGGCGACGCGAGATAAAAAGCATCTCGTCGCCGCTCTCAGCGACGTGCCCTATGGAACGAGCGACGCAGAGGAGCAAGACGTCGCAGCATACGCGCAGCACGTCGGTGTGCTCATGGTCGATGCAACAACGTTTTACGCGCCACTAGCGCAGCTTGTGTCCAAGAAGAGACAGACGTAACGACTTCTTTGTCGAGCTTTTGACTCCAGTATATTTGTTGTCTGGGCATCGACCATTCGTCCAAATGCACATTCAAGTAGCATCTATGTATTGTAGTGCCTCTGCGAGCTCAGGCTGACACGTCGACGGGGTGGTGCGTTTCTAGCGCTTGGATACGCGATGCAAGATCGAGGAGCGCCCGCTGGGCCATCGACTTGTTGGCGTCCGTCGTGCGCGCGGGCCAGAAGCCGCATGTGGTGCAAAAGTCGTTGTCCTTGGAGACCAGCGAAAACCCGCAGGCCGGACAGCCGTCTGCGTCGCCCCGGGAGAGCGGCACATTGCGCAAGTCGCCGTCGAACGCGTCGAGGAACTGCCGGAAAAGTACAAGTGCTCGCGGTCGCGGATCACGATGCGGTGCTGGGCATAGCATGCGGCGGCAACATCGTCAAACGACGTGTTGGGCGGGTACGCGTCAAAGTAGCCTTTCCGAAGTTGGGTCGTCCCGGCGCCTTGTTCAATGGGCTCCTTAGCGCGCCACTGCGACGTTGCCTCTGGGAACGCCTGCCGCAAGAGCCGCTTGCCATGGATGTTGCCGTCGGGCACTGGCGTCTTATCACTAATGAGCTCGTCGCGCGGCCGGGCCAGAGCAAAGGCGACGACCCGCGGGTCCAAAAACGGGCTGAGAACGTCAATGCCCATTGACGCTGCGAGAGTTTTCGACGAGAAGCGCATGATCCGAGCGATCCAGAGGCGGTATGCTGCGAGCTTCTCCGTGTCCATGCTCTGAAAGAACGAGTAGCCTACACGCTCGTCGATACAGGATATTCCGAGTCAGGGTGCGACCTGCGAAGAGTTCGTCGGCTCCGTCGCCCGTCACGACGCAAGTGTAACCAAGTGCTTTGGCTTCGAGCAACGAGCGGTAAATCACGATTGAGTTGCGAAGTTCCATCGGGTCGAACGAGACGAGGAGGCGGCTGACGCTTCTCGCGTGCAAGAGCAGGTTCTCGATCGTCTCCTCCAAGCAGTGGTGCGTCACTTGCCCGAGCTTCTCGCAGATGCGGGCCGCGTACACAGCGTCTTGCGCCTCGGGAGCTGCACGCACCGTGATACCTCCGCGCAGCATCGAAAGAATTGGCGGTCCAAATCGCGACGTTGCACACACATCCTGGAACGACATCGGCGTGGCTTGCGCCAGGATCGAGGTGTCGAGTCCACCGCTGAGCAAGATGGCCTGCGGGGCCTTCGCCGCCGTTTCTTGAAGCACGTCTTGAAGCAGGTGTCGGCACGCGAGGACGGACATGGATGGTGTCTCGAGAATGTTGTCGAGGGGCCAGCCGAGCTTGGCGGCTCGCAAGATCCGCCGGCGGTCGTCGACGGATTTCGAGTAGTGAAACATGGTCTGTGCCGGCGAGTACATGAACGCGTGCTTCGGGTCAAAGGTAATGCGCGGGCGCAGCCACATCGTCCAGTTCATCGGCGTCGGGAGCTGCGAGAGCGAGAGCGCTTCGTCGAGCTGCGCCTTCATGGCCGCGCGCACCTCGGGGGCGATGTCCAAGGGTGCCGCAGCAAACACGGGCTGCGTCGGCCCAAGCACGCTCCCAAAAGCGACAACAGCGCGCTGGGCGTACCATGGCCCGAACGTCGGGTGCACCGTCAAGTGGAGCTCCTACGTGATCTTGCACACGTATGTTTACTCGATGAATTACCTCGGACAAATTCGCAAGGCCGGACGCGACGATCATGCGCTGGGCCGCGACCATCTTTCCTGGTTCGGTCTCGTGCACCCAGTACACCTGCTGCAGTAGTAGTAGCGATCTCAACGGACTTCATATACCTTGTCGGGAACGTCGATGAGCGTCGAGACGGCTTGCGTCACAACTCGCATGGCATACTCGTTGAGCGGATGCTCCGGAATGCAGTCGAGGTCGTCGATGGATGCAAGGAATGGCTCCCAGAGTCGCTTCGTGTTGCCCACCATGACAAGAAGCCCCGTCTCGGGCAACGGGATCTTGTACGCCTCTGGCACCGCTGCGTTGTACACGCCGACGCTCAGCGGCGCGACGAGATCAAGGCCCCTAGTCGCATACGCATCAAGCACGCATCGCTGCATTGTTGACGTACGCTGGCTGTAAAGCTGCTTCCAGCGCCTGGACGACTACTTGCCACCGCGCTCCCATCGTCCGTCGGCTTTTGCCAGGTCAAACCCCAATCTTTGTCGTACGTCGAATTAGTGTGAAATCAGGAACCATGCAGCCAATATTTTGGAGTGGTAATGGAGCTTGTGCAGAGCGCTCTGGTCTGCGCCAGAACCCATGCTTTGCGGCAGCGGCCTATGCACGCGCACGCAGTAAAGAGTCGAGCGAACCAGCGCCGGCTGCACGAGAAGCGCATCCTACACTATATGCGTTGATTTCGATCGTCATCCGCATACTGTCCGGATACGGATCGAACTTGGGCAAGGTCGACCTCAGTTTTGGGAAATCTTCCGTCGACAAAGACGACGCGTGACGCATGGTGGCCGCCAACAAGATCGTAGTCTGCGACAACGGGACGGGGGTACGCATAAGCATGGCTGGCTCATCGTCTTCATGACCATGCTTCTCTAGTTTGTCAAGTGCGGCTTCGCGGCCGAGAACTTTCCCCGGCACATCTTCCCGTCGATGGTCGGCCGGCCGATCCTGCGCGCCGAGGAAGCGGTCAACAAGGACGTCATTCTCAAGGACGTCATGTGCGGTGACGAAGCTGCGTATGTGCGCTCGAACCTCCAGATCAGCTACCCGGTCGAGAACGGCATCGTCAAGAACTGGGACGACATGGAGAAGCTGTGGGACTACACGTTTCAAGACCGCCTCAATGTCAACCCGCAAGAGATGCGCATCATGCTCACGGAGCCGCCGCTGAACCCCAAGGCTAACCGCGAAAAGCTCACGGAGGTTATGTTTGAAAAGTACGGGTTCCAGGGCACGCACATTGCCGTGCAGGCCATGCTCACGCTCTACGCGCAAGGCCTCTTGACGGGCGTTGTCATCGACTCGGGCGACGGCGTCTCGCATGTCGTGCCTGTTTACGAAGGCTTTGTGCCGCAGCACCTCATCCGCCGCCTCGACGTTGCGGGCCGCCACATCACGCAGTACCTCATCAAGCTCATGCTGCTCCGCGGCTATGCGTTCAACCGAACGGCAGACTTTGAGACCGTGCGCCAAATCAAGGAGCGACATTGCTACGCTGCGCTGGATCCGACGATTGAGCGCCAGCTTGCCCTCGAGACAACGGTTCTCGAGGAGACGTACGAGCTCCCAGACGGCCGCATTGTCAAGCTCGGCCGTGAACGCTTCGAGGTTGACATGTACCGCATTGCTTGTCGCTCATGGACCACGGGCTGCGTGTAGGCGACAGAAGCGCTCTTCCAACCGCACTTGATTGGTGTCGAAGGCGCCGGCTTGAGCGACATGGTCTTCGACATGTGCCAAAAGGCCGAGATCGATATTCGTCCGGAGCTGTACAAGAACATTGTGCTCAGCGGCGGCTCCACCATGTACCCGGGTCTTCCGAGCCGTCTCGAGAAGGACATTAAGGATCGATACCTCAACGACGTGCTCAAGGGCGACAAGTCGCGCTTGGGTAAGTTCCGCCTCCGCATCAACGACCCGCCGCGCCGCAAGCACCTCGTATTCCTTGGCGGCAGCGTCCTCGCCGACATGATGAAGGACAACGACCAGTTCTGGATCTCCAAGCAAGAGTACGACGAGCAGGGCGTTCGCTGTATCGACCGCCTCAAATAGGCAACGTTGGTGACACGTTGACTCGAACAACGACACTACTTTCTTCGTGTCGCCTTATTTGTGGAGTGCCTCCAGCTGCGCGTGGCACTCGCCTGCGAGAATCGCCCACGCGTCCTTCGTCTCGGCGGCCGTCGCGACGGCGAACGCTGCGTCTCGCGCCCGCGCTGCGTCTTGGTACGCTTGGGCTCGGAGAACGCGCACATCTTTGCACGCAGCGGCGAGGTACGTCTTGGCGCCGTTGGTCAGTGGCACGCCTCTTCGGAAGCTACCAACGACACCTGTGTGCCGTGGTCCGTGGCGCTTGCCGACGGTTGGGTGCGGAGCGACCTGCACCGGCGGTTGCCACTCGGGATCCATCGCCGGCGATGGGCGCACGGTTGGCAGTCGCTTCACTGGTGGTGGCGGCGACACGGGTCTATACAGATTGATAGAAGGGATATCGGAACAGACGTGTACTGCGGAGGAAGAGGTGGCGCGCGCGCGAGGACTTGGCTAGCCTTGATATGCTCGAGAATCTGCAGCAAATGTCGCTGGCGCTCCTTCTCGAGCCAGTCCGCCATATCGACCTCGACGTGAGCGTACTGCGGCATCGGCGTCGTCGTCGTGTTGGAGAGGAAGGCGCCGTGCGTCGACTTGCCCTTGGTCCAAAGGTCGGACAGCTCGAGTGCTGTGAGCTGGGCGCTTATCGCTGCCAAGTGGGTTTTCCTATGTACAAAGGCCGACTTACGTGGCGCTGCATGGTATAGATGCGTACGAAGCGCATTTGCGCAGGTCTGCGAGGTAGCTCTGTAGCGGCGCTCTCAGCAGTGGGCTCTGAAGTACTTCCGCGACGTTTGGTCGGCTGCTGGGCGACACGGCGAGCATCTTCAGGACGAGTTTTTGCAGCCCAAAACTGTACTCGCGATGAATGGGCGCGTAGAACCCGCTGCAAATGTTGGACAGCAGCGCCGGTGTGGTCGCTCCGGTGAAGGGATACGTGAGCGCGCAGAGCTCGTAGAGGAGGCAGCCGAGCGCCCAGACATCGGCCGAGAAGGTGTAGCGCTCGCCCGCGCACTGCTCGGGCGACAAGAAATACGGTGTGCCGACAAAGGTGGAAGCCATGTTGTTGCGGCCCGTGAGCTCCTACGCATCAAGCATCACGCGGCCGCAATCTTATCTTGAAAGTACTCTGGAAATGCCCAAGTCCCCAAGGATGTACTGGCCCGAGTTGGAAATGAAGACGTTGTGGCTCTTGATGTCGCTAAGAGCAACGAAAGGTAAAAATCATAAGGGTTCACTCGTGGAGCAGAGGTGCTACCGATGCAGGATGCCCTGGGCGTGCATTGCATGAAGCCCGAGGCAAACTTGCACGAACATGAGCAATATGGCGTGCTCGGGGAATCGCTGGCGCTACGCTGAAATCTTGGCGTGCAAGTCGCCTAGCCGGGTATGACCCTCAACGTGCGTCGAGGCGAGACAGGAGAAGCGAACCGCCAGAGCAATACTGCATGACGATGTAGTAGTGGCGTTGGTTGCGTGCAACGAACGCATCTTTGTATGCGACGATGTTGGGGTGCGAGAGGCGAGCGAGGAGCCGTGCCTCCTGAATGCTGTCGGCAAGGCCGGTCTTGGTCTGGACCGGAATGTCTTTGACGCAAACGAGTCCACCGCGCTCGGCCTTCTCACGCATGAGATACACGAGGCCGAACGAGCCTTCACCGAGAACGCGGATCTTGGCGTAGCCGTCCATGCCAAAACCTGTTGGAGGATCAACAAGAGCACCCGGTATATTTATAGCGATATGCGGGAGCAATCTTCTCATGCGCGCGTGATACGGTAGAGAAGAATGTTGCCGTCGCGCACGAGTAGCTCGTGCTGCAAATAGGCTGCACTGCACGCTTGGAAGTCGGCCAGCGCCGCGTTGTCCCCACGCTCCTCGTACGACAAGTAGCAGACCTAGCCATGGTAAAGGTGCCGCCGTGTAGAGAGATTTTGCGTACGGTGTGCGTGGAACCGAGGTCGTAGATGCTTTTAGCGAGGTTGCGCCACGAGTCGACGCCGTAAATGGGGTTGATACCTACTCTGTTCGTTGGGGCTTGTACGCGGACACCGATGACACGTACAGTCCGAGACGACGATGTAGTCGAACGGTTTGTTCTTGATAAAGAGCTCAGTGAACCGAGGACTGCCCCAATTGAACTGCATTGCCGTGATGGCGCCAAGGTCGCGCGGCTGGTTCAAAGCGAGGTTGTGCTGTAGGAGGCCAACAATCTCTTCCTGGTCCGTCACGACAACGCGCGCAGCGCCAAGGTCCTGCGCCACAAGACCCACGAGGCCACTAGACAGTAAAACGGTGATGCGCTGTCTGATATGGCAGAGCCTTGAGGTACCAGCCACTGCCGAGCTCGACGACATTGGCGCCAGGCGCAAAGCCGCCTTCGCCCTGGAGCCGCGCGAGATGCTGCGAGAGAAAGACGGACGCGCGCCAGACGAGCGAGCCGGTCCACGCGTCGGAGAAGAGCGCATCGAGCTGGTCGCTCTCGAGCGTCTCCGAGATCGCGTACGCGCGGCCGGCGACTTCGATCGACTGCGTTGTCATGACCAAGTGTGTCGTTTAAGCCAATCAGTGCGCGCCCTGGTCCTAGCCCCGTTTTGATTGGTCGCTGTATTGAATTTCGAAAGTGTCCAACGGCTTGCAATTCGGTCATCATCAGACTCGAACATGTCGCTCGAAGACAGGCTCGCGAGCCTACGCGCCGGGAAGGCGCCGACGGCGCTCGCCCGCCCGCTCCTGCAGCCGCTTGGCGACGTCACCTTCACCGAGGTCAGCGAAGACGAGTGGGACGACGAGCCAATATCATACATCGCGCCGCCGCCGTCGCAGTCGACACGAACGCCCCCCAGTTCCGAGCCGCGTACCACCATGTACACGTCTATGGCGACGCCGCCGCCGTCCGAAGGCGCCCCTCGCACGCCGCCCGTGTACGCCGAAGCGCCACTGCCATCGAAGTCTGTCAATGCGAGCGCGCTCTACGAGACGGCGCTAAAGATTGCAACGGCCGCTATGGACAACGAGCGGGCGCGTCGCTTCACGACCGCGATCGACGGCTATGCTGAGGCTGGAAGCATTTTCATCGAGATTGGCCGACAAGAAAGTGACGCGCGCGTTCAAATGACCATGAAGAAGAAGGCGTTCTCGCTGCTTACGCGGGCCGAGGCGCTTGCGACGTGGTTCGACAAGGTGCAAGTCGAGGCGTCGACCGGACTCAACATTAGCGAGGCTCTCACCCAAGCGGAAGAGGCGACGTCGAAAGAAGTGACGGAGAATGAAGAGCAGGTCCGCGTCATGACGCAAGAGCTCCAGCAGCTCAAGTACGCGTCCGACCTGCGCGCGTCGTCGGTAGAAGAGATTGCCGAGGTGACGGCAGCGCCGCAGGTGCAAGATATGAAGCTCGCCCTTGTGAACGAAATGCACAGCCTTCTCAACCTCCCAGAGGTCGACCACCTCCGCACGTTCAAGCCACTAAGCGAAGACGCGACCAAGGATGCGTATGCGGTGGAGCTCGCACAACAGGTCGAAAGCTTGAAGAAAGAGCTTGCATTCGAGAAGGCTACCCACGTGCTCGGCAACTTTGTGCGGAAGAAGCGGTTTCAGGCAGCGGCCTCAGTCGACGATGAAGAGCAGAATCGCCTCCAGACTGAAGTCGATCGACTACGCGCCGAGCTCAAGGCCCACCAGGCGATGCTCGCCGAGGCGCCCTCGAAGCGTCCGATGACGACTATTCTCGTCCCGACGTCACCGCGGCGACCGCCAACCGCACAGAAGCCATCGCCGCAGAAAGGTGGGTTTTTTGCTGCGTTTGGGCGAAAGAAGGGTGGGTCGCACGCGCCGCCTGAGTTCTTCATGGGCCCGCGAGGCTTGAAAAAGCAGCAGCAGGACGATAGCTCCCCGCGCCGTCGGTCAGACCCGTCACTGCAGTCGCCGAGGGAGCTCCGTCGACAGCGGTCGACGTCCGGCGACAATACGTCGGTAGACTCGGTGTGGCTCTAGCACACTGCTATTATGCTGGTCCAAAGATGTATTTACCGTAATCTTAATTCGCCGACTTTGGCTCAACAATACCGTTGATCATGCAGGTACCCATGGCAGGTACCAGCTTATTGGGATCACAGCGCACGGTCGACACCGCTATTAGTGAACGCCGAAGATGCTTTGAACGGTCGGTAGTTTGACGACAACAACGATCAACGACAACCCAGCGGTCGGGCAGCCTCTACTCGGGCCAGTGCAAACGAGTAGCTTGTAGTGCGAGGCGGAAGCGAAGGTCTCTACACCCTGCGAGACGCAGCCATGTCACTTGTCAAAGAACCGCGCAGGTATCTCGGATGCTCCTTTGCTTTTCGAAGTTTCCACCGCGGCACGGGCCCTTCGCACACGGCGACCAGATCGTGCCTGGCGGCACCGTTTACGGCAATACATGGAAATGTAATCTGACATAGAGGAGCCTTCGGGCGCTCTTCCGGCCCGAATGCAGTTGTAGTAGGCCATATGTCCAAGTCATGTGATCTCAGTGGTTTGGAGCCTGCGACGAAACGCAAGTGCGAGTTCTCAGAGGCACGGCTACTTCGCTTCGTGGGTTGCTGCACCATCCGAGCTTCTGCGCGGGCCAGCACCGACTGACCATGTCGCTGCCCAATGAAGGCAGACCTGTTGTAAGCATGGTGATTCGATCCACTGTGGCCGCTTGGGTGATAGCGCCTCGAAATTTGCAGTGGCCAGCATCATGGCCGGTAGCGAGCCAGCCGTCGTTCGATCGACGAAGGTGAGCTCGGTAGCCGACCGTGTCTCGTCGCCTGCAATGTATTAGCTTGGCCCTCGTCTTTGGTTCTAGGTCCTAGGCCCATTCGTACTATACACTACTGTGCCCGATGCCGTCGACCGAGTACTGTGGCACGTGGCACGGTGTCAAGCAGCCTCGCTCCGAACGTTGGTTGCCACTTGCCGATCGATACAAACTGCAAGGTCGGGCGTATGCGCCCGGCTCTTCTCACGGAAGAATGCCTTCGATGTCCCACTACGTTCAGTATGCGCCGGCGCTTTAACGCACTTTCACGCATACGTTAAATGCGTTTTTTACATGGAGGACTGATTTTAAGTACCTGCCTGACACTCCGTGAGGCCAGTTGATGAGGCCAGGAGCGTGCTTGGCCCGTCGGGCCACCTGCCATTTTCGAATAAGACGGCAGCATGACGCTTCTCGGCGACTTCACTTCGGCCGGCCTCATGGAGAAGCAGTCGTTCAAGATGGCAGCCAAGACAGGCGAGGCCCGGCGACACTCGGTCACGACAGGCCCCGAGTACATTTACCGCCCCAAGATGATCTCGTCGCCTGATTCGGTTGGCGTCCTTCTCGGCGGCCTCGCGTACGGTGTCGACACGTGCGGGGACATGGCCTACGTCGCATGCATCAACTACGTCGCGATGATGCACCTCGCAACTCGCAAAGTGCTCACGAAGGTGAGCGTACCCGGCACCGCACTGTCGCTCACGGCATCGCCCAGCGGCAAGGCGGTGTACGTCGCGTGTCAAGAAGGTGGTCTCGTCGTACTGAGGCGCGAAGCCGACGACAGCCTCGCGATTGCCGAGACACATAACGTACCTGCACTTGGCGTCGCCATGTGTGCGGCCAAGCCCGTCGCCGTCGTCGCTTGCGACAGCCTCGGCCTCTGCCTGTTCGACACGCGCACGCACAGTTGGAGCTCGATGATCGCGCTGCATCACGCGCTTGGCCAGTACAAGGCCCGATCCGTGGCGATCAAGGACGACCAGTATGCGATTGTAGCATGCGATGCGGGTTTCCTCGCTGTCGTCGATATTGTCGACCCCAAGCACCCGCGCTTGGTGTCCATCGACCGCGTCTTCACGGGCGAAGCGCGGTCCATCTCGCTGGACGACGACAACACGACGGCGTACGTGGCGTGCGGCAACAAGGGCATCTATATTGTCAACATTGTTGATGTCGAGGCCGTCAAGTCGCTTGGCCATGTCAAGTCCGCGTACGGTGCCGTCTTCGACGTCAAGGTGTTTGGCAGTCTCCTCCTCTGCGCGTGCCAGATTGGCGGTCTCGCCGTCTTCACTGTCACCAACGAGAAGCCGTACTTGCGCCTTGTCGGCCAGAACAACCGATTCGAAGGCATCTGTCACGGTGTTGCCGGCTTCAACGTCCGATCATCTTACGGTAGCCACTCGCGCGAGGCTCTCGTCACATGCCAGTCTGGTGGCATCCAGGTGATCAAGCTCGATCGCATGGAGGCGTGGCCCCAGCCCCTCAAGCCCGCCCTGGGCGAAGCTTGTAGCATTATGTAATTCCCAACCTATTTAAGAACTTCGCTCTATTCTACTCAACCCGCGACTTTTTGTGTCGTCATCGCTATGACTCCATTACGGGCCATGGAGGAGTTGATACATCAGGATCCCCGCAGCGACGCTGACGTTGAGCGAGTCGACATTGGACGCAGCATCTTGCGGAGCGCCTATTCACTGCATGAGTCGCGGACGTGGTGGCTTGGAGGACCTGGGATGGTCAAAATAGCATCACAGCACTGCTTGATATTGGACTTGAGCCCGCGGTGTTCGTTGCCCTAACAGCGAATTCATGGTGTTCCGCACTTGTGGAATCTTAATTACCATGACGAGGATCGTAGGCTTTGTGAGCGCAAACGCATTGGCGGAGATCGACTTGGCGCCACTGCACGCGCCAACTACGTCCCAGCCCAGGTCCTTGCTCATCGCGATGGCTTGGTGCATGTTGCGCGTTTCCCACAAGCGACCCTATACGACCTGTGAACGCAAGCCATCACGAGCGTAGCACCTCAGCCACGAGCACCTCCGCCGCGCCAACAGACGCACGCAACACCTGAAAATACGTTCAGCGAATCGAACGTTGAGAAGCATCGTACCGCGGGCGAGAGCGGTGCACTGTGACGCATGCTCGTCAGCACGCCATGACAGCCAAGGAAGTGAGCCGAGCGCAGGACGGCGCCAAAATTCTACAACCACTGGAATCAACGCTGCGTTTCAGCTCATATTGGACAACCTGCGCGTCGTGAATCTCGTCGAGGGCCAGCAGCACGGGCGGGCGACCGGATGCGTCGACTGCACGCATGCGCCGAGTAGCCATAAGACCACTGAATATGCTTGCTTGAGGATACCTGGTGCCGGTGGCACGTCCGGTTCGAACTCGGCGATCGCCAGCGGATCTGCAAAGAGCACGACGCCCTATACACAAATAGGTTTGCTATCAGTGGAAGCGCAGTTGCGCGTTCTACTTGATGCGGTTTGTCGTCGGTCGCTCGGTTCAGCAGCCACTTGCTAGCGCAGTAAACAGTGAAGGAAGCCGATTCTCAAGCCCGCGACCGTATACCTCTCGTACACGACGGGAATACCAGCGTCAGTGGCCATGGTCTTGATCTCTTTGAGGTGGCGCTCGTCTTCCGACGAAGGCTTCTTGGCCGACGTCTTTTGGTCGTTCGTGTCGCGGAGGTAGAGCTTGTGGAAAGTGCGCTGGTTGCAGCGCAGCGCCTGGCGTACGCCGTGGATGCCGTACAGCGCCTCGCCGGGCGGCAGCTCGACCTTGGGCGGCTCGCTCTTGGGGAGCCACGGCTTGGCGTCCGGCTTGCGCTTCCCCGCGTCCCCAGCGCGTTGCTTCCACGGCCGGAACGACGAGAAGGACCGGCGCAGCATCGTTGGAAATCGATTTGATTGGTCCGCCTCGCGCGCCGGTTGGATTGGCTGCACCTCTCGACGGCTGATTGGCCAAAATGGCGATCTTTCAAGGTGGTTGCAAGTTGTTGGCATGGAGATCACTTTGCACAACATTGTCTGACAGTACAATGTCCTGTATTGGCGGTTGCTAGCTTACTGCTGCTTCGGCTTTTCAAACACGGCGTGGATCCACACGCGGAAGCGCACAACGTTTTGTGACCGGTTGGCATACTGCCGGCGAATGTACTCGTTCTCGACCTGCACCATGCCCGCAGCTTCAAAGAGCGTCTGGACCTCCTCTAATAGGCAGGAGAAGCATGAGCACCTGCTCTGGTCCATCAGCATCGACTACCGGTCGTGAAGTAGTAGGCGCGCGTGTTGTCTTGGCGCACGTAAAAGTTCTCGGCGAGTTTATGCCCGGGCTTGAAGCGGAGCTGTGCTTGGTCGTAGCGGCCATAATCGCGAAAGAAAATCTACAGCATATTTATCGCACAGAGCAGAGCGAAGCAGTCGTCTACCTTGCCACCCGGGCGCACGGCGCTCGCAATCTTGGCGACTGCGTCCTGCATCTTGTCGGGGCGCAGCGCCGAGAGACAAAACATGAAAAGCGCATAGTTGACGCCACCCGCTTCGTCGATGATGGCCGGGAGCACGTCTTTTGTGATGTCGCACACCGACACGTGAACGCGCGCGGGGTCGTAGAGCGGTTGCTCCTGCGTCCGAAAATGAATAAATCGACGACCCTTTAAACGTATACCTTGAAGAGATCGACGGCTTTTGGCGCAAAGTCGATCGCGACGACGTTGAGGTTCGGATTCACTTCGAGCAGCGGAAGAGCCGCATTGCCGACGCCGCAACCCACTTCCAGCAGCCACTGCGGCTCGGACGAAGCCTACGAAGACGTAATCAGCCTCGATTCTGTGCTGCGAGTTTGCCCATACCATCGTGCCATCTTCCTTGGGCGCCAAATCGGGAAACACCACATGCAAGTAGTGCCTACACACTCGTCGATCCAATGTCCGAAGCAATTATCAATACCGGTCCTTGTAAAAGTTGGTCGAGTTTCGCTTGTAGAAAAGGTCCCAGCTCTTGGCAGCTTCGCGCTCGTACTTTTCTGCAAAGGCGTGAGGCGTAGCTATAAGAGCAGCAGGCGCACCTTGCCAGAAAGCTGGCACGACCTTCTTGTCCTGGTTAAGAAGCTCGAGAGCCAAAGCCTCACGCTCGGGCGTCCACTCGTCATCGATGATGAGCGCGTCTTCGTCCTTGAGGATCGCAACGCCCGCCTTGGCAACGACCTCTTCGATCTTCTTGTTCATCTCCATGCTTGCTGCTCTTCCTGCGTCTGCCACCGGTGCCCACTTGGTTGGACGGGCTCTGATTGGCTCTACGCCAACCTGGCTATCGGCCTTGGAATTCGTATGCTTCTGCCTGCGAGCTTCTGTTTCAAACAGAGTTTTGACTCTTGGTCAAATCCAGTGTATACGTGACGCCAGCCAGGCGAGCGAGCAGCTGCGTGTTGCGTTGCGGACAAAGTGAGCTGGCAACTCCTGATGTCATGTCAGGGCTGAGGTTACAAGAGGCGTTGCGTCTGCAGTACAATACTTGTCAGCTCGCACGCAGCGTCGTAGTCCACTGGCGCCCGAATGCCAAGCTGCCAGTGTCGGCAGTGTCGGCGCGGGCTGATAATCGAACACGATGGAATATTTGTGGTGCCCATCGTTGCTGATCACTTCCAACTCGCAGCCGTCCGATCGGTTCGTGATGTAGTACGCGCAGGCCAAAGGCACATTGAAGCACCATGTACGAGTCCCGGCACGAGCGAGCGCCCCGACGGCAATGCAGCGCGCTCTTGCCCGCCGTTCGGAATTGGAACGACGCCAGATTCACCGCCTGTCTCGCCTTCTGGTGCAAATCGACACGACCCGCGTCTCTGATTGGCGGTGGTTTTGATCCTTCAAGAAGAGAAACCAGGGATGGGAAGCATTTGGATGGGAAGGGCAGTCAGAATTCAATCGTCTGTCACCACACGCCATGGCCGCCATCGGCGATGTCACCGTGGGCTTCCGCAAGGGCGCGAATGGCCAGCTTCACATGGGTCTCGAGATCCAGCGAGGTAACGAGCGTGAGCTCATCGCCAAGGCCGTTTTGGACCAGCTCTACGCGGCGCACCGCGACTTGCAGCCGCGTGTCGACGGCCTCTTCACGGCGCTCATGCACATGAACGGAGCGTTCGAGAAGCACGGGTACGACGGCTGGCGCATCACTTCGACGGGCGAGGTCATCTCGGACGTTGCCAGCGACCACACGGTTGTTGCGACGTTCAACGCAAAGCTGCAGGATCTCAACGGGTTTATCGTCCACCACAAGCAGCGGGCCCGGTCGACGAGTGCGCCACCGAGCCGCGATCACCGCGGCTGGATCTGCAAGCAAGGAAGCGTCGTGAAGAACTGGAAGCGCCGCTTCATGGTGCTGCAGAGCTGTCACTTGCACTACTTTGAGACCGACAAGCTCACGCCGACGCTCAAGCCCAAAGGATCTTTTCAGGTCCTGGTCATTGAACGCGCGAGCGACCTCCAGCACGGTCTTGTTGCCAAAGGCCCTGGCAACCGCGTCTTCAAGTTCTACGCCGATGACGCGCAATCGTGCACGGCGTGGTTCACCGCCATCGTGTCGCACCTTCGCAACCGGCCCACCGTCGCCCCGTCCGCGTCTGCGCCCAACCTCTCGTCTCCTGCGCGGTCACTCTCCGCGTCGTCAGCCTCTTCGTCGTCATCTGTGCCAGCGCCACAACCGCCTCGCCGTGCGTCCGTGGCAGCGATGCCGGCACCGCGCTCGGCTCCATCTGCCACACCTGTCGTGCCCCAGAAACAAACGCCAGCAAGTACCCCTCCCGTTGTCAAGAGATTGCCAATCGCAGCTCCAGTCTCGCAGGCGGCTGTGATCAAGCCACCCGTTGCGCCAAGCAAGCCTGCACCTTCTGCGTCGTCGCCGGTGAAGCACTTGGTACATGCCCCGAGCGCGCCGTCGTTGGCAGCACCCAAGCAGGTCGACGTTGGATCCGTGCTCGTCGCTCTTACCAAACAGCCGACGGGTGCCCTCTCGATGAGCTTGAAGACGGCGGAGGGCGTCTCATACCGCGTCGTCATTGCGACCGAGCTTAACGCGATTTACGCCCAGCACCCTCGCTTCAAGCCGCTTGTTGACGCCCTTTTCACGGCCATGTCCCGCCTCAACGAACGCCTGCGCTCGCGCCAGTACAGCGGGTGGGCACTCACGAGCACGGGCACGGTCGAGTGCAGCTACTTCCCAGCGGAGGTGGCGGCTTTCAACGCGTCTCTGCAAAGCGTCAACCAGTACATCGTCCGACAGAAACACGCCCACCTCGGCAGAGCGCCGTCGAGCGGCAGCATTGCCGCGCCTCCACCGAACGCTACCAACAACAGCAGCAGCGTTGACAACGTGGCGCGCGCTGTGGCGGCGAACGTGCCCGTGGGCTTGGCTGCGAATCTTGTCGGCGTCTTCGTGAGCGAAGAGCTGGGCAAAGCCATCCACGCCGTGGCACCGGTGCTCGAGGCCGGCCAAGCTGCGCTCAAGGATCAAGAGCGCCAAGAAGCGAAGCGAAGCGCACCAGCCGTTGCTGCGCCGCCCCGCCCCGCCGAAGTGCACACGGGCATCATGTGCGACGGATGCAAAGTGTCGCCAATCACGGGGCCGCGGTTCCAATCGACCAAGTATGCCACCATTGACGTCTGCGGTCGCTGTGTGCAGTCGCCGGCCGTGCAAAATACGTGGGGTCCGTTCCAACAGATGCGCCAAACGGCCGTGCACCCAAACGTTGCGTGCGACGGCTGCGGCGCCAACCCGATCGCTGGCACGCGCTTCATCTCGAAGAAGACGCCCAACTTTGACTGCTGCGAGCGCTGCGTCGGACGCCTCCACACTTTGCACGGCCCCTTTGACGCCGTCGCCCGGCCCCGTGTTCTGAAAACGCACACCAACATTACTTGCGACGGCTGCCGTGTGGGCCCGATCCGCGGTGCCCGATTCGCTTCGACGCGCGTCGCCAACTTTGATTTGTGCCACATGTGCACTCGGAGCCGGCGCTTTGAGGCGTCGTACGGCCCGTTCAGGCGCGTGGGCAACCACGACAAGAAGAACGAGCGCGGCGAGACAGTGACGATCGAGTTCCAGATCAACAACGGTCCGACGAGTGGCACGCCCGAGTACAACCACCATGATGACGACTATGACGACGACGAAGGCATGTATGAGCTGGACGACGGCACGTTTCCCGGCGACGATGGGTCGAATGTCGCTGGCGGCGATGTGTTTGCTGGCGGCGATGTGTTCGCTGGCGAAAGTGGTGACAGCAGTGGAGCGTTTGGTTTTGAGAATGCAATGGGCGATGCTGGTGGTGTGAGCTCGATGTTCAGCCAAATGGGCCTCGACAACAGCTCGGTCGATGTCAGCTCGTGGTTCGACGTGAGCAGCATCTCGTACGATTTCTAAAGCTAAATGCAGCTGCATATCGTTTGCCGTATTTAACCCTCCCGCGCCGCGCTCCATTCATGTCGACAGACTGGAAAGGCCATGGCATTCATTTGGACTCCTTGAAGAGGAAACGCCCACGAGAGTTTAATCATGGTACCGGCACGAGCCACGAAAGTTGCGGCAGGGCTTGCCACGAGTAGTCATGGCTCCGCACTGAGTCTTTGGTGCCACCTTGGCAGTGGCCGGGTGTCCGCGTTCTGGCGCTGCAGACGAGCGCGGCGCATGTGGCTCGTCTCTCGATGCGTTCGAGTATGCTCGGGCGTAGGGGGTTGTATCGGGTTCGGTGCGGGGCGTCGCGGTCGACCGACGTGGCGCTGCGGGAATCGACGTTTCTTCGTCCTCCCGCGGGGCAGAGCTCCTTCGGCTAGATGCCGCCGGGCTATCTGTGTGACGGCCGCAGAGACGGTACGGGCACTTGGACCGCTGGTTCTTGCATGGTGCACCTGATTTCGTGTCGTGGGACAGGCAAAGCGATGGCTCAGCCGCTCGGGCAGCGTTCTCGGCGTGCACCGCCTCCTTTGCGGTCGAGACGCCTTGCGCTAGCTGCGCCAGCAAGGCTTCGAGGAGGGCAAGAGCCTCCAGCGTCGATGGTGCTGCACTCGCAGCTTGCTTGGCCGCAGACGCACTGGCTGCAGTAGCAGGCTTGCGCGCCGTGTGCTGGTGGTGCGACTCGTAGATCGGCATTGGCGATGGACCGGGCGGCAACTTGCGAAATGACGGAAATGGAAATTGGAACAGTCACGTGCTCGGACCCGTCGCTCACCACAGAAACGTTGCCGTATCAAAAGTCAAACGTCTGCGTTAACAGCAGAGCTACTCTATGGCCAGCGCGGAAGAATACCCACGCGCATGGTCGACTGAAGAGTGCTGGTCGTTGAAGTAGCCTGATGCTATTTTGCACTTGGGAAGGCACGGATTGCTTTTGAGAGGAGATGAACGTCGTTCGCGACACGCTTGAGATGGTCAGCTGGATGGCCTTGGATCCTACGCCAGAGGCACGTTGAATTTGCATCCCATCTCCAGTCTACCGGCGGGTCTCTCCTGTTCGCACGGAAGGATGATCTCTCAGAAGTAGCGCACTAGGGAACGACAGGTGATTTAAGAGCCATGACCGGGCTGCCGCCGATGTACTAGTTTTGGGCCACGATAGCATTGCTCGGGTCCATGCGCATCGCTTTCAGGTAGAGGTCCTTGGCACGGCTGAGCTGGTTTGCCTTGCGCAGCATGTTGGCATAGTTGCCTATGCTCACACACCTTTCCGTTGGTCGAACGAGGAGAAGAGTGGCCACCATAAAGATTGGCATTCTCAACGTCCAGCACAAGTGCGCGCTCGTAGACGTCGCCTGCGTCCTTGAGATGCCCAATCTCTGTCAAAAGCGACGCAAATTGCACTAGGAAGCAGCACAAAGTTATCGACAATCCGTTACCCGCTGGAAGCATACCTAGGTTATTGATGTGGTCGGGCTGCACGGCTAGCGCCTTTGTTAAGTACACACGCGCCTAGGCGTGGGCTGTTTGCGCAGCATTGGCACACAACGCCACCGTACTTTGTCCTTGTCGCCCTTGACGAGGCGCAGAAAGCTCGCGTAGTTGCCCATGTGACTAGCTGCGTTTGCTTTGTCTAGACGAACGCACAGGAAGGAGACTGGCTACCGTCCCGGGGAAACGCCGAGAGACCGCGCTTGTAGTACTCTTCGGCTCGAAAAGTGTCGTTGCGCATGCGCTGGAGGAAGCTAGCTGCCGTTTTTAGTCGGCCCTTTCGACTCTCTAGAGCTCAAACCTGGCGTAGTTGGACAGCTGCGTGGCGTCTGTCGCGGGAGCGTCGATCGCACGCAGATAATACTCCTCGGCGTCGTCCAAACGGCCGCGGACATGGTCGAGGAAGAGCGCGTAGTGTCCGAGATTCTCTAGTAGATGCCAATGCATAACATTTGCAGTCGCTCGCATCTACACACGGCTATTGGTCGGCTCCAGCTCGATCGCTTCGTTGAACGTTTGCTCGGCCAAGTCATAGTCGCCCTTGATACGCTAGTGCAGACGAGTAAGATACGACAAGCGGTGGTGAAGTACGTGGAGGAAGAAGGCTTTTCGCCCGAGCTTCTCGGCCTTGGAAACCGGTGCGGACGGCGGTGGTGCCGAGAAGGTCTGGATGCGGTCTCGGCCAGCAACGACAGGTAGTGTCCGTTCGCTGCCGCCGCGGGCGATCGTACTTCCGAGAGTCTGCCGGCGTAGATGGTTCAAAGACGTCGGTGGTGCCAAGAGGGGGTTCATGCGCGGACCATCCATCGCAACGAGCTCCTTGAAGCCTTGGCAGTGGTGCGCCCGAATTTCCGACTCGAGCTGCGCAATTGTCCCGACCTTCTCTGCCTCGGCTCTGACGCCATGAACATCGTCGTTTTGCTCGTGTCCGCGCACTTGAGCTTCCTGTTCAACCCGTGAGGTCACATGCTGGGCGTAGTGGGTGAAATTGCCTTGCGCTCGAGGGCAGCGATGCGGCTCTGGAGGGTCTGCACGTCTTCACTTGGTACCTTTCAGGGCGACAGAATGTTATGGTTGCCATCAGAAGATCAAGTTGCATACGTTGCCGGCTGGAATGGCATCGAGCTCTCGCCGAAGAGCATCCAGCGACGCCAGATCGTCGCCCATGCGCCGCGCTACGGCCTCGACTCGTGCCTGCCGCAGTGTTTGGACGTCGTTGTAGAGCGCTTGCGCCATCGCCCGCTTCTCTTGGCTTTGCTTCATGGGCGAGCGCGATGGGTCGAGAACGTCGTCGCCGGTGGCGTCGAGTGGCGCTGCACTGGACGCCAATCTGATCTCTTTCTGGTTGGAGCATTGGAGACCGAGCCAGCGCTCGTAGAGGGCGCCGCGCCGATCTTCGCCGCGAAGACCGGGTGTCGACGAGCTCACGCCAACCTTCTCGAGCTCTCTAAGACGACGTTGGCGAGTGTTCAAGTGTGGTTGCACGTATGCAATCCCAACCGGCGCAGGTCTGTAAGGCTCATCGTTGTCGATGCTGCTACTGGGTTTGACGATGTGCTGCATTGGGCCGTGGATTTGGTTGCTTCTTCGTACCGAGCTGCGACGAGGGATCATCATATGTAACCAGATGTTTATGTACCGAGGAGAAGAGCCCGCCGCTCATCGCCGCGCGCTCCCGGCGTCGCAACGGAGAGGCCGAGCCCAGCGAGAGCCTCGCGCAGCGCTGCCACGCTCCACGTCGCTGCCATCGGTTTCAGAATCAACCGTCACCGTTCCAATGGTTTGAATGCACGAAATATGAAGCATTGTAAAGTCTCGTATACTAGGGCTCGGACGGCGCCGCCTTCGTTTCTTCTTCGTCGGCGTCAACGGCCTCGTCGGTCGTCGCAACCTTCTTGGTCGGCGGTTCGTTCTCGATCGCACTCGTCGCCACGCGCTTGAAACGCATGAGGCGTTGCTGCAGCCGCTGCTCCTCCGTCTCGGCCGGTGCTTCCGCCGCTGCGTCTGCGGGGAGCGTTGGCACGGGCAATGTGATCTTCGAGTTGCCACCAAAGACGAGGCCCGTTGGCCCACTCGACCCAAAGGCCGTTGGCGGCATCAAGTTGAGGAACGGGTTGCCCTACAGATACCCGCTAAGCTATCGCCCACCTTTCGAAAGGAATCGGTGTACCTTCGGGGTCGACGTTGTTGCAGGCGTTGGTGCGTCGAGCTTCAGCGGCGTCATTGGCGCGGTCGCAAACGGAGCAGCAAATGGTGCAGCGGCCGTTTCGGAGGTGGTGAGGCTGAAGACCGGGGCTGCTGGGTTCAGCGCTGTCGGCGCCGGAATCACGACCGTTGGCTTTGCGGGCGATGCAGGTGTCTTCTGCTGGGCTGCCATCTTGGATTTTTTCAGGAGAGACTTCAGTGCCATCTCGCGCAAGGACGAGGAAGCATCTGCTTCTTCAGTCGCTGATGCATCAGCCTCGACGGGCTTTGGCTCATTCGGCAACGGAGGAGACATAGCGACGACCGACTTGGGTTCCGTCGGCAATGGAGGCGACGCAAGACCAGGCTTGGCCTCGGCGGGGAGCGGTGGGGACACAGCGACGACCGGCGCCGCAGTAGCTACTGTTACCACGGGCTTTTGGGCAGCAGGCACCGGCGCAACTGGAGTAGGGACCACAAACGGTTTTGTCACAACCAGCGCAGGTGCAGCGGCGAGCGTCGGCGCCACTGGCTTGACCACGACTTGAGCCAGCGTTGTCTCAGGTTGGGGTGGGAGCGGCGGATCGACAACCGCTACTTCGGGTGTCGGCGTCTCTTCGACAGGGGTCTCAACAGCTGGCGTCGATGCGCTCAACTTTTCCTGGAGCTGTACGATCTCAGCGGCCGAGGCCTTGACCTTAGCCATGAGCTTCGAGTTGAGGAGCTTGAGCTTGTCGTTCTTGTCGGCTTCAGCGTCCAGTGCCTTCTTGGCATCTGCCTCGGCGTCCTGGGCCTTCTTAGCCTCGCCTTCAGCAGCCTTGATCTTGTCTTCGAGGCCCTTGGCAGCGTCGCTCTCGACCGCCTTGGCTTCCAGTGTCGAGACGACGGCCTCGAGCTCTGCTGTTCGTGCCTCACTCTTGACCGCGCGCTCCTTCCAGTTCTTCACAAACGATTGCAGCTTCTGGCAGCGCTCCTCGACAAAGTTTTTGCGAGCCTCGAGCTCCGCCGTGAGCGGCTGGACCTTGGCGAGCTCAGCCGTCGCGTCGGCCGCCGACTTTTCGAGCGCTTCAACCTGTGACTTGAGCGAATTGCGCTCCGCACAGACCTTCTCGTGCTCCTCGGGGTCGATCTGCTGATACTTTTCGATGAGTTGGTCGACGCGCGTCTTCCAGCGCTTGTTGGCTTGGTTCAGACTCTCGATGTCCTCGTTGAGGTTCTGGATCTGGCCCTTCAAGAGGTTCTCGCTCTTCTGGAGGGGGCCCACCTTGGCTTCCAAACCCGCGATCGCCGTCTCTTTTCCTTGACCTTGTGCAGTGCAGCCTGCATCTCGGCGCGGAGCGTCGCGTTGCTCTCCCGGAGCAAACTCAACTGGTCGAGCATCGCCGTGCGCTTTCCTTGGTCTTCTGTCGTCGTGAGCGCCGTCGCTTGGAGCTTGAGCGCCGCATCTTGCTCGGCCTTGAGCTTCTCAACCGTCTTCTCGAGCGCACGAACCTTGCTCTGGAAGCGCAGCGTCTCCTGCTGCGCAATTTCGGCCTTGGACTCGGCGATCGAGTGCTCTCGGCGGAGGTACGTGACGACACCGCGGAGGTCTCGCAGCTGCTTCTCGTCCGCCGCTTCACTGGAAGCAGACGACGAGATAGCCGCGTTGTGCTCGCGCGCAATGTCCTGCGTGAGCACCTCAAGCTGGGAGTGCAGCAATTGGTTTTGCTCCGAGAGCGCAGTCTTGGCAGCGACAGCGTCGTCGACGGCAGCCTGAAGCTGCGCGATGGCCGACGTGTGTCGGGCTTCGATTGTATCGAGTGTCGCCTGGAGGCTGCTGGTAGCGACTTGCTGTTCCTTTGCGACGCGACGCGCATCGTCCACTTCGCGTCGAAGGTCGTTGCAGCTCACGACGGCTGCTAGGTGCTTCTGCAGCTCGCGGGCGTAGTCGTCGCGCGTGCGTTGAAGGTCCTCCTCGGCGTTGGAGAGGCGCTCTTGAAGCGCAACGACGTCTTTCTTGATGGCCTCGCTCGCCTTCTCGGCCAGAAGTGCGCGTTCTTCGGCCTTCTGCATGTCGAGTCGCTTGGCCGCGTCCCATGCGTCCATTTCGCGCCGGAGCTTGTTTTCTTCGGCCGCATTGGCAAGCATCGACTTTTGAAGTGAGGCCATCTCTTCGGCTGCCTTGTCGCGCGCCACAAGAGCCGCGGCCAGCGCCGCTGACTGCTCTTCCTTCCACTTGGCGCTCGAGGCCGAGAGCGCAGCAAGCGACTTTTCGTGGGCGTCGGCAATGACCTTGTATTGATCCGCGTGCGTCTCGGCCGTTTGCTTCGCCGTCAGTGCCGCGTGAAGCTCGCGCTTAGCGTCCTCCAGCGCCGTTTCGAGGCCTGCGACACGCTCGGCCGCCGCAACACCCGCGCCCTTAGCCAGCGTCGCACGCAGCGAAATCACCTCTTCGTTCTTGGACGCAACTTGCACCTGGAGGGCTCGCACTTGCTCATCAAGTGCGACCCGGGCTTCACGAACCGAGCCCAGCTGCGACTTGTCGGCTTCCCAGCCCTTGCGCGCAGCCTTGAGCTCGAGCTGGAGCTCCGCAATGTGCGCACTCGAGAGCGCATTGGCATCGTCGAGGGCTTTCTGCCGCTCGGCAACCTTGGTCTCGAGCGACGACGCCAGCGCCGTGACGCGCTCGAGCTCAGCAGCGTTGCGGTCTGTCTGGAACGACTCGATCCGGCGCACAGCGTCCATGAGCTTGAGCTGGTTGGTGCTGTCAAGGCGCAGCTGCGTGATTTCGAGCGTCAAGCGCTCTTCCTGACGACGAAGGTACGTGCGCTCGGCATCAGCGTCACGGAAGTTGCGCTCCGCCTGCAGGAGTGCGTCGGCCTTGGTGTCCACGTCAGCGCTAAGTTCGGCGATCGTCGCCTGGTGCTGGAGGAGGAGGCTGCTGCACTGCTCGTACTTAGCACGGAAGCGTGCGACGTCCGTTTCGGCCTCGGCCTTGCGCGCGTCCGCAAGCACAAACTTGTCTTGGTTGGCCTTGGCTTCGACGCTGGCTTCCATGGCAGCGACCTTGGCCTTCGAGACGTCGCCGCGGAGCGTGTCGATCGCGGCCCGGAGCGACGTCACGAGCGCTTGCTTCTCCTTCTTGTACTCCTCAAATTCGGCGCGGAGCTCGCGAAGGAGGCGCGCGTCGTGGGACCCGAGGTCCATGGCCGGTCGCTCCTTCGACGACGCGGCTTCGATCGCGGGCTGCTCTTGGTAGCGCGCGTCAGCTTGCGAGAGCAAGACGCGGTACATGTCGCGCTGCTTGACGATCGCGCTCACCATTTCTTGCTCGCGGGCGCGCTCTTCGCGAAGCGTCGCTAGCTCGGCGTGCACCGTCTCCCACTGTGCCTGGCTCCATGGCACGAGGTCTTCGTCCGACTCGACCGTGACGACGACCGACGACGACTGCTTGGTAGTCTTCTCCGAGAGGTCGCGCACGATCTTGAGGAGCTGCTGATTGCGCACTTGCAGCTCTTCAATGTTGCGGTAAACGACGAGAGTTTCGTCCGAGAGCGGCGCGGACGGACCCTTCACGGACGCGTACAGCAGCGTCTGGATCTGGCGCGAGAGGTCCGTCACTGACTGCTGCAGCGCATCGCGCTCGCTCTCGACGCCCTCCTTGTCCTTTTGCACCACCCGGAGGTGGTCGCGTGCCTTTCCAAGCTCGTTCGTGACCGACTCGAGCCGGTCGCTCAGTGCGTCGTGGCTCGCGAGCGCGCGGGCGTTTTCCTTTTTGAGGCGCTCGAGGTACGGCGCCTTGGCCTGGATCTCCGACAAGACGCGCTGGAGGTAGACTTCGAGCTTTTCCTTGGCCGCGCGCTCGGCTTCGACGGTCGCGTCCAGTTGCACGATGCGGTCGTACATGTCGGAAGCGCTGAGACCATTCTCGGCCAGGTGCAGCTCACCGGCTGTCGTCGAAAACTCGGCGATCGTCGAGATGCGGCGGGCGGCAGCGGCGTTCGCGGCTTCGAGCTCCGCAACGCGGGCATGCGCCTTGGCGACAGCGTTTTCGAGTTCGTCGATCTTCGCCTCCGACACTTGCATTTGCTCCTTGAAGAGATGCATCGTCGCCTGTTGCGACTCCTCGCGGACTTTGCTGCTTTCCTCAGCAAGCGCGTCTTCTGCCTCCTTCAACGACGTCTGGAGCGACTCACAAAGCGCTTGAAGGTGGTCAACCTTGGACGACGCTGTCTGCGACGCATCCTTGTACAAGTCAGTCAGACGGTGCTGCGCTGCCAGCTCTTTCTCGAGGTGCCCGACGACTCGTTCGTGCTCCGTCTGGATCTCGAGGTTGCTCTCGCGCTCGACCTTGAGTTCGTCACGGAGCGCCTGCTTTTCTTCTTGGAGCCGAGAGACCTGGAGGCGCAAGTCCGCAGCGTCATCCTTTGCCGAGATACACTGGTGTTCAATGTCGCTGATCTTCTTGTGCGCCTCCAGGCGATACTCTGTAAAGGCCCGGCTTTTCTCGACGAGCTGCGACTGGGCCTCTTCAAGGTGGGCCTTCTCGGCAGCGACTTCCTTCCGGAGGCGCGAGACTTCGAGCTGTAGCGGGGCTAGCTGAGCTTCGAGGCGCGCGTGTGCCTGGAGCGCCTTTGTTTCGCTCGTTTGGAGGGCCACAAGCTGTTTTGCCTGATCCGCGATGCGGCCACGCTCGGCGTGGATCTCTTCCAAGCGCTGGTCCGCAAGACTCGTGACGCTTTTGAGCTGGGCGTCGAGCTGAGCCTTCTCGCGCGCCGCCTGCGCAAGGTCAGCGTCGCCTTGTTGCTTGATCGCCTCCAATGCGTCGACGGAGGCCTTGTGCGTTGCGATTTCGCCGCGCTTGGCTTCGAGCTCGGCTTCGAGGGCTTCGATGCGCGCCTTTGTCACACGGATCGTCTCGGCCGCGGCCATGTACTTGCGCTCGACCTCATGGACGAGCTGTTCCTGGTTCAAATCCATCGGCGCCTGACAACGACGGCCTCAAATCCCAAACTCGGTTCGTTGGGACGAATATTATAATTATTCCCACGTTCTGTTTTTAATTAGTAGTACTTCAAATGCTGTTGTCTGTGATACCGCAATAAAAAAATTAAAATTAAAAACGCCGGCAACGGTGGGTTGCCAGGCCCTTTGCATACTCTAGTTCCAAGCAAGGGATATGAAGACGAGGACCACGAGACGAATCACCAACACCACGAGACTGCAAGTTTGTATGGTTGTTATCTCGCAGTGGATAGCATTAGGTTAAGCGCGCCTGCGCTTAGACGGCGATCGACGCTGCGGTCGGGACGTACACCTCGGTGGCCGTCGAGGACGCCTCTGCGGTCTTTTCGTACGTGGTGTTGTTGGGCGCACGCATGACCTGGTGGTAGCCGGGGTGCTACAGGTGACACGTAAGCTCTACAGCGCACCACGAGAGATTCGCGTACGTTCCACATGATGAAAAAGTTGAAGGCCGAGAGGAGCAAGAAGCCCACGCCCATGACAATGCCGAGCGTGCCCTGCGAGAACGACAAGAACGCAATGCTACATTGTGCTAAGCGCCATCACTCACGCACAGAGGGCAACGTACATCATGATGTAGACGGAGCGGCCAAAGCCCGTGAACATGAAGCCAAAGTTCTCCTTCGTCTTGGCCTCGAGCTTCGGGAACTTCTCGCGGAACTCGAAGAGTACGAGGAGCGACGAGAGCACGATAACGTACACGGCGACGAGGAAGCTCTTGTACGAGTCGATCGAGAAGAGGTCGAAGATGCCCATGATGCCAAAGACGACGCCCGAGAAGATGTTGGCTACGCGGAGGTAGCCGTTGATGCGGTGGATGTCGGTCGAGTTGACGGCGTCAATGTACTTGGTGACGACCTCCTTGCCCTTGATGGCGACGCCGGACGACGACGTCGGCGCGACGGGAGCGACCTCCGGCTTGGGCAACGGCATCGAGTCGGCCATGGCAGTCAGTCGAACGAAAATGGAATGATCGCCGCTTGTGGCCCCACTTGACTGCCTCTTTGTATGCCCTGCCGCTTTTTATTCGACGCCGCAAAAACGGCTGGGTTTCCACCAATCACAGTGCGCCAATTGGTATTCACCCCGCCCATCCCACATGAGCGCCAGAATACCCTTCTCTCCGTATGCACTGTATATTATAATACTATAGTTCATTTTGATCTAGCAATATACGTGTATAATTCTCTTAGAATACATACCTGTGAATAATCGATATAAATAGCCGATGGAGGATGCTTGCCATACAGCTGTGCCCGTTTGTGGGTTGTGACCAATGAGATGCGCTCTTTGATGCCAAAATACATCACGATTGGTTGGATCTTAGACTTGCATGTTGGACGAAATGCGATTTTCCACCAATCCATGCTGGGCATTGATCCGGATCGCCGAGAGCTGACCGTGCGCATTTGTTGATCCATTGCCCGCGAGGCACCAGGAGCTGAGTAGCAGCTTCGTAGAGTTACTCGCAATACAAGGCCAAATCTAGTGTCCGTTTTGATGAGTCCTGCATTTGGTGCAGTGCCTCGTGTTTAACCGAGGAAAATGCACTGTCGCGGAACGACGCGTCACGTTCGAGCGTGTTTGGACTCGAGGGTGCCACTGCTCGGTTCATGCTCTACGTGGTGACCAGACATTCCTAATGCATGCGACCAAAGCCTCGTTACAAACTTTGCACATGTATTAATATTGGCTACGGATAGAAGGTCGATACTGTGCAGTCTTGGTCAAAATAGAGGCTGACCCCATTTTAGAATTATTCCCGAAAAGACCGTCGCGCAATTACTGTATTTGAAATGGGGTGCACCTCGATATTCAGACCAAGACGGTACTGTAGCCAACATCACCTTTCGTCGCGTCCAGAGGCGAGTCAGTCGAGGGCTGCCTTGGTTTGAGTATGGTAGGCTGATCGGCACCCAGCATCCATCTGTTCACGTATTTTGTGGGATGTGCAATTTCCGATTCCAAGGGCTTGTTGATACAATGCGCGCGACGCGGGCTCTGCACACGGGCAGCAACGTCGGTCTCGCCGACTACATGCTCGTACCCTACACGCTAGCCCTGACCATGTCGTCAACGATGGCGCTCGTGACATGCGTCGTCGTCTTCAAGTGGGCCAGCGTCAAACGCCACGCAAGCCAGGGCGCGCTCTTCATGTTCTTTGCGTGCACCGTCGTGTGGTCCGCTGTCACGTTCGTCGGCTGCATCGCCAAGTACCTCGACGACCGCGAGACGAATTGGAACAACTCGCTGACCAAGTACACGTTCCTCGTCGCACAAATCTTCCAGGTCGGCGCCGCGCTCTGGCTTCTCGTTGCTGTCCACGAGATCAAGCGCATGGTCTTCGCGCCGCGCTCAGCTGCCAACAGCAAGCGTGCTATGCGCTTCTTCGTCATTAGCATCGACGCCTTCTTGTTTCTCTACGGTATGGGCATGATTCTCTACGTCAGGCTGCACTTTGGGGCTGACCACGACGACGACCATGACGATGATCAGAATGACCACAGCTCTAACAGCACGGGCTTCGGTCATGAGGAGCAGCTCAACTTTTTCGAGGCGCTGCAGTGGGGTCACAGTCTACTGCGCGTGACCTCGGTTCTGTACCCGATCGGGATAAGTCTCTACTTCCACGCGCACCGATTTGACATCGAGCGCCTGGGTGACGACGAGCGCGGCAAGATCTCTCACCGTCAAGTGCAGCTTATCGGGCTTCTAAATGCGATTGCGACCGTGCCGATATGCCTCACCGAGACAAGTCATTACGACACGTACAACGTCTTCGTGCAGCTCGCGCAGTTCTCGTACTACCTCTCCGGTACCGTGTCGTCGTTCGCCGTCGGCTGCTTTCTCCCGCGCTTTGACAAGCTCCTCCAGACGCCACGATCGTCGGCTGCTGCTTCCTTCGTGAGCTCACCACCGTCAACGGAGAGGATATACATTCTCGAAACGCGGCAGTAATACAGCAGTTGAATTAGCATAGCACACGAAAGAGACCGAGCTTGGTGTCGTGGCTTAGACATCGAAGTCTTCGTCGTCCGGAATCGAGCCTTCAATCGTCCGCAAGACCATACGCTGGCGAAAAAAAGCCATGTTGCGCTGGCGAAACGAAAGGGCCTACTGCAAGCGTTAGACGACGGCATTGATACTCGAGAGACGGGACCTTGTTTTGCGCAATGTAGTCGGCAAACATGCACGTAAACATCCCGCAGTCGTGCGAGTTGCCTTGCTGCGGCGTGTCGGGCTGCGATGAAAGCAGCTCCCATCCAGTGGCCTCGAACGGCAACCCTTTCTTGTGCTGGTGCTCATCACCGAGATATCTAGCGGTACCGGTATTAGCGCTCGCGACTGTGGGCTACATACCGAAGCAACACTGAAAGGCATTCGGTGCCAGCACCATTCATCGAGTCATAATACTGAATGCGCTTCTCGGTGACGTAGATGACGGCCAAGCACCAGTGCACCTAGGTGAATCATCGTGAGATGCGATTGTCGTTTGGAAAAGTAAAGCAAACATTGCGGATGTTGACGGGGATGAAGACCTTATCCATGGCGAAGAGGTCCAGCTACGCAGCGTGAGTTTCAGCTTTTTGCATTGGGATGCCGAGAATCGCACCTTTCGCGTCCATCGGCGGACGTTGATGAAGTTGTAGCCACCTTCCGAGACCTTGGAGAAAAGAACGAGTTGAAGAAGTGGCTGCCTCGAATGCCGAGCGCAGCGCTCACTGACACGTCGCGCTCGGCGAGCATTTGAAAGTAAAAGTTGATGATCTACGCACTCATATGTGACATCAAGAATTGAAGAAGCGATTGGACCTCGTCGTTGAGCCACTGGCCGGGGCGGAGGCACTGGATGAGGGCGCGGGTGATGTCGACATTGAACTTCTGGCAAAGAACTTCATTCGAAGGGCCACTCGAGAGCGCGATCTCAACAGTCTCTTCGTCTTCTTCGGAAAGCGCAAGGTCGGGCCCTTCATCACGAATCTCGTCGATCACCTCGTCGAACATGTCGTCGAGCTCTTCCGCGATGACCTCGTCGAGGAGGACGGACCACTGGCGCTTCGCAACCCACGCATCATGCGCCTTTTCGATCGCACCAGATTCGCGCTCGAGGCGGTACGAGGCAAGCTGCGCCTCGATCTCCGAAATTTCGCATGATTGACCTTGCCGCGTCGACGAGTAGTTTGTCATTTCGTCTTCCAGGACGCGGTGGAGCTTGCGCATGACTTGGCGCTCAAGCGGGCGGGACGGAGAGGCGCCAGATTGCGACGTCTTGCGATGCGGTAGTTGCTTCATTGTGATGGCGAGCTGCCGGAGCAAGTCTTGGTTGTGCTGCTTCACAATCTGGACGCCGAACGGGTCTTTCGATGGCCGCACCAGCGTTGCAACCTTCTTCTTCACGACAAACTCATCGCGGTACTCGGTTGGGATCGCACCATGGAGCAGCTTCCAGTAGTCGTGGCGACTGAGCTTCGCCTTGGACGCCTGCCGTTCGACGCCCATGTAGCTCGCGACGGCGGCGCTCTCACTTGCAGAGATGGCTCTATCAAGACGGCGCTCGAGGCGCCATGCGTCCGCTTCCGTCTTGGCACACTAGAGAAATCCTCACTCATGGACTGTCGCCGTTCCGACGCTGCTCGTACCTCCGCAGCCATCTCGTCGCCCCGGGATTCTGTGGCGAGCTCTATCCGGAATACCACAACAGCATCCGGTGGTGAGAATTGCTGTAAATTGATGCGTTTTCCGGAATCTGGGGCAAAATACTGGAAACCGCGCGGTGGGAACTGTGATGGGGAGGTCGTTGCAAAGCGTCCTCCACGCCGTAGATTGGCTACGCACTATCCTTTTATAGGGCATGAAAGTCACGTGAATTGAGCAGATACTATAGAGAGAAGGTCACGTGCAAGGTTCAATCAAAACGCCTAGCCCACTTAGGCCACATAGCTGTAGAGCCGGCGGTCAGACTGGCTCCGCGTCAGGTACTCGCGCTCGATGAGGCTTTCAATGCGTCGCTTGACAAGCTGAGGCGACGGCACGAAGCGTGTCGCGAGTTGTCGCGTCACTTCGGCCATAAGGTTGTTGTGCTGCATCGACTTGCGCGTCTTCATGATGCGCACAATGGCCGCTTCAATGAGATGCTTGCGGTCCTCGGCCACCGTTGACGGAAGCTCGTCACTGACGGGGATGCTGGCGGGCGCATCGCCCGAGCTGTCTTTGAGCGACACGAGTGGAATGCGCACCTTGTGGAGCTTCGACTTGTACTCGTGATTGACGCCAAAGCAGGCGTCGTCGTCAATACCCTTGCCTCGCGACGACTTGGTGAGGATCCGAAACTTGGGCGTGCAGAGCGAAATCAAGTGACGCTTAAGCTCGGACGGTTCGATGTTGGTCGCAGCTGCAATGTCTCGGTACGTCAAGTTCTCGCGGTCGTTAAAGAGCACGAGAATGCACATCTGGTAAGTCGAGACGGTGAGCTCGTGACGCTGGACGTTGGGGCCTACGCAAGAGCTGCCTTAGCATTTAAAACAGTGTAGCAACGTCGTACCAGAACCGAAGATTGCCTTAATATCGGCAGAGCCCATGTTGTAGAGCCAGTTGAGCTTCCGGCCGTTGTGGCGGCCAAAGTAAAACGACTCGAAGCGGTGAATCCACGCGCGGATCTCCAGTGGTGCAACGAGACCCGTCGAAAGACAGTTTTCCGTCGGCCAAAAGCCCGTCGTGAGCACCTGAACCTGCAACGTCTGCGAGTGCTTTTTGAAGCCGTCCATGAGATCCTTCGTCATCGCCATGTCTTTGAACATGCCCTCCAGCTTGGACGTAAACTGATACCCGCACTCGGCCTTGAGCTTGGAGATGACCATCTTCTCGGCCTCGTCCGAAGAGCCCTTGGCGTTGAGAAGGCGCTTCGAGAGGAGGCGTTTGTAGTACTCTTCGAAGACGTCCTTGTCGCTGAGGAAGCGGAAGAGTCCAATAACCTTGTCAACTTGGAGCTCCAAATCGTTGTCGTAGCGAGACTTGGACTTGAGGAGGTCGTCGAGGAACTGTGCGAGCATGAACGCGCACGTCCGCGTTGTGTTGAGAAAGGCTTCAAACCTTTTGTCGTCGCGTTAGAAAACGATGGCACGTTGGGATACAGACGTACCCGCGTTGAATGCACTTGTAGAACGCCTTGTCGTCGCCCCAGCACTGCGACAAGAACATTGCAGACTTGTCCTTGAGGACCAAGACGGCTTGGACAAACTGCACGGCGCCTTCAGACGGCTGGTGTTGGTTCAGCTGCGTTTGGATCAAGTCGAGACCCGTCGACTTGATGAAGTTTGTGCAGCAGGCCCCGATCTCCTCGAGTGCAGACGGCGGGCGCGCTTGAAGAGGACGTACATGCGCCGTAAGTCTACATTTGCGCATATGACAAATGCAACACACAAAAGTAGTACCATCAATGCGATCTTCGCGAAACATGGCCACGCAGCCCGAGCCTTCCATTTCGACCAACGCTTTCGCGTGGTTCTCGATGAGTTCACGCTCGACAATTGCCTTGAGCTTTGCTTCTGTCGAGGCATTGAGATACTGCAACACACGGCTGTGCTCTTCCGAGAGGCGTTTGTCAGCCTTTTGCATAAAATCGGGACACGTGTTCTGGTCCAGAAGTCGCTGGGCCTCGGCGTTGTAGAAGGCCGCCGTCGTGCGGAGGAACTCGGTTTCGAAATCGTCTTCGTACACCTGGTCCATGCATAAGATGTAGAATCGAGATTATGGGTTTCAAGCACCGTGTTCGTGTGGAGGCCCAGGTCCACGAGCATGCTCAAGATACCCTTCATGATTCCGCGGTCGATGAGCTCGCCATTGCGCTCGTTTTCGATGTTTTGGAGAAGCATCCATCGCAGCCGATCCTTGACCTATGTGGGTCTGGCTTCTCGCGCATACGGGTATGTAATGGACTACGTACGTTGGGGTGACGGGCAATCGTATCACGGAAGAGGAGTAAGCCCATGTCGTAGATCGGGACCTTGCGCTTTCCCGGTACGTACGTGCGATCCATGTACATCAAGATATCGCGAATCATGGTCATCGTGATTGTATGGTCCGTCCAAGTAGCGTAGAGCTCGAGTAGAAGCGATTCATCTGGGGCTTGGATCACGCGGTCCGCGAGTTGAACGAGATGCTCCGTGACGCACTCGACGACGCCCGCGTAGAGCATGTCTCCGTGCTTGTGCAGGACCATGTTGTATGAGTTCCTACGTATGTGGAGGCTCGTTCAGAAGCGGATAAAGAGACGCATGCTCGTACCGGTAGAGCTCCTCGAACGAGAGGAGCGATGCGTTGTGGCCATGGATCTCCTTGATGGCGCAGCGAAGGGCCTGCCATGTTTCCTTGGCCTTCGCGACGTCCATGCCCACGTTGTTGCGGAAGGGCTTCACGACGAACTTCTTGCGCCCGGCGTCCATCGTCGTCGGTTCCTGTCGTCCGTCCCCTGTGCGCGATCTATGCAAGTGCACGGAAAACGTGGGCAAAGGCAATACCTTCGAGAATTAATACACCTTGGTCGGTTGGCAAAGTGACTTTTGTCGAAGCGCGCCTGGAGATCGGCGGGATCCATAGGGTGCTTGCTCTTGTGTCGAGAGAGGCTCATTGCTTATGATGAAACATCATTTCTAACGACTTGCTCATCCTTGTGCAGGAAGGGTGGCAAAGCCCACACAATCAATGAGCCGACACCCCCGAGCATTGATTCTCCAGGCAACCGGGGCTCTGACAAGGAATTGCCTACGAACTGCTCTTGCGCTATGGTTTTCAACCCGATGTGCACCGCACTCACAATCACTTCATTAGCGGTAGCTCGGCCAAGATTTCTTCGCAACGGGGTCTTCTGAGCTGTCTTTTGTCTTGTTGGCGAAGCTTCGTATCGCAGTTTGCGTGCCCGAACATGGCGTTGATACATTCGGAATTAATTAACCCTATTGGATGTTTTGTTAAACTGGAATCGATGTGATTGTTCTGTGGGCCTCGTAGTACCGATGCGCATTGTGCAGCATCCACTTCTTCGAAAAAGGGTCACGAAGCGCTGCGTAAATGTCGATCGATCGTGACTCCCCTGCTCTGAATCATTTCCTAACAGTAAACAAAGTTTCCGAGTTTCGGCCAATCAATCACGACGAGGTTCTGCACACATGAAAATAGTCGAAGCCATGCTCTTTCACGGAAGAAAATGAGCGTTTCGTGGCAAATTCATACGTGGGTGCGATGACGAACTTAACGGCGTACACTTCCTAGGGCATGTGACACTTACCAGAGTCTAATGCAGTCTAAGTAAAACCATGTCTCATTATTTCGATCCACTTAACGCGAGACACCACACGACACGATGTCGCCATGTCGGGATATTCTAGAAACATGGGATACGGGGATGGATACGGGCACATTGAAGCTCATCCCGACGAACCACCGCAACGCGTCGCAGTCGTACATCGTGGATCCGCCTTCGCGTCATCCCACACGAGAGCGTCTTGCATGTACCGGTACATATGCCAATCAATCCCTCAACTCTGGAGGAGAGCTCTCCGAAGCTTCGCTGTTTGTGATCGATAGCCGCCCTGGGGGTGACTCGCAAAGAGAGGTCTGGCAGAGACCGGTCAGGGTGAGACCGGTGGACTGCACCTGCGCGCGATCCGAGCGCAGCCGGGATATTCCCGAAGCGTACACTGTACTTGTCGATGCGCCGATCACTTCCTTGCCATCAATACGACCAGGATCCGGATAAAGATAGACGGCGCTAGGGTATGGTATACAAAACAAAGATTCGATGGGTCGAGTGACTAGATAAGGCCACACACAGTTTCGATATCCAAGGCAAAGGAGAACGATGGCCGCTTCGCTCGACGAGATCGTGCACAACAGCCGCGCCGTGACGGACGGCCTCAAGAAGATGTACATCTCCAAGATCAAGCCGCTCGAGAAGAAGTACCTCTTCGACGAGTTCCACTCGCCGCTGCTCAGCGAAGCCGACTTTGACGCCAAGCCCACGGTGCTCATGATCGGCCAGTACTCGGTCGGCAAGACGTCCTTCATCGAGTACCTTCTCGGGCAAAAGTTCCCTGGTGCACGCGTCGGCCCCGAGCCCACGACCGACCGCTTCATGGCCGTCATGTACGGCGACGAGGAGCGCATCGTGCCAGGCAATGCGCTCGCCGTCTCCCCGGATCTCCCGTATGGCGGCCTGAGCATGTTTGGTACGTCGTTCCTCAACAAGTTTGAAGCGTCGCAAGTGCCGTGCAAGCAGCTCGAGCACATGACCGTCATCGACACACCGGGTATTCTGTCGGGCGAGAAGCAGCGCATTTCGCGCGGCTACGACTTCGTGCAGGTCGCCAAGTGGTTCGCCGAGCGTGCCGACATGATCCTCCTCCTCTTCGACGCGCACAAGCTCGACATTTCGGACGAATTCCAGCGCGTCATTGAAGTCCTCAAGGGTCATGACGACAAGATCCGCTGCGTTCTCAACAAGTCGGACCAGATCGACCAGCAGAAGCTCATGCGGGTGTACGTATTGTGTGTATGCATGTGCATGAGAATGACGCAGCACGCGAGGACGAGATTGCCCCATTGCGCAGGGGTTTTGAGGCCTCTCAGAGGCCATTGAAACCAAAACCGCTACGTCGAGGTGCGATTGCCGTCTACGTACGCGCGTTCGCACCGCGATCAGAGCGTGCTGCTTTCTTTTCGCAATTATGCTCTTGTTTCTTGAAAGCTCATGTTGGTGTTTGCATAGGTACGGTGCACTCATGTGGTCCATGGGCAAGGTCATGAAGACACCGGAAGTCATGCGTGTATTTATCGGGTCCTTCTGGGACCAGCCACTGCTCTTCAACGACAACGCCGCGCTTTTTGAGAAGGAGCGCAGCGACCTTATGAGCGAGCTCCGGAAGCTGCCGCACAACGCTGCGATCCGCAAGGTGAACGAGCTCGTGAAGCGAGTTCGTCTTGCCAAGGTCCACGCGTACCTCATTGGGCACCTCCGCGACCAAATGCCCATGATGATCGGAAAGGACCGCAAGCAACAAGAGCTCATTGCGACCTTGCCGCAGGTCTTCCGTGAGGTCCAGAAGAAGTACAACCTCCCGCCTGGTGATTTCCCCAGCCTCGAGGACTTTCAGAAGAAGCTCGAGGAGCGGAAGTTTGACAGCTTCAGCAAGCTGCAGATCAAGATGATCCAGGACGTCGAAGAGCTCATGTCGCGCGACATTCCCAAGCTCGTACGCCGATATTGGCACATGCGATGTACGATGAACGACGTGTGTAGATGATGGCGCTGCCCAAAAAGGACGGCACGAACGTTCGTACCGACTCGAGCGACTCGATTAACCCGTTCTTGTCCAAGACACTCGACTGGGTCGTCACGCCTTTCAAGGAAGAATATGACGCCATCTTCCGCACGCTGAGCGTCAACTCGATGGGCGAGGCCAGTGGTATGGCGTGTATGACGCCTCTGCTTGCCACGGGCTGCTCCCAGGAACTGCTCAAGGTCATTTGGGATCTCGCCGATGTTGACAAGGACGGGTTCCTCGACAACGAGGAGTTCGCTCTTGCCATGTTCCTCTGCCACCAAGTGAAGGACGCCAAGGACACGGGCTTTGAGCTCCCAAAGGAACTTTCGGAGAACATGTACCCACCGAGCCACCTCGGCCGCAAGTAGTTAGCGTAGCAACCCGCTTCTCATTCATATATATCTTGTCGCCAATTCTCTTAGCTTCTCTTTGACAGTATTGTGCTTTGGACGGAGGCTCGATGGCTAAGACGGCGCCGTCGACAAATATTCGTCCTGGGCAGCTTCGCGCAGCTCGTCGTAGGTAAGAGCGCGCTCGTCCTCATCCAGAAGCCGCGCCCCCGAGCTGCTGGACGTCTCGGCCACAGGTAGGCTTGCCGGCGAAATCGCGTGCTTGGACTTTGGCTTGGCGGCGCTATGAGCGGCGGCGGACGCAGGCGTGAGCTGTGCGATGACGCACTTTTCGATCGTTTCGAGGTACTCGAGCATGTTGGCGTCTGTAATGTCGGTGAGGCTGCCGTGCGACGGCGTTTTTTGCTTATCGGTTGTTTGATGTAGGAGCGTAAAGATCGAGTGCACGGACGCCTTGATGCGCCCGAGACGCACGCACGTCTCGTCGTACTCGGTGTCCATCTGGGTGTTGCGCTCGTCGATGGACCGCAGTTTGGCGCTGAGCGCACGAAGGTGCGTCTTATCGAGGACGCTAGCGCCAAGACCTTCCTGCTGCTTGTACGCTTCGAGCGCGGCGACCGTCCGATCCAACTCGATGCGTACGTCATCCACTTCTTTGTGGAGGCCTTCAACGTGCTTGAATTTTTTAAAGTTGTCTTCGTCCTTGCGCTGAATCTAGCTCGACAGTGATAAGGTCCACACTACAGCAGAAGGATATGCCTCAAGTGTCAGCCTTTCAGCATCGGGGACGCCCGTCTCGGCAAAGATGTGCTCAAAGAGCTGCTGGTACTTGGCAGCTTCGGCGCTCGACGCGCTTGCCATCGCTTTATCATATGCAATCTTCCAGGAAGAGAGCGCCGAGGCGTGGTGCAGAGAGAGCTCCTGGTCAGGCGACAGCTGACCGCTGACAATCTCGGCTTCGGGCGCCAGCTCAATTGCGCGCGCGAGCTCCGCGGCTTCGTGGCTTGACGAAGCGATGAGCAGCTACAACAATAGATGGAATAGTACTTTGCACATAGATATACAAAAACGCATGCACCCGAAGCTCGCGGAACTCTTTCTCATACGATTGCTGCTCTGCGTCGACGAGAGCTTGGAGTTCGTGCACTTCCTTATCAATCTGAACTTTGCCAGCGACGCTACGCGCGAGCTCAGCCGTCGCCGCTTCCTATCATTTCGCCGCATTTCTGTGCACGTTCACACCGCGATCCAACTTACAAGCCGTGCTTTGTACTCGAACGTCTCTCGCTCGAGTTTCTTGTAGATACCATCGAAGACGACCCGGTCGCGCCGGACCTTGTCGATTTGCTGGCGCAAGTGCTTGTTGACGGAGTCGACTTCGTTCTTCTTGACGAGTGAAATCTCGAGCCGGTTCTACCCTCACGTCCAGTACATGTTGGTGGACTGCTTTGAACCATTCTACCTCGAGGGCTCGTAGGCGGCGCGTGGCAGCGGCGGCCGACTCGAGTTTTTCGCTTTGCACAAACTCATCGCGGACGCGTTGTAACTCGTCATGGTGCCGACGGATCGCAGCCTCAAGCTTGGCGATCGTACGCTTCTCGGCCTCGATCTTTTGCGTATAGGATGTGCTCTGCTTCTGGAGACGCTGGAGCTTTTCCTGCTTGGCCGCCCCCATCATCGTCTTGGCCTCGCGCAGCTCGATTGCGAGCTCTTGCTTGAGGATTTGGTTGCTTTCGTGGATCTGCCGAATCACTGCTCGCTGTTCCTGCACTGTGTAGCGCTTTGTCGTTGCATCGTCGGTGTCGAAGCGCATTCCCGACTCGTTCACTTCATCGTCATGCGTATCGTCATCTTCGTCGTACGTCTTGAACGCGTGACCTGCGCCGTCTGTGTCCATGACTTCGTTGCAAAAATAACGACTGCAATGGAAACGACACAAAGAGGTTTTTATTGTCCCACACTTTAGACGCCACACAGACAGAACAGAACTAACATGGCGGCATTTGCCGAAGCACGTCACCGGCACGGAGACGTGTGGCCGGGTTTTTGTCCAAGAGGCCACGCAGGAGACTCTTGAGGTCGTCCGAGACGGATTCCCAAACGGGTTGCGAAAACTCGACGGGGCTGTTGCACACGTTGTGGAGGATCTCGGCCTCGCTAAGCGATCCGCGCGGGTCGAATGGGTGGCAGCCCGAGAGCATGATGTACAGAATGCACCCGAGAGACCACATGTCCATTGCCGCTTCAACCTTTGCGTACGGGGTGCTAAGCATCTCGGGCGACCAATACGACTTGGTACCGCTCTGCGGAATGCTCGACAACGTAATGGCGCGCTTCAACGGCATGGAGCTTGCACGAGGGTTCGGGATAGTAGCCGACCCAAAGTCAATGATCTTGACGCGCACGCTCTCGTCGTTGGCGATCATGATGTTGTCGGGCTTCAAGTCGCAGTGCACCATGCCGTGTGTGTGCATGAAGTCCAGCGCTGATGCGACCTGGGTGAGAATGCTTCGAGCAGCCTACGATAGCATATTAGCCCAGTTAGAGACATCGGCGTCAACATACGCCATCGTCTAGCCGCTTGCGTTGTTGTACGTAATCAAAGAGCGTCATGCCGTCAACGAACTCTACGACGATGTAGTGGAAGCCGTCGTGCGTGTAGTAATCGTTGAGCTCAACGATGTTGGCGTGGCCGCCTGCCATTTTGACGCAGCACAAAGCAGTGCGCTCACGGGTCGCTTCCTCGTAGCAGTCAGCAATCACCTACCACAAATACAAACAGTGAGTGAGATGACGATGATGTGTCCCTGGAAATCACCTTAACGGCAGACAGCGTGTTGTTGCCCTTGTGGATGCACTGCATGACCATGCCAAAGGCGCCCGAGCCGAGCGCGCGTGAGAACACAATGTCGTACTCGTCGTCAAAGACCCGGGCGGATGTCATCGCGCCGTCATTGAGTGTAGGCAAGCGAGACACGAGCCACGTGGCGCCAGCAGTGGCTGCGACGCCTAGCAGTGGGAGGTATTCGCACTGTGCTAGGCGGCTGGAGAAGCGCGGTGCCATCGAAAGGTTCCGGAAGCCGCGCTTCGTCGGTCGGTAGCGGCGTCGGATCGTTGTGGCAGCGGCTCGAAACATTACTTTGTGGGCGACATCCACCTCTGCAGCAGCCGCACCTGGCTCTCTTCCAGCTGGGCGCCGTCTTTCTAATTGCGGCTCTATGCGGTTTTTATTCTGCCACTTGGAATTAATACTCGGTCGTTCTATGTGAGTGAGCTAAATCAATATTAAAAATTGCTTAAAATGACGCTGTCGCCATGTCTATTTTACACCAATCGGGCCGTCGCACATGCTAGATTCCTCGAGGCGTGGATCTGATTGGCTACGGCGACGGCGAAATCACATTGGACCACGCCAAGCGGCACCAGTGCGATTTCCTGTCGATTTTTGGCACTGGCATGAGCGGCGCAGCTCACGAGTGCGAGAGAGACTCAAGACTGAGTCTGAGTGCGAGCCTTTACTCTCAGCGTACTAAAGATACGAAGACGTCAACACACTGGTCTGCAGTGAACTGTGGGCTACCGGTATTAATACTAGTAGCATTGACTGTCAAGTTGTTGACTCTGTACGTCCACGATGTTTCCACGCTGCGACGACGAGTTTGCAAGGAGGCGCTGGCTTGCGCAGTGTGACAGCTCTGCCAGGGAGCCAAGGTACATAGCGAATAAGAAATAACTCGATGAGCTCGCGTTGCTGGTACCAAGGCCATAATAAACCTTGCCGGTACGAAGGAGTGCTAACGGTACTTTCTTTTCAAGGGCAATGCAGTAGAATTGGGCGATGTCATTTACATGAAGAAATCATCGTCATCGCCTGTGGCCACGTTACCCTCAGTGTCGGCAACAACCTGGACGTTGGTTTCGTGCTGCTTGCGGCGCTTGCTCTTATTCTTGGCTTCAGCCAGCTTGCGCTTCGGCTGCTTCGTCTTCTTGGAACCGGCTGTGTCATCATCTTTGTCGTCATCCTTGGTGTTTTCCTAAAAAAATGAGTAATCGGACATCTAGAGTTTAGCCTACATCGTCGGATTCAGCCACCGTGGGCTCGTTTGCGTCGCAGAAGCAGTAGTTGTCGAAATCGGCGTGTGACTTCTGTGCCTCGTACGCTTTGATCGCCGCCTCCTTCAACTCATTTTGCCTAGTCGCGCGTGTGTACACGACTCGTATGCAGCGATTGCTGTACCGAGCAAGTTCGTCGTCCGAAAGTTGCTTTTTGGTCTTCTCAGCGAAGAGGTTGATGTATTTCTCGCCCTTGGGGTAGTAAAAGATGTACTACAGCAGGAGTTATTAGCACCACGGGATCTAGCAAGGTACAATACCATCATGTCTTTCTTCGCAGCCTCGTAAGCATCCTCCAACGCCTTGGTTGGGGTAGCCGTAATCTGCGCCTTGAGCTTTTTCAACGTGCGCATGATGCGTCGCCGGTCGAAGAACTTGACTTTTCTGTACTTGAGCGAGATTTCGCGCTCAGTCTCTTGCTGTAGTTTTGCATCCACCTGCGCTTGGAGCTCGGCGAGCTCCTCCGTCTTGGCCGAGCGAATGTCGTCGGGCAGCGTCTAGAATGGGTTGTTGTTTAGAGGTTGGAGTGTATTGAGATCGATGACGCACGTCCTTCTTTAGAAGGCGCTCAAGATTGCGCAGCTTGTTCTTGAGCGACTGTGTCTTCTTCTTGGGCTTGACGCCTGCCTTCTTTAGACGAAGAATCGTCCCCGCCGTCGGTGCCATCTTGTTGCGTTTCCAGATTGATGGTTGGTGGCATATTCTGTGGCCTTCGAAGTTCGGATATCGAAGTACGAAGCGTTTTGGCGATAGGCTGCCACGTGCTGCTTGCATCTTTTTGCTGGGCGTCCGGTCACGGTGGCTAGTCGTCCCGCGAGATGAAAAAGGTGGCAAGTGGAATCAAACTTACTCGCAATACGCCGCTTTTCCTCACTAGTTATCATACGTGCATGACATGCGACCATCTTGTGAAGGACCTGCAGCAGGCGACCCGTGGTGCCTGCTCGCCACGGTGTAGCGGCCGTCGCTTCAATAAGCATTACCCGCTGCAGGGGACGCAGTCTAGATATACCGGTAGCTGCTGTACCACACTACACCGCGAATGCGTCGTACTTGCAATGCAGGATACATTACAGGTTTGTTTATCGCTTCTTGAAGCCATACTTCTTTCGCTCGTAGAAGAGATCGGTCTTGGAGCTGCCAACGTTGACAATCTTTGGGCAGCCATCGCGGTCCTTTTCGAGTTGCGTGCACTCTCGACAATAGTACGCGTCTGAGATGCCAGGCCCACCGCAGATGACGCAGCGGCCTTGGTACGAGCCGTAGTTGCACTCATCACAGACGCGCACGAGCGTCTGAGGCTTGACGTACGAGTCGCAGATGACGCACTTACCATCATCTTTCTCGCAGAGGCGGCCGATTGCAATGCCGGGCTGCTTGCGGCACATGATGAGGTCAGGGTGGTGCTTGGCCATCGTTGGGATTTATGCTGTGTGGTGTGAGCTAGACAATACAGTATTTGATGGTGTTACATATAGTGTAATGATCCAACAGTAGGAACGAAATTACTGTAGCAAGCTGTGTCATTTTAAATATGCTGTTTTTTCTATTACCGTGGCTGGCTTGCACGCTTCAGCCTAAAAATACTTGACGCAGCTGCGGTCGCATAGACGGAATTAAATAGCTTGTTTTTGTATGCGTTTGCAATGGTTTAAAAAAAGACAGACTGTGTGGGCTGCTTGAAATATTCAAATCCGGCTGGGGCGCACGCTCTCGGCTTTGATTGGTGGAGTATTTCTCGGGAGCCAATGAAATTGCTATACGGGGTAGGGGAGAACGCGGGGCGCAAAAAGAAGCAGCGCCTTTTAAGCCGTCGGTAGTATACCATATTCAACGTCAGTTCAAATTTCTCTCTGGTGGCGTCTATACTATAGATAACCCCTGTGAAGCCGACGAGGTACTGGAACGGCATGCTGCCGACGATGCTGGTCATCTCACGGGAATGATGCGATAGCTACGATATCCACCATTTACGCCCAAGAAGACACGATTAAGATGGACTCGCCGCACTCGGCCAACGAAGTCTGGGGCGATATGCCCCCTGTCGTGAACAAGAAGAAGCGTCGCCTGCAGAAGAAGGCCCCCGGCGCTCCCAAGCGGGGCAAGTCGCCGTACATCCTCTTCTCGATGGACAAACGCGAGGAGATCAAGGCGACAATGCCACCGAACTCCAAGGTCACGGACGTCATGCGCGCCATTGCTGACGCGTGGAGCAAGATGTCGGAGGAAGAGAAGGCGCCATGGAAGCTCTCGGCCGAGTCGGACAAGCAGCGGTACGAGGAAGAGATGGCAACGTACGACGGTCCCCTCCGTGTGCCCAACAAGCGCGCCAAGAAGCACCCGAACGCTCCCAAGCGTGCATCGTCGGCCTTTCTCTTCTACTCGCAAGTGATGCGCCCTCGCATCAAGGCTGAGCACGCCGACATGAAGAACACGGAGATCTCCAAGCAGCTTGGCGAAGCGTGGGCAAAGGCCACAAAGGCCCAGAAGGCGCCCTTCGTCGAGAAGGAAAAGGAAGACCGTGCTCGCTACAAGCGTGAGATGGAAGAATGGAACAGCAATAAGACGGAACGGGAGTACCAGGAAGCCCAAGCGCAGCAGTACAACCCGTCGCAGTACGGCTTCGATCACTTGGGCCACTTCCCGGCTGAAGAGTACCATGGCACGGACGTGTAAGCGTGCCCCGGTTGCGCACCCTCTTTTTGCACAGTGTAGTTTGTCATACATCATCCTCTCCCGAGTAACTCTATAAAATGCTGCATGTTCACCCTGCCTTCCCATGGTCGTGTGCCTGCTGCTAAGGTGGTTGTCGAGAGTGCGAATCCTTCTGCCACCCGCCTACAGTACCGTACCGGCATGTCGTTGCTATGTGGTACTACGTAGTACATTGTATTCGGGTGCGCGCTGAAGAGCTGCCGCGTGGGCGGTTGGCACGAACAAGATGACAACCGGATATGTTAACCGGCTGGATCGCATGCTTGCTATTTTTGCACCCAATTCCATTTCGGCGTCTCGAAGACTTGCAAACGATGGAAGCACTCGTCGGTCAAGTCCACCTACCGGCGGTAGCATCTGAATGAGGCCCCAACACCTGCCCACATATGCGAGCTACGTAGGACATCCAGAGCATGTCGGAGCGGGACTTTCTTGCCAAGACCAACGTCGAGCTCGCCTTTGTAAAAAAACCAGAACCCCCACCTTATTGGCATCCTAATTCCATCCCCTTAGGGCCTGACGCGCGACGAAGCCATTGCGCGTCGTCTTTTGCACGGCGTCAACCGCGTGACGCCACCCGTAAACTGTCCGTCGTGGGTCTGCTGCTTGCTGCCATGCATTCTTCGGACCGAAACTATGCGTCTATATACGTCCAACTGCCCAAAGGAGGTTACCGTCGTTCGCAGTGGCAAGAAGCTCTGCATGGACGCCGCCAGCCTCGTCTTTGGCGACGTTGTCATGTTTAAAGGTGCGTTGGCACACGAAGAAGACGGCTTTATCCATGTTAATGTGCATGTAGCTGGGGACGTCATCGCAGCCGACTGCAGACTCTTGGAATGCTCTGAAGACTTCACGGTACGGCCAACACATACACGTCAATCTAGATGAATTGAAATAGTCTTAAACTTTCTGGTAGGTTGAGATGAGTAGCCTGGCCAACGAACGCAACCCGCGGGTTGGCACCACCGAATGCACAGACAAAGATCAAGGCATTTTGAGCCGCAACATGGTGTTCATGTCGACAACTATCATCAAAGGAGACGGCGTCGGCGTCGTCGTGGCCACAGGGGACAACACCATCTGGGGGCAGCTCATCTCGAACAACAAGTGGCCGACGGACGCAACTCAGTCATCCGAGTCGGACCGCTTTATTGCGAATAAGGTCTAGCAGCAAACTTGCTTTACTACTACCTTATGATCGAGACCAATCAACCGTGTGTTGTGAATGGGTTCAGGGTCGGCCAATGACGTTTTACCGGCGAGCAGGGGCTGCGCTGCCTCCTTGACCTTGAGCTGCCGGTGCATCACCGCCTTGCAGGAGCACAATCAAGAGCGGCACGATGATGTACCACTACGAGATACAAACCACATAAGAAGGGACGCATGAGCGATGGGTACTCACGTATTTGCGGAAAAAGCTCTGCTGCTCCTCGGGTTCAGGATCGTTCTCAGAACGAACAGGGGCAACTCCCGGAGGCGCAGCCACCTTGGTGGCGGTGATGACGATGCGCGGGACTCTACGAAGCGAATGCCATGAGCTTTCGATGGATTATGCCATGCCCAGTAGTAAGATTACTCGGGGCCGTCCGTTGCGCCAAAGATGGCGCCGGTGCTGTAAAAGGTGGCCTCCTTGAGATTGCGCTACCAAGAAGCTGCCCTCAGCTGTACAAGTATGACTACCGCAAACCTTTGCGACATCACTGCACGTCTTGGTATCAACAAACGGCGTTCGGAACTCAATCGAAATCAAGTGGCCGACTTCGTTCACATGGAACGCGAGGTCCTCGCGAAAGCGCGCCTTGACTAGGAAGCACTACGGTACACCATGAGAATCGCGCAGCCGTTTGTCATAAAGGGGACGAACGACATACTGCGGGCACGGAAGCCACGACAAACGGCGACTTGGGGTTGCCTGGCTCGGAGCGGGCGCGAATCGTATAAAAACCGTCTTGAGCCACAAGTTTCTAGGTACCGGTATGCATGACGATAGCTTGGAATGAATCATCGCGTCAAACCTGAAAGGCGGACAGCTGCTGCTCGTTGAGCGTGAGTTTCGACGGGAAGATGGCCGTTGGTTTGGTCGGGGCAAAATCAATGTTGACATCACCGCGGGGCGAGAAGGTGCCGATCGCACCATCCTTGGCGATTGAGTGCTCGAGGTCCAGCGTATACCCGCGCTTCGAACGCACGGTCTCGATGTTGAGCTCGACATCCTCGAAGTCGTTGCGGCTACGATAATGTCGTCGGCACGCCTTCGTTATGGCACCGTCATACCTCGCCTTCTCCTGCTCACGGGGATCGCATGCAACGAGCTGGAGCAGACCAGCGAAGCATAGCGTCAGTAGTAGGAGCGTCGTCTTCATGCTTGCAGCCACAAGAAGCTTGAATTGACGTCCCTTGAGCGTTGCTGCAGAGACGCACCCAATGCTGAATATTGGTGCGCCTTTTGAGGCCTCATCTCGATCAAGTACGCTTATCTAAGTGCGGTGGTCCTTTTATGTGTCCGCATGGCCAGTGGTGATCCACGGAATTGCCATTCGCGAAGAAACCAACCACGCAGCGTTAGCATGGAGGACAAGAACGGACCCGTCGTCGGCAAGTCGGGCAAGAAGATCTGCTGCTCCTGCCCCGAGACAAAGTCGGTGCGCGACCTCTGCGTCATCTCCAAGGGTGAAGAACACTGCGCCGACGTTATTGAAGCCCACAAGCAGTGTCTGCGCGCCGAAGGCTTTCGCATCAAGTAGGGACGACAAGCAAGCGAAATCTATATACTATCTTATCCTTGCCGCACCAGCATCGCGGGTAGTCTTGTGCACGCAGTGTAAGCAATCGCGCAAGATAACTTGACGCGCGGGGTAGCGTCATGACTGAAGTATTGCGATGGCCGCACACACTAACGGTGGTGCTCGATAGCACTAGCAACAACAATTGTGCAGGTGTAGTTCTCATTACGCAAGCGATGGTTAGCACCGCTAGATAGATCAACGACTGCGCTCGCATTCGCGCCGTTTCTCACCACTTCAACCCCAATAGCACGCGCATTGCAAGAACTGTCGGTGAAGAGTTCAAGACCTCGTCAACAGCGTTGGCGGTCCTCGGCCAAACTGACGAGCACCGACGCTCAGCGACGCAGAAGCAACTTCGAGAAGGGTCGCGCTTTTCATGCCACCATCGTGGCTTCAGCAGAAGGCTAATCCGGATGGTTTGCGGCACGGTATCCGGGCAGGTGGGTATTTGAACGCAGCCATGCGAACGACTTCGCCGGTGACGCGTGTGCTGTACCGCGAGTTACTACGGAGCGCCAAACTTCTCGACAAGCACGCAGCAGTGAAGGCGCTTATGTGCCCGAGCGAGGTTGCTGACAGTGCCATATGCCACAAGGCTGTCATGGGATTACACCAGCATCAACTGGTACTCGTATATCCCGTGGAACGACGGGGCCTCTCATTCACAGGACCGTATGTAGTGCTACTGGCCGTACGAGTCGGCTAAGCAGCGCATGCGTGCGCTCTTCCGGACGTCTCCTGCTTCATCAGAGGCTCTCGACGCAGCCTTCCGGGGCTTGCGCTACCTCAATGCCAAGTTGCACCTTGCCCAGGAGTACGATTTGCTGCATGTCGAGTCGGACGAGCTACCGTCACGGCCTCCTCGCATCACGACGTAAGATGAAATCGCCTTTTGCAATGTTTGACGCTTTTGAGTAGAACTATTCGTCGGGGCGTCTTTTTGATTGCGCACCCTCTGACCGTGCGGCCGTTTGAGCAGAGCGTAGTTCTGCTGACGCGTCACGATACGAAGGGCACGAAGGGCGTTATCGTCAACGACGAAGGTGACGCCAAACAGTCGTCGCTTCATAGCTACCCTGTCGAAAGTGCGCTTCAAGCCGCTTTTCCGTCGCACCCGCTATTGTACGGCGGTCCTGTAGCGACCAACTCAATTCAGGTACCGACCTCTGCGCATCATCAGTGTACTACTAGTATAATCCTGGACATTCCGATATGTATAATAGTTCCTGCATCCGCATGCCGAGCTTGGTGGCAGTCTTGTAACGCCCGACGAAGTGGATACCCCGGTCTTCATTCAGCACGACCTCTCGGTGTTGGTCAAGCCTGCCCACGCCAACATCGACCGCAGCAAGGTGCTGTCATTCTGTATCTTTTCTTCGGCATTATCAATCAATCCTCTCATAGGTCACGTTCGTCCACGGCCATGCATCATGGGTCCCGAAGCAACTACAGCGCGAACTTGATGCTGGGGGCTGGCTCATGGTCGAGGCACCTTTGGCATTGGTGCTAAATCCACCGGCGAAAAACCTTTGGGTGCATATGCTCCAAGAGCTTGGCGATGAACATGCTGCGATGAGTCGCATCCCGAAATCTGTCGACTTCTACGTGCCCCCCGAAGTCGAGACAATTTAACCGAGTCGTGTTTGTTTATGCATGACTACCTACGCCTGCTTGGGTTGTTTTTGGAACACGTAGATGAAAAAAGGCTTCGCAACACTTGGCGCGGCAGCGCTTGGCGAAAGCTCTTGGCACTCGAGGATTTCCCACACGTGGTCGTCCGAAGTTGTCGGCCAATCGAGCAGGCCGATGCGGTTGTTCGGGTTACCATACGTGAGAAGAATCATGGACCCCATCGGTTGCAGAAGTCGCATGCATTCGCTCATGACGGCGGCGGCATCCGGGAAGTCGGCGGCATTGTCACTTGTTAGCGTCTTCCAAACGTGCGTGCCCGTCGTGAGGTCCGTCTCGGGCGCCAAAAGCATCGTATCCAAGCAGCCTTTGTCGACGATACAAGCGACAGAGCTGTCGCCGAACCCCGCCATCTTGGTCATGTCGGCTGATACGAATTGCACGGAGGAGTCTGCATACTTGGCTTGCATGTTCTTGACGACGTTGGCTGCGTAGTCGGTGGCCGTCACATTGCAAAACCTACGTCAAAGTTTCGTGCTGGTAGCGGTCATCTAAACGTACCCGTCCTTTTCCATGTCAATAGGAAGCGTGCTGGCACCACTGCCTGCGATGAGAACGGCATCCAATGGCGCCGCATAACGCCGGAAGAGGTCGCGCATGATCGCGTAAGAGCAGTACCAGTCGAATTCGTCTTCGTCTTCGTACCGGCTTTCCCAGTACGTTTGCTTTCCGAGCTGAATGAGCGAGATCTTGGTCGCGTGCGGCCGCACAATCTCGTCGCCAGCTGCAATCATGGCCACGGGCCAGATCAGTGACACAAGCTTGCCCGTGTCCACGCAAAAAAGCGGTGCGATCTTGACGTTAATGTTGCTCTTGGCGCAACGCAGACTACCATAAATGTCGTGAGGTTCATAGTGCGAAAAGGTGATTCCGTACAGTGCGCCAACGTCATCGAGCACGTAGTGGTACAGGTCGGACGCATTGTGGCCAAACTTGATGCTGTACGCGCAGTGCACCAGATTCACGACAATATCGTCCACCGTCGCTACCTCCGGCGTAAAGTGGGACGCGATCTTCTGAATCTTGTGGCGCAAAGTTTCGTTTGACTCTAGCTCTTCACGCGCATTGCGGGCTGTCTGGAAGAGCCATGCGTGATCGAGGACCCAGATGCCGCTCTCAGGCGTCGCGCATCTGGCAGCAACAACCGTCGTCTTGCCATCGACGACCTCACGCCGCAGCAGAGGACAGCCATATTCGTTGGAGAGAGCCTTGAGCAACGCTTCCTCGCGCAAGTGGATGGGAACATCGTAGTGGCTAAACTGCGCAGCATGTCGCTCCATGGCCATTGCGTGCTTGTAACGAAATGACAAGCGCCAACAATTCCACTTGCAGTATCCGGATATCACGACCTAAAACAAACAAAACTCGATATAGTCGTTGCAACTTGCAACGACTGTATCGGTAGCTTGCAACTTGCAAGCTACCGGTAGCCGAGCCACTTTTCGTTCGGCGTCAAATGTTGTCCAAGATCGCGGCTGCGGCACATAGCAGTCACCGGTTGAATATGGCGTTGAGGTCTTATAACGCTAGTGAGGTCTCCGTCAGGGCGGGGCGGGCATCAAATTGTGGGCGTGCTGGGATTGGGTGACCCGATCTTGGCCGTCGTCCGTGCGCACCGAGTGTGCCATCTTGTGATCATTTCTACGTAGCCGGCCACATTCATCAACCGGAGAAACGGGTTGGACCAAAGGCCAAAGCGATTGTAGGTGCAAAGAGATGAGCGGCGTCGTCGTGCTCTCGCAGCTTGTGCACCCAAAATTCAAGAGTATCGCCCGCCGCGACGTGGTCGTGTGGAAGCGAGCGCGCCTCGAGTACGAGACCTCCATGCGGCGCGAGTGTCAACGAACGAACCGGAGCTACGCATCGACGTGTGTTCCGGTCCGCAATTCGTTCGCTTCCGTGGGGTTTCTCGAGTTCCTGATGAAGACGAAGTGGGGCCTTTGGGACGACTACAAACTGCTGAACGTACCCGAAGACAAACTGTGGGAAGCGATCAACGACATCATCGACAAGAAGACGAACAAGACGGCGCTCACGTACGACAAGGTTTTTACCTTGCTCGCCTTCGACCACAACGAAGAAGATATCGAAGACCGGGTCAACAGCTTTGTTTTCATGCCCCTCCCAAATGATTGAAGAGCATGGCTTCAGCGAGAAGCTCAAGAACGGCAAGATCAAGGCGAAGATCTTCAAGGCGCTTGTCGAACGGATTCGTCCCCAGGAACTACTACAGACGGACGTGAAGCAGCAGATGGATGAGAAAATGGCGGTCAAGGAGCATGCTGGCCTCAAACACCTTGGGAAGATCATCCTGAAGCGAGCACTTCTCTTCAAGTCGTGGAGCCCCGAGACGAAGCGCTTTCGCGACAAGGAGTCGTCCGACGAAGAAGAAGAATAGCAAGGTGCGCGCGAGAAGTAGAAGAAGCGCAAATTCAAGCAGGAGGACACCGAGCCACCAGTGCAGGAGGATACCGAGCCACCTGTGCAGAAGGACACCAAACCACCAGTGCAGAAGGACACCAAACCACCAGTGCAGAAGGACACCAAACCACCAGTGCAGAAGGACACCAAGCCATCAGTGCAAAAGGACACCAAACCACCAGTGCAGGACACCAAGGACTAAGACAATGAAGGATCGTGCTGGCACTGCGGCAGCAAGATGCACAATTTGCGAGATTGCCCGTGTGCGAACGCGAAGCAAAAAGAGGGAGCCATCAAGATGAACTGGAAAGGCGGTCGTCGCGGCGGCAGCCGCAGCGAGGCAATGCGGCAAGCGGCAACACAAAGAAGACCAAGCTGAGTCACCTCAAAGCGTTCTCCGGACTCGGTCAGTTCCTCGCGCGCGGGCAGTGAAGATCACATGGGTTTGACGCTCAACAGTGTTCTCGACGTGCCTTGTGTGCCGGATAGTGATTGCGGTCTGAACATCATTCCCGCCAAGATGGTTTAGCTGCTCAAGCAGAAGATGCCCGAACTTGAAGTCATCAACTTGGACCAACCTCAGCTTGGGGTAGCTGTGAGCAAGACGGTGTTGCAGCTGGACAAAAGGTTCAGTTGCGTCTGCAACTCCTCACGGCTGCCGGTCCCGTCAACGTGCCTGGTTTGCAAGCGTGCTACGTTGATGACGAAGGCGACGAGATTCTGGTGTCGAACGACGTGCTGGTGATGCTCGGCATCGATCTCGAACGTCTCCTCGAGCAAGTGGCCGTTGGACAGTCTCCTTCTTTCAACCTGAATAAAAAGAGATGATCTTCAGTGTGAAGACGACGACCTCGAAGACCTTGCTGCGTAGCTCAAAGCGATACGGGTTGACGACGCGCTTGACACGGACCGTCTCGATCGTGAAGACGCTGCGAGCATGCCGGCTCGCTCGATCTTGGAAAGCTTTTCCGCGGAGCGCTATGAACGGCTCGAGAAGATCGTCAAGAGCAACGAGATTTGGCACACAGTCTTTCGCGACACCGACCTACCAGCAGACGTCGAGCCGATGGACATCAAGCTCAAGAAGGATGCGAGCCCGTACAGCTGTGCGGGTCGCAAGCTCTACCTGTACCAGGAGCGCTTTGTTCATTTGTTCGGTCGTCAACTTTTGCGGGACGGCGTGATCGAGCTCTACAAGGAGGTCAAATGGTGCGGTCGCTTGATCAGCGGTCAAGATGTTCGCCATGATCCGGAGCGTATTACGTATTTGTTGGCGCTGCCTTACCCAGCAACGGGTGGGCAGTTGTCTGCGCGAGCAACTAGAAGTTTGCGCTGACGGCGATGCCACTTCAGGCAGCGGCTGGACGACGTTCTGACGGGCAAGCCAACGCAATGCAGCTCAGCTGGCACATCCAGAGTAAGATACTGAGCTCCTCATGTTTCTCGACTCCTCGGGTGACGGCTTCTCGATCATCATCACGCAAGTGAAGAAATCCAACGACAGTGTGCCTGTGTGGACGTTGCAGCACGAACCGGTCGCGTGCATCTCGGGCGTATGGAGGGGTGCTCAGCGCAAGTGGAGCGTGATCGAGCAAGAGGCATACCCGATCGTCAAGGCGTGCCTCGATGTTGAGTACCTTCTTATGCGGCCACGTGGATTCCGCATCTAGACCGACCACACAAATCTTATCAACGTCCTTGCGTCCGGCCAAGAATGGAAACCCGGACAGTGTGGCAAGCTGGCGCGATGGGCCAGCTACATTACGCCTTACCGCTACACGATCGAGCATATCGATGGCGAGCACAACGACGTCTAGGCAGACATGACGTCGCGATGGGGCCATGCGAAAGACAAGGCCGTGAAGCGTTCGCGACCAGAAAATGCAGCCAAGAAAGATGAAGACGAGCGCGAGCAAGCCCGTTTGCATCGTCTGATTAAGTAGAAGAATAAGGGGAAAGAGACGTTGCACAAGAGCGGAACGCTGCGGCCTCTGGACGAAGAGGGTTTGAGTGGCCGAGCTTGTTCGTTGTCAAGGTTGAACGCCGTACCGGACTTCGCGACGTTCTACACGACGTTGGACCTCTGGGTGGTCAAGTCGGCCGACAAGGATGTCATTTGGATCCCCAGTGACGCCTCGGCTTTGGAGCAGCGGCTTTTTATTGTTGCGCATTGTGGACTGATGGGCCACCGCAGCAAGTTTGCGATGAAGATGCATTTGAAGCGGCTCTTTGGACTTGATCAACTGGACGTCAAGCTGACGGCCTTCATGGATCAGTGCTTGCTTTGCCCTCACGTGAAGGGTGGGCGCGTGATTCAGCGCCCGCACAGCCAACTCTGGCACGCGTCCCGTCCCAACGAAGGCATCCACTTTGACTTCCTCTATTTGGGTGACTCGTTCAAGGGGTCCATGTACGTGCTCGCGCTCAAAGGAGACTTGACGCACTATTGCGAGCTTGTGGCGTGTCACATGGCGGACGCGGCCTCAGTCGTGGACGCTTTGATGCACTGGGCTGTGCGGTTTGACTTGCCGCTCGTGTGGGTGTCAGGCCAAGACAGTCACTTCAAGAGCCGAGTGGTTGCAGCGCTGGCCCAAGACTACAAGGTCAATCACCAGATTATTTTGACTTACACGCCGTGGCGCAATGGTACCGTCGTGCGCTTGAGCCGCGATAATCTCCAAGCCTTACGGGTGATGCTGCGCAAGTACCGAGGGAGCTATTAGTACCTCGGGCTTGTGGCGGCGAGCGTTCTCGAGCAGACCATTCTTGGCGCTTAATATTGTACGTGATAGAGCGTCCTCTGACGAAGCCGTTCTGATTTGTGTGCACCACGATGTCAGTGTACGGCTGCAGCCGGCAGACCAAGACAGCAGCGAGGATCTTGACGTCGTTGTTGCTGAGGCCGATCGGGCGGATGTTGGTAGGGCAGTCGCGTGCGCCGTTCTTGTGCAAGAGCATCATCCCTTGGACTTGGTTTGGTGTAAGCGATGCCTTGTCGCACAGCGCGTGGTTCGAGCGCGCTGGCCACTTGGCTGGTCCAAGCTTCAAGAAATCGTACAGTGGCGTTCGGGCCGGGTGACTTGCACTGTACCGCGTAATCTAAGCATTTGTAGACACATGACCAATACTGGCGCTCCAAGGCGTCTGCCCATATCGGTCGGGAGGCTTGTCTTGATTGTGCAGTCGAGACCTGGTGAATCGTGAAGGCGTCCAGCTACTTTTGAGTGGCGTACAGCGACGTGTGAAACGGGTACATGACCTACGAAATCTCCAGTGGCGAGGTGCGAACCTGACCCGGGTTCAGGTCGTACAAAGCGTCTTGCCACCGCAAAACTCATACATGCGCCCACACAATGGCCAATGACGTAGATAATTGATTCGAGTGATAAGTGGATAGCTGGGTGCAGATCAGCAGCCGACGCACGAATTGGTGTGAGATCGCGTAGTCCTTGCGTCTCGTTGCACGAGGCACACACCGCGATCGCCTGAGGACCGCTCGTGCGACGAGACTGAATTTTGGCCAGATGTAAATCTCCTATTCTTCAAGTAGAAAAGATACAAGGGTGAGCCCAGTGGCCCTACGGCCGTACTCATTGTGCGTATGCAGCAGGATGCGGAGCAACAAAAGTGCCTGGGTAGTAGGATCATTCGATTGCGGCACGCGCGCAAGTGTGAGCAGCACCCGCCTAAAATTTGACTAGGAAGAGCCAAGTGGTCACACTTTTTGATGTAGTTGGTGAAATGGTTGGCGATACCGACCAGACAGTACCTGACTACGTAACCATGTAAAGGAGCTCAAAAGTACGAGATTAGCTGCATGATAACCTCTTCGTAGACGATGTTTTTGCTGTACGTGCGTCCGTCCTCATTCGACTTCGAGTTGAGAGCCAAAATTTTGATGTTGGCACGCACTTGAACACGTGACATCGCGACGTAGAGCTGTCTGTGCGCGAAAACAGGTTCTGGTAGATACACGCCACCTCGAGGTACCCTCTGACCCTGCGTCTTGTTTATAGTCATCGCAAATGTAGGTATGAAAACAACGTCGCCAGCTTGCGCGCCAGTCAAAATCGCGGTCTAAATGCACCGGTCACGCAATGCCCGCCCCATGAGTTTCGATCCGTTGCATATACCGCGATATGCCACAGGTTGCGCAGCAGCATGGCATTGGCGTTGACCTTGAGCTCATGATAGATAGTGTGGAGGGAAGCCAGCGATGTTGATGGAGTTGAAGAACTCAAATGGATAGTTGATAGCGGCTTCTTTTTGTAGCCGATCATCATCATCGTTTGCTGTTGCGCCTTGTACTCGTCTTTGGGAGCTTCGACGCTGTTGCCAGATGTGTAAAAGCGCTGGTCAGATTACTGAGCTACCGTCAATAGCGCAAGTTGAGCCACCGTCAACTGTGCTAGTACCATGGCGTTTGACTCAAGCGACAACGTCGTTTTTTGGTGCCAAAATGGCACGTTGAGCAAGGTCTGCTGGCAGCTCATTGATGAAGATTGAAGGAAGCTCAGGGCACACGAACTTGACCAAGTCGGTAAGTGCATGCGGGGAGTCGCAGTCGATGACGACGTCTTCGAGTAGACAGATGTGCTCGCCACCGAAGCCGCCGTGTGCTGCCTGCTCGCGGCCGTAAGATGCATTGCCGATGACGCGTAAAATAACTGTAAACGGTGCGTCGTATCCAAGAGCGCGCATGTTGGTGAGGTGGTGGAAAGTAGACACGACAACACATGCATCGCTTTGCTTCAAGCAAGCTTCCAATTCTTTAAGCACGTTGAATGACCTGTAAAGTTTGCTTGCAACCACACGTGAAAAGGAAGGTCCTGCGGCAGGTCTCGTGCCGCCAAAACGTCGATGCGGCTCGGAGCAAATATCTAGGAGCATGCTATCGACGGCGTCAATAGCGTCCTAGTGGATCATGGAGCATTCGTCCAAGACATATATCGGCGCCGCGAAGCAACGCGGCAAGGTGCCTCAGTTTCTTCACACCGAGAATTCGTGTCCGCATTGACCACAAATGGGATCTTGAAGCTCGAGTAAGCAGTGTTACCACCGTGAAGCGTGAGCGCAGCGAGACCCGTGAATACAAGGGCAATCGCGACGCGCTCGTTGGACCGACACCATGCAAGCAGAAGGTTGGACACATAGCTCTTCCCAGAGCCACCCTCGCCAATCAATCAATCAATCAATCAATCAATCAATCAATCAATCAATCAATCAATAAACGTGTTCGTGTTGAAATCAAGTTGGCAGAAACTAGCTCAAAGACTTCTCATACGTAGTGCTACACCTGAATGCGTGGGAGTTGGCACCAGCACTTGGTCGTTGGGAGTTAGCTGCGCACGGAGAGATCCATCCCATGATGGACCTCATTCGCCGAGTGATATCTCGCTCGAGATCGTACCCAGGCTCCTGTACTCGGACCACCCGACAGAGGAGTGCAAGCCGTTGGGTGTGTTTAAAACGAAACCGTCCGAGCCCGCATCCGAAAAAATATGGATATCGACCGAGCGCATAGAACCGAGGCCGCGCGCGGCGTGGCCGGACGACTGGTGGCGGCGGCGGAGGGCTGGGAGGCGACGGGACTCCGTGGAGGCAGGGCGACCGCGCCCGCGGGGCGAATGCACGTAAGGACCAGCGATGTCATATCTCCTTTGACGGGCGCCGCGCCCTCGCCACATAAAAATAGGCGTCTTCGTTGGCTTGGCCGCAAATCAAGCTCGCGGCACACACAATCGAAGACAGCGCGCTGCTGCGGGGTTGGCGGTAGGGAGGCCTTCTAGAGTTCTCAGTAGGACCTCGCGGTCGTAAGACTTCGTGATCTAGAGTAGACGGTTGCGCGTAGGTTCCAAGACGTCAGCTTCTAGGACCTCGCGATACGCATCGAGTTACGGGGGTACGCACCAAGCGAGAAATCTTGGCTGTGTGAGCGAAAAAGCTTGTCGATGTCGCATAGCGCACGGGCCACTGGTAAGCAAGTAACGCAATTAGGCAGCAGTGCCATCGCATAGTCCTTACAAAGATCTTGTGCAAACTCGTCCCACAACGTACGTCGTCCCACAACGCATGTGGGCTCGAAGGGATTACAAAGGCGTGTGGATCAACAAAACGTCGGACGGCGCCATGCGTCACCAGATGCAAGTACGCCGAGGGCCTAGCACGCTTCCTTGAAGGCATCGTAAACGACGCCGTCGACAGTGCGCAGATATTCGTACAACGTAGGACCGCGGCGATGACACAGAGTGTTCGTATGAAATCCCGCTTGCTATTCTTATGGGAAACATGGTACTAGTACATTACTGCGGAGAGCACGGTTTCCTAAACGCTTGCGGGTTAACCCGTGACAACCGTTTTCCGTGTGTAATAGTGACAAATCTCATTGTATAGGCGGGTTCTTGGTGACACGCCGCCGTCGTCGAGAATGCTCGCAAGCCAGAGTGTAAAGTAGGCCATGAGCGTTGTCCGTTGGTTGCTAAGAACTTGAGCGCCCGTGCCGTTAAGAGCATCCGGCACGAACGCACCGCTCGCCTACTCTTCTCGTGTACAGCTAGCCGCACGGTGCTGTGAGAGGATCGCACTAGCTTAACTTTAATGATACGCATTGCAGCCTCGTGGAAAGTGATGTAACGCCCCGCCCAGTACTGCTTTTATCCCATCGATAATATCACCGACGTGGTACACAATGCGATCATGACCCTTCTCCTCATGCCTTTCCTATCGCTCAGAGCAAAAAGATCTAGGTACACCCTCCTGGGACTACCAAGCTCGGACGTACCTGGGGCGAAGTCGATGCCGCCGCAATGCAGCCCCA